CAGGTAGCAGGTGAGCGACGAGCGTCCGGCGGTTGATGGACGACGATGTAGGAACTTCCGGAAATCTCTCCGCTGATGGACTTAACATCTGATTAAATGATCCAAGACGGCCGGTAATGATGATGTTCTTCATGGAGAGCTCCCTTCTCCACAGGCGTGTCGAAGGAAGCGAGTGAGGCGGATAGTTCTTTGCGGTTTCGCCTGTGACGCACGTACCGGCGGACCGTCGATTACTTAATTGCGGAACTTTCGGAAGCGTACAAAGGAAGTTCGGTATTTGAGAAGCGACAAGCCGACTAGTGCTCAGAGTATCTCGAACGGATATTCCTTTATCCAAATGAGTTTCCGGCATTCTGGAGCTCCAGCCTTGGTTTCATGCTTGTCTCCGATATTATACTTCCACGAAAGTACGGAATTATTTCTGTCCGAGATTAGGACGTGCCAAAGCTATCTCAGGAAAAACGTCAGCCTCACTTGGCTACACTGTTCGTATCGAACGTCTTGACAGTGAGAAGAGTTGTTGGGCAACTGTCAGCGGGGTGAATAATTCCCAGCTTGACAGCGCGAGAGAACGGATCGGTGGAAAAATCTCCTCTACCGCTCCGTATTGCGGAAGACACTCTGCAAATCCATGAATCATTCACAAGACACGCTTCAAATACACAATGCTCACAATTCGACGCTTCCGAGAAGACGGTAGATGTCGATGCAGTCGTCGCGCCCATTGAACAGGCGCCGAGCGAATTCCTGACAAATTAAATTACTCGTTTCCATCGAGCCATGGGATCACTTGTATGGGTATATGGCACCGTGGGCGCGTCCGTCTCGTGAATAAACTTCAACATCGTTGTAACTTTGTATCAGAGCGGAGACAGCTCGGACGTCTGCTGGAACGTCGTTGGTAGTCAGTGGGTAGATTTTAAAATTAGCCTTCAGAGGGTCACGATTGAAATACCTGACACCGGTTGCCATCGTCTAGCCTGCATTCAACAGTGAATGATCTCAAGGTCAGCGGTGATCCGACAGGTTGAATACGTGCATAGCCGCAACGACGCCGCTCGCGCGGGAGGCGGTGTGGGTTCGATCCCTGCTGCCGGAAAACATGCAGGTACTCGGCCTTGATCCTCCTGGGTACATTTGCTCTATGGATCCGTCCTCGGAAGCAATGTGAATAACAGTACCCGGGACGTTAAACCTTGGCTGTGTGGATCAGCCCGAAAAAGTTTTTTAGGTTGAATACGTGGGTCGTCACTCTCGACGAAACCTCCCGATTGAAGGTCCGTCGATGGAACCGTAGCTGTGCACAACGCAGCCTGTCGGTTCTGCCTCGGAAGCCAGAATTGTGAAAGCCAGAATTGTGAAAGCCAGAATTGTGAAAGCCAGAGTCGTGAAAGCCCGAATTTGTGAAAGCCAGAATTGTGGAAGCCAGAATTGTGAAAGCCCGAATTTGTGAAAGCCCGAATTTGTGAAAGCCCGAATTGTGGGAGCCAGAAGTTGTGAAAGCCCGAATTGTCGAAACCCGAATCGTGGAAGCCAGAATTAGGTAGTGGGAGCCCGGATTCGTGGCGCCGGGAGGAGCAAGAAGAAACTGTCAGATGTACGGAGGCGGGATGGGACCTCATACCCCTTCTTATTATTCGCTCGGTTTACAGTCTACAGCTTTTCGACAGCTTTTTGATACAAGTCGACGCTCAAGTCACGTCTCGAATGCCACAGACGGGAGCGATCGCAAGGGAGCCGAAATTAATCAAGGGTATCGGGCTCGCGGGTACGCTCACTCGTGAATCGTAATTCGCCCCCCTTCAGCCCAGGGAATCTCTTCACGGACTTGGTCGAAGCTCAATGGTCAGAATGGTCGACGACGGGGAACACAAAACTCGAGAGCAAGATTTTATTGCTTCTGAAGCACATCTCCGAACTCCGAACGCACAGTTTCCAAACACCACCACAGCTTTGGAACAAAACACGGCCGTGTCGATAAGTCCCACTCGACGTACGTTCGTATATGGATGTCTCCTCTGAGGTCCCAGATAAGCACCACTGCGACAAATGGCACAAGGGCCATTCAAGCTTCACCGATTGGCGGTCTCTACTCCAGAGAAAATTGATCTAGTAAAGAGTCGAGTGTAGGCTCACCCCGGTTGGCAGGATTCTAGCTTTAACAAATTCGGGTTCCCACAGATACTGGCTCCCAAGAATTCGGGCTTTCACAATTCGGGCTTCCCCAAATTCGGGCTCCCACAATTCGGGCTTTCACAAATTCGGGCTTTCACAACTCTGGCTTTCGCCATTCTGGCTTTCACAATTCTGGCTTCCGCGATTCTGGCTTCTGAGATGGTACCGTGCACAACGCAGCCTGTCAATGTTCCACGTCTACTCGTGACTAGTTCCACGGGAAGATATCATTCGTATACCTACAAGATTTTTGATTCTCACGAACGAACGCCTCGAATGAAGTTTGTGTGGCTTCTTCCGCGGGCAAAGGGATTGAGCCGCGAATAGATAACGAACTATCCAGACTTCAGACGCCGCGCCGTGTGGCTTATTGACATGTGGATCGATTTTCAATTCTCCATGCTCTGCCTCGGCGGGCGCGATGGTTGGTGGGTAGGCTGTAGGAGACGTTGGTCGCAGATGGTTGAAACTACTCTGGCGGTACAACTACGAGGAATCTTTTCAAGAGGTGTCCAATCTCTGCCTCGAGACTCCAGAGTTTCTACGCCGTTCGTTTCCGTCACTCGTTCTCGACTCCGAGTTCTGGAAGTCTTGATTCGTCGATCCGAAGACGAACGGATCTGATCCTGGAAGCATCGATTGCGAAAGAAAAACGAAAGGGGAAGAGAGGCAGCTCGTACAGAGATCGTTCCTTTCGTTCTCAAGACTTTCCGGTGGACCATCGCTGTTCAATCGTCGCCCCTCTCAGAAAGTTTCGGACGCTTCCATCCGTTCCCATACCCCTCCATCGATGTCTCTAATCGACGATTCGCCGAGGAGAATCGAGGGAATAGGTCAAAGCAGTGCTGTATTAAAGCGGCGGCGGCCCTTCCACCCTATGACGATATGGATTCGAATGTTTGAGAAGTCTCGTCAAATAAAACCGTTGGAAAATTTGATTGTTTTCCCGTCTACGGGCGGAAATGGAAACTTGCACAGCGTCCAGTTTATTCGTTCCCGACAGACACCCCAGAGCCGGGCCTAGACCAACAAAAATCGATTCAGACGTAGAAAAATGTGTTGACAGAGCGGACGACTCGGAACGTCTGGCGGAGATCCCTGTCTGTTTTAATTTTCAATCGACTTCCAGCGCGTGACGGTTGAATCCACAAGCGTTCTGGCGCTTGACTCGAACGTCCGAACCAAGTCTGGATAGAAAATCGAACGAAGGGAGTTTCCTTGAGAAGGGCCAGTTCTTTGTGAGCCGGGTTAGCGAGAATTGGGCTCCTGTCCAAAGATCCATCGGGGGCGAAACTATCGCAGCATGGTATCCGAGTCGGTGTGAAGCGCGAGGCGTCGAATGGGGGGCCCACGGGGAGGCTTCGTTCGGACCGCTGGATTTTGCCACCGGTTGCCTGCCATTGATCCTGGGTTTATGATCTGTGAACTTTTCCTTTAAAAAAGCTTGGAACCTTCTGGGAAAGGCTAAGTCTACATCGAAGCCTTTGATAGGGTCGCGGCTGTGGGTCAAGATTCCAGGCTCTGAAAGGTGTCCGTCGTGGTCAACTTTTTGGGGAACTCCTGGACCAGGACTGGCCGAGCGAGATTCTTCGTCGGTGTGGGGTCGGCGACAATAAATTGCGTCTGTCAAGAGGTTGTCGGCTTGGGAGAGAGAAAATCGAGTCTCTTAGAACTCCATTCAGTGAGCACTTCTCTGAATTCAATTGGAAGAATCTAATCCACCTCTGGAGGAGCAATGGCTGATATGAGACAGCGGGGAATTCTAAACAAGCTGGAATTGGAAAGCACCACGGATTAGAGTTCAGCGAAAAATCGATTTTTGCATCCAGGAAGACGATGTCTGACATCAGTATCTTTCAGAACCGGGTCACGTTCCGAACCCGCGGGGTACAGATAGTTCTCCGAGACGGAAAACTCTCCGGAAGGGAGGCTCATCTCCTCCCAGGACCGAATAAGTTCTGTAGATCAAGCGTTGGCGATTTCCAGCATTTGGAACGAGCGCGCGGACTCGTGACGCATCTTAGACACGCAGCATAATGATCATCCAATGACCATCGTAAAAGAACAAGGAGGAATGCTTGCCGTTTTGAGCGTCCATAGCGCTCTTGGAACACCTGGGAGACGCGTTCCATTCGTTTCGTGAGCTATTGGATTTCTCGCTGCTGTTCCGATGTGCTCTGCAGATACGTGAGGACCGTGACCGATACGGATTGGATTTTGAGCCCTTCTCTCAGAGATGGTCAGTGACATTCGGGGGTGAGTTCGACCCTCCACCACCAAGTCTCTCGGGAATGCACTCCATGCGGACGCTTCCTTACCCCTCTCTCTCTCTCCCTCCCAATAAGCATTCGCCTCGTGGAATGGAACTAACGTCTCGCACATAGGGCACACATTTTGACTGAACGCAGGTCGAGGGAAACGATATCATCAGACCCGGGAGACTAAATGAGAATTTCCGAAGCTTGGAAGTTCAGCTGGTGGAAAACATCGCTTTCCGTGAAGCCATTCTGTGGTGGTTTTGTCTCTCGAAAACCGCAAAGTTCCCCCGAAACCGATTGCTGTCAGATGTGGAATTCGACACATTTCTCTTGAAGCTCGTCGAGTTAAATACAGGAGAGGATACCTAAACATCTGTGACCGTTCTCGCTCCCATCAGCGTTCTATACTGATTACCGAGCTGTGCAGGCTCGGCTCGACGCCGTCAGTCAGAGTTTTTCCCTGGAAATCTTCCGTAGACAGTGGCATGTCTGAAATCAGCCTGAGTGACTTTGTGAGTGAGAAAATTTCGGACTCTAACGCCGATTCCGTGAAGGAACCCAGTGGACCAGAAGCTCTCCAGACTGACTTATATCGCCAGCGATCTATGTAAGCTTCCGACTCTCCGGGGAGTATCATCCCCTTGCATGAATTTATACTAGGCATTAAACCATCTGTGATTCCACTTTCGACCTGGGATCGCGATTCCGAGCTCTCGGTTTCCCCCAAGGAGAATGACTTGGGGATCTGGGATCCTCGAGAGCAGTGGGTCTGATGTCAAATCCCGAGGAAACATTCGCGACGGGAAAAGATCGGGAAGATCCCTAAAGGAGGCAGACCGAGTATTCGAGTTCACTATCTTCAAGAATCTTTCCTCTGCTCCGAGTCGGGGGCGGGCCGCCAGAAAACTCCATAAATCTGAGCCCAGTGGATAAAACTTCAGCGCTTTCCCGAGCATAAAGCGAAAAATTTCGTAAGATGTCTTTGCAAAACCCCGAGCTCAAACGATCGCTTGGCCGATTTCGAAAGGAACCGCTATTTACTTTTGCTCCTCACCATCCCTTATGAATTCCAAAGGCATTCGAGAACTCGAAAGGTTGAGAAGTGTTCTCCCTTTGAAGTCGATATCGTCTCATTCAGGATCGAAACGCTCACGGGCGCCGGCGATCGGGTTCCTATACGGCGCTCGGCGATTCTAACGTTTTCGATGAGTCGGCTTAAAATGAAGCAGTTTACAGAATGGGATCATAAACATTAGGACGCGGCCGGTGTCCGAAAGCAGTCTGGAATCGCCATAAAAACCAGATGGGTAAGCCGGCCTGGCTGCGACTTAATGCGATATGCAACTGGTCGAATCTGAAAGACGTGACCCCGGAACGGAGGGCGTGGTATTGCGTGACCGTCTTTAGCTTCTCGCTTCACTGTCTGCCGTAATCACTCGGTAGGCTTTCGCTCGCTCGCATTCCGAACTCCGTCGCAGCAGCTGTAGGAGAAATTGAGATGAATCACCTGGGAGATGATTTCGAAGCGAGCTCCTTAAAAAGCGGAGTCTCGTAGGAAATTTTGATTGGGAACTCTCGGATTGAGGAAGTTTCCCTGTCTCAGTCGACAACTGGTACGAGCTTGCTGACTCGTATAGATGGATGTCGTCTGAAGCTTGAAGCGGTTTCCGGATTTCCATAGTTCGTACTTGCTTCCCTGGCGAAACGCCGAGGGAGGTTCCTCCGGAAAATTGAGATTGCTCCGAGGCTCTGATCGCTTGAATGCCCACCGCATCGAAAATTGGTTTCTGACCCGAGTGCAGCCGAAGGGAACGAGGGCGCGAGCGAGAAGAGAAATCGTTCCCTCTGATTTTCACCCACTTAGCTCTCGGACTCGCGCGGAGCTGATGCTGTTGTTCTTCCTCGCGCGCGGAAACGAGCAAAGCGATGCTCTTCTCGCGAGACGAGCTGATCAGAATCAGCTGAACGAGCTCAAACTTGATTAGAAGAAACTATTCCGTCACGTCTGGTACGCTGACCGACAGACCGACTCAAGGCGCCTTTGCCCTGATAGTGCATTGTCGACACGTTCCATGGGCGAGTTTTTCTGCGTGACACAATTGGTTTCCTCGAATCCGTGCTCTGTCCTGATGATTTCTCTAGAGGGATGCCGCATTTTAGGAATTTCGCTCTCTACGTCAGCCGCGACGATTTCCCTGTGACAGCGGAACTCGCTTGTTTTTAGAATCGCGCAAGTCAGGGGCGTCGGTTGTGACTAAACAAACAACAATTCCGCTAAGAGTCAAATTACGGAGAGATCTCCGAGCGAATCGCGCGAGGAAATCGACAGCGTCAAGCTCTCGCAGTCGACTCGAACGCGACGTCACCCTTCTCCCCTAAGAGAACTCGCCGCTGGAAATCAGTTTTGATGAGCGTCTTCGTTTCGGCGAGAACTTTCTGACTCAGAGAATCTTTTCCCAATCGGTGGGAGAGCCCATGAAGTCGAGGAAAATACCCCGGAGTCTAGCAGACATGAAACGCTTCGAGTGAACTAACTGCTTTCTGGGCCCCGCGTGAGAAATCGCAGGACATCGCCTTGGATGAACTTTCCGTGCACCGAAAACCCGCGTGAGGCGGCTACTCTTTTGAAGCCATAGCCATTCTCTATGTGAAACTTTCGAAGCGGACGAGATTCGGAAGGTTCCACGCGTTTGGTTTTTTGTCTACGCGCACATCGTCGGACTCGTCATGGAGGCGGAATTCCTGTCAGCACTCAGAACTCCCGCAAAGAATCGTACTTACGTGGAACTTCTTCTCCATTCCAGTTTCAACCGATTCTTGTATCGAACGGGACGACGGAAAGGAGCCACCGAAAGCGATGACGTGCTGCAGACTCGCCTCAAACGCTGCCTTTCGACCCTGGACATCACTCTACTCGGAATTGGACACATGATGGGTTCCGGTATTTACGTCATAAGCCCGGAGGTCGCAAAAAAAGCTGGTCCGGCCTGCGTGCTCTCATATATGATCGCAGGTAAGAAGTTCCCCGACATCGATGTCGGTAATCCTCAGAGGCTCCGACAGAGGAACACCAGTCCATAAACGAACTTTCGGTCGAGTCCACATCGACGATGTCTCGGAATCGAAAAGTGGAGAGGCGTGGTAATAGGTGACTAGGTGTCTCTTTCGCATGCGTGCTGGAATCGGTAGGCCCTTGTCAAGCCCCTGGATAATTTCGCCCTATTCGCCCGAAAAAAAGGAACCCTTATCGCTGTGCAGCCTCCCAGGGTCGGAGAACGTATTCTTTCTCGGCGCGTACGTTGTTCCATGAACCCCTGTCGCTCTGGGAGTTGTAAATTGCCAATTCGGGCGAACGGCCCCGGAACAGATGTCGTTCCCAAAGTCCTTCACAAATTCTGAGAAATCATCCGATGGCAAGAAGCGAACAAACCAAGTAGCGCTCGGAGACCAAACTGCCAAGGAAATTCAATGTCCGGGAGCTGTAAACGAAGACTCCCTCACAAAGTTCAGTCGTAACCGATTGGATCTGAGTGGAGACGATCGCATTCATTCTGGCATGATTCAGATTCCCCGCGGCAAAATTTATTCTTCCGGCTTTTATCACTCGTTAAAATGAAATTGCATGCGCCATTTCCGAGATTCTAACGCTCGTGTGCTCAGCTGCTTCATTGTATCGTCTCGCTGACGACTGTATCAGAGCGACGCGAGAAGCACAAAACGGCAGCCGTCGCGGCACGGTATCGGCACGCGGATCCAGCTGCATTCATCCTGAGGCGCATCGGCGCCTGGGAGTTGCATGTTGTCTCAGAGATTTTTTGTGTTTACCGACGTTCAGCCGAGCGGAATTGTCTCGAGTAGTCGGGGTCGTGCCCCGACCGCAGAACGGCGATAAGCACCCTGCGAAAGCTGTCAACAAAATTCGAGAGTCGGAGAACTTGTCTGACAGTGAAAAGGAGGGCTTTTGACAAGACGGCATCCGAGCTATCCGTCTTCGCAACACAATGCCGGAGCATCAGTGAAAGATTTCCGTCGTATTTGAGTCGCGGCTTGCGACACTCTCGATCTTTCGAACGACCCCGATGGCTGCCGGTCGACCGACCGACCGACCGAGCAGGCGAGCGGGCCAGCCCGCCGCTCAAAGCAGCAGCGAAGAGCTCCAAGTTGGCAAAGCAGTGTTTTCTCGGTTGCTCCCTCTCGACCCGCTTCGATGATGGGATATCGGGCGAGGAAAAGAACGCGATACAGTTCGATCAATTCGATGTCGAATGTAACGGTTTCTATTTTGGAATCAACCGCCGAAAACTTCCGTGTTCCTGCCTCGGCTCGGAGTCGCCTCGAGAAGGAAAAATAAATAAATCCGCTTACGTCCCGCGCGCGTACCTTCCGCAATGAAGACCCGACTCGACGTTGTCCCGCAGCGCCGTGCGGAACGACGTGTTTCCTGCCATTGCCAATCGCGTCAAGGAATCGAGCTTGGAATTTACCTATGCTCCGCCGGCAGCGCTGATACGGAACGGTCTCGTCACTCGTGAAGGTGCCTCTCGCTTAGCGCAATAGGGAATATTCAACTCACTCCCTCCGCTCGCTCACTGCTGGATCTATCTTGAGGTCGACGGAGAATCGGGAGACCGCTCCGGCATCGACACGTTATCGACAGCATCGCCCCCGGACTAGATTGAGAGTATTTTCGCGGCTCTAAATCTTCGATGCCGGCGTCAGAAAACTTTTCGAGCTTTTTTACGCGGTCATCGTAAACCAAAGATGACGGAGGCGGAAAGGGGGGGTGCTGAAATTATAATTCTAACCATACGGAGTCGCCCCATATCCCGGTCGAACCCAGAAAGCTGTTCGCTCCGCATAAAATTCCATTGATTGCAAATTGAAACTCTCTGGACTCGAGCGTGATCTCACGGAGTCGGGCTCGGCAACTCCATCTCAATTCAATCTTGCTCGCTCACCGCTTCCTTGAACGCTCTGCAAATAAGCTTTGTCGTTTTCAGGCATTGCATCGATGCTCGCAGCGCTGGCCTACGCAGAGTTCGGTGTTCGTTTCCCTCGTGCGGGCTCGGCGTACTCGTACGTCTACTTCAGTATGGGGGAGTTCCTTGCCTTTATCGTCGGCTGGAATGTCATTCTAGAGAATACATTAGCGATATCCGCTGTTATTCAGGCTTGTGGCGCCTACATAGGTAAGTGGACGCGGCCGCTTCTGGCAGAGGTCGGTCATTCCTTGGAGATCGGAAATTGTGTGCGACTCGGGCCACGCTCGAGTCGCTCTAGTCGAGACAGAGTCGCTCCAGGCCTCGCCACGGCCACGCGAGGCCGCGTAGACATTCCGTTGTGACGTCGCGAAAACGCCTACGGACCAATCTCTGATTCAGGCTTTGCTAGTAGCGTAGAATCCACGAACAAAGCTCGCGTCTGCTCGGGAGTTTATTTACACGTTACGTGTCGGCGGCCTCGTGAGAATATCCGTTCGCTTATCTCTTTTGGAAAATGCAGATGTTGCCGCTCCCCATGACGCATCAATAATGCAACGATCGTGTTACTACTTCTGGAGGGCAGCGTGTAGAAATGCCTATCTAACAGCTTCCATAACTCACTCGGAGCGAGTCGAAGCCAGACTTATTTCTCTCACAACTTCTAATCCCCTTTCCTTGAGCCTTCTTTGAGTCGATGTTGTTTTTCCAGAGTTTTGCCGCATCGGTCCAGCTTCCAGGTTGCAACATTTGTTCGCTCGTCTCTGAGCATTTTCCTCCCGAGTAGACGCTTGCGCTTTTCATACTTTCGACGGAGTTTCTGGATCACCGAATTGTAGGTAGTCTAGCTCCCATCTGAATTTCGCTCGCGTGCGCCTTTCGAGCCTAGGAGCCCACGATATGTTCCATCTCGTTTCACGGCTAGACTCGTGCAGGTCGCGGCGACTCAGCCAAGACACGATGTTCGTTCGCGGAGCCCATGGAGATCATACGAATCATTTGCGCGCGGCTTCAATATATTTTCCTCGCCGATCGTCTCCCGGCGGGCTCGTCCTCTGGAATCTTCATACTCGGGAACTCGACGCGATACCCTCGCCGAGCCGGCTGGTCTTGGGAGCCGCGGCTGTTATCCCCTTGGAATAGATGTTCCGGGAAGTAAGCAGCGATTTATTCAACGCATACCGATGTGACAGAACATCTCGCCCCGCACGAACGATAATTCCTCTGACGGAGCTCCGGGCATGGGTACTCCTGCGGTGAGCTTTGAATGGATTTAGAATTTAGATCCCACGTTCAGAAAAACTGCGGCCTATAAAATGAACCTGCTGTCGTAAGCACTCCGTGATCTTCCGTCCCTATTTGCACCGTAGGTGGGATTTGGAGCGTGCGAACGCATGTTTTCTAGGACCATAAACTTGAAAGTGTCGAAATTCCCACCTGCTGACACGTATCCACGCCGGTCTCATGGCCTTTCTCTTTTATTTTCTTATGGTTTCGTCGAGACATATTACTTCTGCGAACGTTCAACAGAACAGTTCCCAGTCTGTTACGAGTACGGTCGGCGGTTTCCCGAGCGCCGAATACGTTTTGTCTTTACGGAGTGATTCTCTTCCTCTCGAGGAGAACACGAGCATCAGTTGTCAAGTCTCTCTGAATTGAAATTCATCTCTGAATCATTCATAGGGTTCCGAGATATTGACGCCTGGGGAACGGGATGAGAGGCACCGAACGACGGAGCGTTGGAAGAAAAAAAATTGAAAAAGTCATACGAGTTTTGGGCCGCTGTGTCTGAAAGGGCAGAATTCTCGCACCACAGAAAGCGCATGCACTTCTCGTTCGAAGCGCTGCTCTCTCCGTCGTTCTCAGTGGCGGGGAACGTCCTCGATTGTTCTCTCGAGCTTGTTCCATCCCCGTTTCCCCGGACTCTGACTATGCTCCAACAATAGATCTGGCGCTCGTGCCCGAGCCACCGGGTTAGGGGCTTTTCCTCTAGAGAAGCACCTACAGAACTTTAGGAGCGGACTCCTTTCTCGGGTCTGCGACTCTGTCTCGTACTTCTCCGTTCCGTTCCGGTCTCTCAGTGGGAAACAGAAGTCGTGATTAAGATCCGTCCGCTCTAATAATTAGTGGGAAAGTGATGAATATCGAGGTCTGATGCGAGCTGCTCCCGCGAGTTCCACCGGTCGACGGGCCTATGAGATTCATTGATGAGATCGTCGATGGCCTTCGAGTACAGAGGGAAAAACAATGGAAGCCAAAGATGGAACGGAGAGCTTGGGACAGCAAATTACTCGTAACGAACAAAAGCTTGAACGCAATGGGAGGTCCCTGCTCTTGCGCCCGTTCATCTTTCCGTCCCGACCGCCTACTCAGTGAGCGCTGGTTCTAGTTTGTTTGGATGCAAATCAGAACTGTGGGACGGCGCCGAGTGAGCGAACACAATGCAGAGGAGATTGTAGCATTTTGCAAAAGCTCGTTCGGACTTCCAATCGCTCCCTCGGAATCCCGACTCTGTACCGACCCTTGTATCCTCCGGAATAACGGCTCTCTTGGGCGTTCGCTGCGATTCTCAGCGACGGTCAACGGCCCAGATCTCCGATGATAGCAAGTTTTCTCGGTCTGGGTTCCCTGTCCGAACGTTGGAGCCGTGGACGACCAATATGACTAATAATAGCCCTACTAGATGAACATATGTAGTTCGTTGGGTTATCCTGTTATTCTCATTGGATCCTCGGATTCTCCGATTTTTAGATTCACTCATGAACGGAGCCATTTCGAAGTTCATCATCTCCAACATCGGTACACTGACAACGGATGTCGAGCATTCGTACTTCAACACGGAACCTCGTCTGTTGGCGATCGCCATTATGTTAGTGTTCGTCGTCATACTCCTGCTGGGCACGTCCGGAACTTCATCCGTGGGAAACGTACTGTGCGCGATCAACATCGGAATGCTCCTCATGATCGTGGCGATTGGGATTTGGAAGGGCGACGTCAGGAATTGGACGAACGCAAGTACCGGTGAGTTGGAAAACAGTCGAGCCACTTGTGAGTTTTAAGGCTCTTTTCAAACAAGGCAATAGATGACGTTACGGAGCTCCTAGTTCCCGGCTCTTGGTATCCTACCCAAAACACTACGAGATTCTTGTTTGCCGCGAATCCCGGCTCCAGCTGGGACTCTCGAGGAATTCCCGAGGGCCAGAGTGGAAAACAGGGATTAGCTCTCCTGAGCTTGAATAACAGGGAACGTGTCGCTAGCTGTTTCTCTCGCAAGCTCACTCTATCCCCGGCTTAGATCCAGGATCGAAATGAATTGTTCCGTCCTGGGAGAGCTTAGGATACAACCAGAACAGCGGCACGGAGGCGACAAGAGAACTAAGTGACAGACAGATAGACCTGCTCGATGTTGGACAGAGCGCGTGGGTGTTCAGGGCTCAAAGCCGCCGCCGGCGAAAACTACAGAGAAAACTGTCATAACGTCCCACGGTAATAGATTACGCTTGCGAAGAGCCGTTGCTTCCGGAGCTCTTCAACTTGTCCCAGATTTCTTCTCGCTAAATGTCGCTCAGGCTGGGGATCCGAGCTCGAGCGGTATCGGTCGTCCACGGTGGGAAACTCCCACCGACTCCCCATGGCATTGGATGGTTGGGGGTGAGAACGTTTCAGAATTAGCGAATCGTCCTGTTGGGCGACACGGCCCCTCATCGTTCCGTAGAATGCGTTTCCTTGGGCACTCGAGTGCATGACACCGGACGGTGAGTTTTCCCGGCGAGAGCACTACTCCACACCGGCGCAACCTGCGCTTCCCATCGGCGGAAATATCGCAAACAGGGGAAGCGTGACTGGGTTGGCTCTTCCAGCGCGTTGACTCGTTTCCCAATGCGCCGTCGTTTACGTAAACTCTCCTCTCTAACAAAATCCGTTTGCTCACTTATTTCGACATGTCCGGTCGTGATATGCTTCTCCCGCACGCCATTTTATGCTTGGCATAGCCAGAAGTGAAGCACGAAAACTCCCAGCTCCGTTTCGTCGAATCAGTCAGTTCCGAGGGAATGCGCGCGCTAGAAGTCCTACGTACACATACGTATATTCCTAGACGAAAGCCGAACCAGATGCCGGTGAATTTGATCTGATCTGTTGCCAAGGAATCGGGTTCCCCAGACAATCTTTGGCATCGAAGAAGTCTGCTGACGAAATTCGTCGGTTCCGGAGCGCTCGTCGCAAAGACTCGTTCTCGTTCGTTTGGGGAGTCGCAGGAGAAAACACGGAAGATACCGGACGTAATAAATATTAATGAGCGGACTTGTACGTTGCGGTTCAACACGCATTGTCGCCACTCGACTATTCATTCCAGAGCAGACGATGAATAAACGCCGGCTTGACCTTCTCTGGCGGGGCCTTAGCGAGGCCTTTGATTAACCTGCGACGCCTGTGATACCGTCTGGACGCGGGACTTATACTCTGCAGAACATATTAGCCGAACTTCGCAACGCCGCTCGATCACGTCCATCGTATTCGTATAATACGACTCGACGTTTTCGATACGCTATTTTTCCCTCTAGTGAGGGAAGAGCACGGATTCGAGCGGAAGCCCGATATGAGTTCAAAAAATTCGTAGCATGATTGGACGAAGTCTCCGAGACGGCAGCATCGGCGAAGGAGCCTCCGAAGCAGTAATTGATTTTTTTTCCAGGCGGTTTTTTCCCAAAAGGCTGGCAAGGGGTTTTCAGTGCGGCCTCGATGTGTTTCTTCTCGTACGGAGGCTTCGACGCAATTTCGGCTGCTGGTGAAGAGGCCAAAGATCCACGGCGCTCAATGCCAATCGCCACGATTGTTGCCATGATGACCGTGACGGTGCTCTACACGGCTGTGGCGGCGTGTTTGACTCTGCTAAGAAATTGGACACAAATCAGCCAAAACGACGGTAATTTCTTAGCAGCTCGATTCGTTCTCATGGAGAAGAGTCCATTGTCACGCCGGAATCCTTGATTGAAAGTACCTCTTCCTAGTCGCATTCGATTATCGCAGCTGAATTGAGCACTCCCCTCTCGTCAACGACAAAGAGCCGTCCTCGTTCTACATGATCACGAGGGTCATCCGTGCTACTATCGAGAATGAGATCCCGAGCAGATGGATCGTTTATTGTTATTTCGCGGGATGTGCAGTCGTAACACGAGGAATGCGAGACGGGATCGTTCATCTTAGCCCGAGGAAATAGATGTGAATGTATTTTCGTCCGACTCGCGACATGCCGCGCAGCGAGGACATGTCCACGGATGGAAGCGGAGGAAGCTCCTTAGAGCTGCTTTCGGATGGATATTCAGTGTCGCGAAGGAGTTTACTCTGACTGGCGCCTACGTAGGTACTATTTGCTCCGTCCTCCGACGTTGTCGACATTCCCCACCAAGCATTGGCCAAACGTCAAAAGCACTCTGCCATCTAGGGACTACGGGTATTCCGTTTCTGAAGCTGGATTACTCCTGGAACTCGGTTCGAGTCAGGATGAGACTGCCGTCGTACAGAAATTCTAGGTTAGGCGTCTTCCTAGAAACGTCGAGGAAGAGCTCTGCTCAAATGAAATCCTGAGGAATAGATAATCATCATTACACTGTCTTATGTGAGTGAGACGGAGGTCGAGGGGTTCTCGTCGACAGAAGCGAGGCGCGAAAGCTCATCATTACGGCCGGACCTCCGAAGGGGACTCGCAGGAACTGGAGGGTTCATTCGAAGTGACGGGCCTGTCCGACAAGTGTGCATTTGCGTCCGATCGCGAACCTCGCGAAAGGAGGTGAATTAATGTTCCTCGAGCAAATAGTCAGGACGAGATTTCCCAAGGAAAGAACCGAACGTTCGGGAGATATCATCATTGAGATCTAGGGGCGGTTTCGAATCTCTGCATATTCTTTGAGAATTTGTTCCAGCCGGAGCAACGCTGGGCAGCGAGACCGCGACACAGGAATTCAGGCCGGGAATCGAACGCACTTCGTCTAACGGGAAAGGAGATCCCTGCGATAGCGACCTGTGTCTATATTGAGTCTTACCTTTGCAGGATTTCCGGATGCCATGCAGCACAATGAAGTCTACTGGGCTAAGTATCTTGTAACGATAGGAGCTATGTGCGGTATGACAACGGTATCTGTCGTGACATTGTACACGATTGTGCGGGCGGCCTACTCGATGGCTGAGGACGGACTCCTATGCCCATTGTTCGCCGTTATCTCGAAAAGGACGCAGGTAAACACATATGTATTGGATGTACAGCAATCGTATGTGCGATATCACAGCGAACGAACTGTGGCTTCGACTATCACTCACCATGGTCTTCTCTGACTCGTTCAGTCCCACGGTAGCCGACGGGTCACTCATGGGCTACGTTCGAAGTTTTCATTGGCTCCAGGTCCCGCAATATTCCATGTTGATTTTCGCGTGCGTCTCCACCACGATCGCGGTTTTTTTCAACATTGAAACCATCGTCGACATGCTTTCGATCGGGACTCTCATGGCCTATATGATGGTCACCTGTGGTCTGGTCGTATATCGCTACTGTGGGGTGAGTTCCGCCCTGAGCGGAAGGCCAAATAACTTCTGCGGGTTCAGAACAGTTTTGATTGATCCTTGCCGGTCTCGCGATTTCTCCACTCGGAAAATTTCACAGCAACTCGATGTCGAATTTCAACATTCATATTTCTTTCAGACAGGCGACGTTAGCCTGGAGTTCAGGCGTTTTCCTCGGCTCAATCGCGTCAGACCTCCGTTTATCGGACAACGAGCATTCGTCTACCTGAACTTGGCCCTAATAATCGCGTTGAGTTTCATCCTCTCCTTCGCGGTTCAGGTGAGGACAGGGTCATACGAGAGCGGGTGGCGGGTTGAGCGCAGGTGTAAGAATGGGAAAAGAGATTGGCTCCCGGAAATATATTTCCGGACAGCGCCGGCGTACCTGGAAAATAGCTTCTTCTCGCGGCCGCCGTGCGAGCTGTTATCCCCCCTCTCGAGAAGTCATTGGGTGGGAGCAACAGACTGGACTCCGTTTTCCGCAACAGCGCGCCAACAAACGTGTCCCTCGATATTTTTTCCTCTTTCCACGAGAATGCACGTCTCTATCCTCAGGCGAGATAAGCTATTCGTCTACCGAGAACACAGATTCCGCAAACTGGGATCCTACTGACTAGCGGTGTGGCCCGTCGCGTTCGGTCGAGCGGGCCGGTGAACGTTCCGGAATATGCGATAAAAACACGTGTACGGACCGTTGCCTTGCGTTCGGAGAGACAACGACTCTTGGGCTGCCTGAGTCAGAGACACGCAGTGAGAAATGGATTCTTATATGACATCAGCGTGAGGGGTACAGTGGGAGTCCGCTTACTTTCTGGCACGAAACTTCAGTGGAAATGGGGCTCGTGGGGAAGAATACCCAACGGTGATTCGATTGCGACGAACAAAGCTCACTGCCGATGAGCGCCGAGTTCCGGAAGGATATGTTCAGGCTGAATAAAAATAATAGGCAATTTCCCATGTCTCAGGGTCTCTGGAACGATCCAACCTACCTCAGTCAGATCACCGCTGGAACACTGATCCTGGTTCTTACTTCGTTACTTTCCGCGCTCGAGGAAGTTCCTGACCCATGCCAGACGTACAGGGTGAGTTCCGATGATGAACTACTGCGTCTCCTAGATTTTATTCCATCTGGGGCTCCCGTCGAAATCTTCATTTATCGCTATCTTGTTCGTTGCAGATGCCTTTGATGCCGTGGATGGCGGTCGTCAGCATCATGGTGAATTGTGTGTTGATGAGCACGCTACCCGGAATAACATGGGTACGACTCATTGTCTGGTTGCTGATAGGTGAGTAGATCTACGCCCTGGGCGGCACTCTATCGGAGAATTTCAGAGCCGCAATGCTCGGTCTTTCGCATTCAATAGAAAAACGTGTCGCCCCGAGGAACGAAATTGTAGTTGGGGGGCGGCATCTTGGTCGACCACGCTCAGCAGAGCGGAAAATTCCAAATCATTGCCAGGGCAACACTTCGGCATGCCATGTCATCGCGTCAAAATCTGTCGGCGTGACCCGCGGTAGATACCAGCGCGTCGGTGTTCTGCTTGCCTGCCTAGCAGCGTACTCAGGGGGGAGGGGGGTCCCAAGGGTCCCCCAAAATGTTCAGCCGTAATGCTAATGTATACGAGCGGGTAACCATTTTGGACACTTGGACCCCCCAAAATCGGTCGAGCTTGGTCGTTCGAGTTTCCGATTGACCCTCATGGCTTTCGAGTGAACCCATGAATTCCAGACTATCTATGGATCCAGGCTCGAGTCTGGAGCATTAATAGATCATCACCAATCTTAGTTAATGCTGCAGTCGAAAGTTGGGGTCCAGATAGAAAAAAGCATTCCAATCAAAATTTATCATCCGAGCGGGCTCCCGATGCGACGTGATCATTAATCATTCTGTCTCTATGGTAGCTGGAATCCGATACGTTCAGATTTCTCCAGAACGCGTCGCCTGAACTCCTTCTGTCTGGATTTGCGTCCCTTCTTATCGACAGTGAGGTCGTGAGGCGGAATTCGTTCACGGTCGTGCAAGGATTTCCCACAACTAGCCATCCAAGAGCCTTCCCCTGTCGAGGAGGAGCCGGGAGCAAAACCCAGGGTCCAGAGGGTCCTATTTTTTTCCTGAAGATACGTCCCTTGTCGAGGTCTCCAGGACGTTCTGTGGCATGAAAGTTCTGTTGGAGTGACTCTCGTGGGAGCGTACAATCCTTCTTTCGCTCGATCATCGATGACCTGTCGAAAAGTGCCGAGAAGGGAAAAGGCGAGGCAGTCAGCTGTTACACGAAATAGGCTCCTAGTGGTGTTCGATCGGATATCATCCGGCCTACATCGGACAAACTAGAGCTCGTCGAGTCATCCGACATATGATGTATCGTCCTGACGTCGCGAAGTCGGGATGCTCCAGGGATCCCGCCGAATTGGTCCTGTAAACACATTCCTAGACTCCACGTCCATCAATCAACCAAGGGCTGACCTTATCCAGACATGAAAAGAAAAACTCTCAATCACCTGGTGCGAGCAACTCTTGCTCATTGGTAGTTCTCCCGCGAAAAACTGCTCGCACGAGCATATTCCCGACGGTTCCTTTTTTGCTTGTTCGACCCCGGTCTGCGCCCCTGTCGATGCGTCGTTCCGATTTGTCTAGCCATGCAGATTCGCTGAATGTGTCCCGCCTGCGGCAGTGAAAGCGCTTACTTGACGGCTGGCAGCATTCTGATGGCCTGATGAGAATCTGATTGATCGGGAACAAATGTGGTGGACCCAAGGGGGCGCTCGCATATACATGGGGGGAAACCATCGAGGGGGTGTGAGAGTGCGTATCGTATTTCGAGTCGTCGATCGCACATCTGTCGGAACTCTCATATGAGTAGTGCTCATTCATTCCGTATCCATCTCTCTCTTCCACAATCCCACAAGGTGATGAACATTCCCAATCATTCCTCTCGTCTTGGCTGAGTTTCGTTGCCGCTGTAGGAACTTACAGATTGGGGGACACGGGCTGCCCTGACCCCGCCGCCGGTAATTCGCGGCTGACTGGCTACTAACGCACGAATTTCTCATCGGTCGAATATTAAGTCCTTGTAGTTTCTTCCATGGAAGCCTCGGCACATTCGCCTGTGGAAAACCTCTCGCCTCTTTCTCGGAGGAAATCAGGAATGTCAGATCTCTTCTTTTCGGAGCATGTTCCGAGAGGATACTGTAGCTCGGAGCTTCTCTCGAGCACGATCGGTAGCCCACGGGTACCCCCGATTCGAGGGCAAGATTGTCGAGTTGCCCCAGCGCCCGAGGAAACAGTCGTCGAACTTCTCCGTCAGTTTACATTCTAGACTCACTCAGTCAGCGTGGATGTAAATCGTTTCGGCCCTGTGGCATTCGGTTAAAGACAGCAGATCACAAGAGACTTGAGGAGACGAGAATAGAAATCCACAACTCGATTTTCAGCGACGGGGCTGTGATCATGGAAACAGGAAGAGAACATCAAGGAGAGCTTATCCCAATGCTTCCCTCGCGGACTCCCCCAAAATCTTGATCGAACGCTTGTCTATATCCAATACGATCCGTTGTATGGCTGCGGAGTCATTCGATCTCCGAGCCAATCGCTGTCTCCGAACGACTAGGAGAACTTGAATGACAGAGCTCAACACACGCTCCTTGCACCGGGGGAGTCGGAGGGAGGTTCGAGTCTGGCAGCCGGATGAGGCGACGTTCCCCTAGCAGAGTTCGAGTGTTTTCCAAAGAGGAACTGCATGTTTCGCTAGTCGAATTTCTCATGACCGAAGAGTAGATGTTTGATCATCTCTCTCGCGACTCCCGAAGTTCTACCGGATCTCCGCTGCTTAGGTTACGATTCCGCAAACATTCCTCAGAAAACTTTCCACCTGATCCTTCCTCGCCCTTACATTCAGACACAACAGAACTCCTGAACCGTTCCTCTCGCCTCGAACTTCCTAGGGAATTGAGGAGACCTGAGGGTGCCCCGGTGTAGCCGTTCGCAGAGCTCATGGACCTCTGGTGCGACGTTTTTTCTCCTGACGAATATCAGAGGATGAATTCTACTATTGGCCTCGATTCCATTTTCTCCCGAAGAGCTTTCTACATTCGGGAAGCGGGTGATCCGGGTGAAGCAGCGAGCCGGGCTCGCATCAGTGTGTCTATAAGTATCATCAATCAGACCATCCGGCACATTTATCATCCACGAGTGAAACCAACAAATGAAGAAATTATCTCAATTAGGACGTCTCCTATACTCTTTCGTAGAAACAGATCAGCTCTTTGTTGCACTTTTTCGACTCACTCAGCTGAGTGGTCGTCGGGCGGTGCTCCTCGTGGGAAGGTCTCGCGGAAAAATTCACTCGATGGAGGCTTCAACAATTTTCGGGGCTACGACGGGTCGCAATCACCGATTTCGTGGGGCCAATGACAATTCGCGAAACAACCAGCGGTTTTGGGTACACGATACAATTTTCGAAAGTGCTTTGCGATGCCCCGGACATTGTTACGCGACCCCGGGAGAATTCGCCACGCAACAGCACAAGTCAAAAACGACTTCGGGGGCTATTGAAAGCAACGATTTCAGCTGCCGTCGGCGGAAGTCTCGGCTCCCGGGTCGGAAGTCGTCCGACTATAGAATGCCCATGGGTGGCATTCCCTACCATTCCTCGAAGATCTACGGACGACCTGACCATCGTCACGGCTCTGTGAAAGTCGAGGAACGTTCTCCTTTCCCAAAGAAAGAGTGAACTTTTTTTTGCGTTTCTCTACTCCGGGAAATTGGAGCATCGGCGAGATCAAGGGATTCTGAAGTATGTTTCCCGAAACTTACTGGCCGTGTTCCTCGGCCAAAACTGGGCTCCCGGAGTCGATATTAAATCGACCGGAAGAATCCATCGCGGTGCTTGAACGGAAAATATGCAGAAACCAGAAAGTCTCGAACAAGTTCGAGACATCGATCGGACGCTTCCCACAGGCGTCGGAAGGAGCTGTTTGTACGCTTTGCAAACCGCCGATTCAGCCAATAGCAATATTCGGCTTCGATCTCGGAGCTTCACTTAACCGTAATCCTTCCCATTGATCCCCGGCGCGTTTGTTCAAACTTCCATGCCCTGCCCGACAGGTCGCGGTGGTAGGCTCGACGGCGCCGACACCATGGCCACTGTGAGCCGCCCTGGTCGCCGATTTTAACGAGCTCTATCCCCTTGTGTGGAGATAATTGCAGATTAGCTTTCCCGACCTTAAAAGTCGTCTCTAACATCTCCTTTCTCACTTTTCAGGAAGTATAATTTACTTCACCTACGGGATCCGGAACAGCGAGCTAGAACGGAGATACGCAGCATGCGGCAAGAATCCTGAAAATAATATTGCTCTGTGATATCCCTGTAAACATATGATCCGTGTCATAAATTCCGAAACTTGTAGCTCTTCGAGTATATGACACGAAAAAGAAACATGTTTTGATGTATACAGAAAATATCAGATGTACATCTCCTCTTTACGATGTTTGTTTTCGGGACAGATGGAGATACACATAAGCGTCTGACCAGAACTTTGTAACGTTGTCTCTGAGACACGGAGAGAGACCGGTCCCGAGTTTATTGGCTCGACGATCTCGCTCGCCCTGCGAGCGTTCGGAGTGAAAGCGGGGACCTACATGCAGGATCTGATGGAAAAATTGATTCTGGAATCCAAGTCGTGGACATTTTTAATTATTCAAAAACCGGAACAAAAGGTATCTGAGTTCTCAATGGCGAGACGGGCGGAGACAGCTCCTTATCCGGACAGCGGGTGAGCCGAGTTGGAAAATTTGTCTTCGAAGAGCACTTCTCTGGAGAGGTCTCAATTCATTAATTCGGCTGTGGGAGTGTCCGGTGTATCCGTGAAGATTATCAGCGGCTGCCGTGCTCCCGTCGGCGGATTCCGGGAAGGATTCGGCAACTCGACGGAATTAAGTCACCAGATCCGGAAAATCGGCGAAAATACATAATTGCAGAGCGAATCCTATCGGAATGCATATGCATTGAAAGCATGCATTGGACAAACGTTTCGGTGCTGGACTCAACCAGGGAGGCTCTCGTTTGGGAGGGGTGCCTTATTTTCCATTCTTTCCGTAGGGTACCTTCCATCGAAGGGATGCTTCTTTTCCAAGACGGGCATCCATCAGAAAAAAATGCGGTATTCTGCTTATTGCTCCGACAGGTTGCGTTTTACATGAAGAATCTGTCAGATGAGACTTGATCTATGACAGCTCCTCTCAGCCGGCATGAATGCGGCTCGACGTCAGGTCAAAGTTTGTCAGCTGTCTGCTGTGAGGCCGAGAGTTGTACCTCAGAATGTTGGACTCGACAGGCTCCCGGGCCCTCTAATCGGTTTTCGCTCCGAATCCGATATCCTCGAGACAGAAGCAGGTACAGCTTCCTGGACGAGCTCTGACTGAAATCACCCGTCAACAGCGGACGAACTTTATCGAGGACTGTTTTTCTTTTGCTTGTTTCTTCTCGAAAAAAGCTTGCCTCGGACTTCTGTGTGTGTGCTCGGAGTGGTAGAGACTCCCGTACCTCCATGAGTGACTGTATCCCAATCGACTCGCTAAGGTCTATTCCGAGAGCCTAATGATAGCAGCCTGCCACCAGAAACACAACTCCACAACAAGAAGGGATCGCATTCCCCTTTTGCTTCGGCCTCGACAGAGTGAACGGGAGTTCAATCAGGACGATTGAGCACCCGCCTATGAGAGCTTCGGGGGAGTTCCACGCTAATTCCCAACGAGGAAGAATGACAGTGTCCAGATCAGCCTCGAGCGACTCTCTACCGCCTTCCACAGATGCTGGAGCCCCCAAAGAAGGCTGGAGCTCTACATGTTTCACGTAGAATCGACTACCTGTGAGGGAATGACGGTGGGAGTAATATAACAGCGGGAATCTAACCTTCGTGATTCCTGGAAGGCGAAGCTGGGAAGAGCCAGCCGCCTCAGCTTCCACCACCAGGTGGTCTTCGACCTCCGCTGATCGATGCGAGGAAGTCAGTCAAAAGCGGGAAAAGCTCCGAAAGGCGGGAGATCTCCTCTCCTAGGAGACTGAGCGTGGTCTGATTCGATTCTCCGCCATCAGCGAATAGCTCGTTGGTGGAATGGGAGATATGCTCCGCCGAAGAGCACGCGAGCTTTGCATCTGTGCTCCGAAACCGAATAAATAAAAAAAGCTCCTCCGTCCTCGCGCTCTATGTCCTCCGCGCGAACTCCATGACATCAATGCAAGGCGAGGTAATGACGTCGCCCGCGCGGAACTCCTCACTTTGCCTCCTCAGTCGTTGATCTTCGCTGACAAACTGCATATAAGCGTCAGAGCTACTTGTGGAGATGATTCCCCTCGTCTATGTTTGTCTAGGTTTTCCCGACGGTCACCGTGAGTCACGAGGAGCTCCTTAGTCGAGGCTTCCCCATTGGAGAGTCATATACCGACAGAAATTTTCATTCACACGTATGCCGAGAAAGTCCGTGAGGCCCACCGCTCTGCGCTCATATCAATTTCACGCTCTGATTAATTTCTACCGACAAAGGCGGAAAGTTTCGCAGACATCCTGAAAGCTCTCGAAAATTTGGATTTTCGGCACGACGCCGAGCGACACGCGAGCGGCGTCTCTTCTAGTGCTGTACGCGTGTTGCCGAGAATAGTCGACAGGGCTGACTTTGACGCGGTTGTCAGCCGCGACAACGCGGATTCGACCGGAATTTCCCGGGTCTTGCAGAAATTAACGGTGAATTCACTTCGCAGCTCGCCTCGCGGAAGTTCTGTCCCTCTGGCTCGCGTTCCAGAGATTCCACGACAGCTAAAAACCCATCTCGCACTGCTTGGAGACTTCGGGATGAAGTTTATAGAAGACATTCCTGACTGAATATTTATGAGAGGAGTCTCGCGGCTCAGGAATGTATCAGGACCTACGACAAATCTCGAAGAACACCTTCCCCGGAATCTTCCAGCCAGCCGAGGCAATAGGAAAGCCGCTTATTCCGACAGACAGTGCCGACGACGCGCCGGCATCTCTGACTGCTTCAAGGAAAGTTCCAATGAGCTCCTTTCCCGTGTTTGAGCTCCAGCGTTCACCCAGTCGGCGGCACAGACTGCATCGGATTTCGGGTTGACGAAGTCATTTCGGGCGGAACAGGATGTCTCGGTTCGCCTCCGGGAGCTCGTTCCACGAGCGGATTCAATTGGAAAAAAAATCCGGCGGCGTCCTCCGGGGATTTCCGCCGGGAACTCCGATATCGCAGTTCGGAACTCATGCCGAAGTTTCGCTCTGCAACGAGCTCCGAGCTCATCGACCGATCCCTCTGTTGACGAAAAACTGCTACGAGTGCAGTGTCGTCGACCAACAATATTCGCTTTCATGGTATTGAATTTTTGAGGTATCCCCTAAACGGAAAATCCGATTCCACCGCAGTATGAGTCTCGGGGATTGTAGTTTCATGTTGACACACGAGTAATAGGAGAACCGAGTCTGGAAGCCCAGAATCATACTGCTTCCGTCCACCATCAAAGCGTGCTATTCTCCCAACTTCCCGAGGGAAAAAAGGTTGCGGAAGCGATCCCGCACTGGTCGGTCTACTTTCTGGCGGGTCCGATGCCTGCAGCCTCTCTGCAGTCGATTTCCCGGGAGTTTCCGTCGCGTTTCCGTTCACAATTGCGTAGCATGGGATTGCACGATTCAAGTTCGTTGATGGGCATATCGGATTATCGTAGACATCCCACTCATGGCGAGAGGAGCCAACGTCTGCAACGTGCGAGCAATAGATATCGACCTCTGGTCTCACTGAGTGAGTGAGGCGACAGCTTTTCGGAGATGCAATCCATTCCCCGCTCGGCATGGATTCTCGCAAATGGAACAATAGGCCCACTTATCTCGCCAATCGCAGACAAGTGAGTTCGTACGGTGGATTGCCACGGAATGGCAAGTACAATTAATTCCGAGAAACAGTTTCGCTTCAGCGCATCAGGGAGAGGATGCTCCGATGATACGATTCGGGAGCATTTCCGTCGATTCCGATTCGGCAGCTTTCCGCAGATAGATGCCAAGATTCTTCACGAATTATATGAGAATCATGAGACGTTCGATGGATGGATTGATTGTTTATTGATGATTCCTCCTTCGATGGAAGCAGAAGAAATATGATTCCGGGGAAACCCACACGAGGGAATCGTCTTGCTCTAGGTCGCCAATAATATTGTGCCGACTCCTGAGCACGAAACTTGCTTCCCGTCGGTATTGGAGCGTACAAATTAGTGGGTCGGATGAGCCGAAGGTGTTTTCACGCTCGAATCCATCACTCGAATGTCCGCGGCCGGCATGGGGAAATCTTTATTCGATGCATTTGGGATATTTCCTCCTGTCTGACTGATTTCCGCGGGCCTTTTCCGCTCTCTAGGAAAATCTCCTTCTCACCATCAGATAGATCTCGTCGCTCTTTGCTCGCCGCTCTCACGTTTTTCTATCGATTCGATACATCGAGGATGGCTCACGTGGGACCTTTCTGCCTGATCCTTTCGTTGTGTGTCTCAATTTTCCTGGCTCCTGCCGTAGGGAGCTTCATCGCCACTTCTTGTCTCTTCGACCCCAGGATCACACGGCAAAGCAGGAGTTTCTAAAGCCACACCCGTAAGCTGCGAAAATTTTGGAATCCATGAACGCGCGCGGAGGCTCCGAGAGCGCGGTGTGTCCAACTGAGCACGAAGCCTGTCTCAACCGAAGACTGCCGACAAACGGGCATGAGCGAGTCCTTTCCCTATGGTTTCTTGATCGTCGACAAGTGCGAACACACCGGGACTCGCGATGGAATTAGAGCAGGAAGCTCACTGGCGGCCGAGTATGCTCAAAATACCGTCAGGCTCGATATTTTCGTGGCCGACCCCGACGGAGGGGGAGCTATCGAGACTGTGGCGATCGAAAATGAGTGCAACTGTGTTATCAAATGACGCATTAATCGAGCACGCTCGCGATTATCTCTTGTGGACACCCGCTGATTTCGTGCGTGACGCGACTCCGCTTCGATATTCGGTGGCTGGCCATTGTAGAGCTATTTTATTCCTTCAACGATCAGGCGTAAGGCTCGGCATGGCGAAGTCTTGAGCTCTGCGAGACATCTCGCTTTCTTGATGGCATGCATATCTTCTCATCGTCCGAACCGATATTGATCGGCTATGAGGTCTACATAATGTACTCTTGGACCGCACTTCGGGAGGGGGGAAGATCACTGAGGGATTAGTCATTTCTCAGAAGTCGACGTCGAATTATGGATATGTGATTCAATAAAACTACTGTACGGGATCATAGCTCAGAGCCGACGACTCATTTAGCCGGGTAGATCGTTTTGATTTCCAATAGGAAGTTTGAGAGAGTCCATCCCACGAAAGCTCACCCGAGAGACTTCATGCCTTCTAGGAAGAAAGAAAAGTTCAGAATGAAGATTTGATCACCCATGAGTCAGGCTCATGAGGGGACCAATCGAGGGAACGGAGCCGTAGACCCAGACGCAGCGTTCTCGCAGAAGCTTTCCGAACTTTGAGGAACGACTTCCCGTCCGCACTCGAATCTTCATGGAACATAGGGCAGCGCGCAGCTCGGGTAAACAGCGCGTAACGAGCATTTCGAGTCCCCATTACTGACAGGTCTCTCTAGAGTCTAGACAGACTCGATAGCATAATAATCGGACACACATTCGATGTATCGAAATCAGGAAGTTCTTCACTCAGAAGCGTCTTATGATGCTGTCCGTGGAGGGAAACCCGAAACGCTCTCATTTTTGTGAATCATGAGGGAATTATGCCCGCGTCAACTATTACTTTGAAAGAAGAATCCCGGAGAAACACCGCCGGAGGGTGCGCAGGGGAGGTTTGGGGGAGCGCAGCTGGTTTGAATGGCACTTCGGCTGAACGACAAGTGCTCTAGTCCCGTGTTGGCTTCGAAACCCTGCCTCCGGAAACTGGGAGATTTCTCACGCGAGTAACACCTCGAGTACGTGAGATTTCTCGCCCTTCTGGACAGCACAGCAGCAAATCCTATCTCCGTAAACCCGTATCCTCATATGGATCGGAAAAGACCGCCCGGCGGGGGGCTGACCCGGCCTGGTTCATGGGGAAAGGAATGTCCCGGACAAGAAGGTTGCGTCGATTCGAAGGCGCCGATATCTCGTGATGTCGATGAGGTCATCCGTGCTGACACCTCCCTCCGCGCGAGGGAGCCAGCGTGCGCGCTATCGCATCTTTTTGACCTCTCACTTTTCCGTATCAGCTCACTCCCGGATCTCGGAGCCGACTTCCTCAACGAGACCTATTAGCTGACCATTAGAATCGAACGTGGGACCTTCAGGGAGACTCGGTGATCTTCGATGAGTTTGCACGAAACCTCAGATCGTCTCGGGGTCTCGATGAAGCCTCCATCACTTCCCCTTTCCTGGATTCCGACCTGTCGGAGAATCTGGCTTTGGATCCTCATTCCTCGCTTGCGGCACACTCTCCCCAAGTCCCACCAATCGTCTCACGTAACTTTCTGAGTGTATCGCTTCGCAGTACCTAATTTCTATCTCACTAATTCAAGGGTACTGGCTCGAAATTGTTCATATTGTACCGCAATCAGCATAATCCGCCTATTTAGCGTCGTCCTGGACCTCACGCAGATATATGCTATCATGATAGCCTAGCCGGTGATGCCTCCGTCGAGCATCGCAACGTGGACGGGAACACGTACGATTGTCGCGATTTCCAACTCCGTCAACTGTCCCCCCTTCCCCCCACGCCGGCTGTTCTGATGCTGATGACTTGGGCTAAGAACGATAAGCGAGGCAATCAGAAAATGATGCACGAAATTTTTATTCTATTTCGGGAATTATACGTTGGAGCGTCACGATGTTCACGAATACAGGGGTTCGCTGATGTAATCGCAAAGTTATCCGCGGGCTGCTCCTGCGATGCATGCTCTGGCTCAACGGTATGTCCGGAGTCTCAAAACTCGCCTTCGACCGAGTGCTATCGAATTAGACCTCGTCCCTCAGCTATCCCGAGTAGGTGTCGCTCATGAACACAATCGCGACAAAAAAATATGAACCCGAACTTGAGGTGCTCGGCGAGGACCAGAGACTCTCAGTCGGAGCTACAGCCTAACGAGAGACGCTTGGCGACAGCCAGCTCGAAGAATCAGCCGATCCTCTGGCTTCCATTCCCGTGGGGGAAGACGAAGGAGACGCCTTATATTTGGCTTGAACATAGCCTTCCTTACTAATGAATTCTGAAGAACTTAGTCCTCCCTATCTGAGCCTCCTCATTCGCCGCCATTTCAAGTTTGCCGAGCTCATTAATACTCAAGGACGGGATTTTGCGGTCTCAATGTGGAGGGATTTCTGTTTTCCAGCCCTTAGCGATCGGAATTCACTATTTCCGAGAGGAGAAAAAATATTTAACCCTCCCAATCGGAATCTGTCTTTATTCCGCACAAGAGTCTGCTTTCCGCCAATCGAGTTCCACCAATGCAGCTCATTAGTCTTTCTCGGCAGGGCCATTGGCTAGCTTTTCACCAAATCACATTTTCGAACTACTTCAGAGCCGTAAGTTGATTTCTGAGCGGAGGTCTATTCTCTCCTGTGTTTCGTTCGACAGAAGGGAATTTCTGTCCTCCCTCCTATTTTGGTCGAATGCGTGTCTTTTCTCTCCATCAAAAGCCGTGTCGCTGCGTGATTCTTGACATTAGTGCGGTCAGATGAGTGACAATGGACAGCGACTTCCTCAGCGTCTCTTCTCAGTGCAGGGACACCATTCAGGTTAACGATACTGCGCACGACCTCCTCGCTGGTCACTCCGTAGGGGCGCACTCTCCGACGGCCTAGAACAATTTCCAGATCCCAGAGTCGAGCCTATGGAGCATGGCGTGCGTATTCCGCAATGTTCGGCTCTCGGTGGCCGCTCCGTCAGATTCCTACTATATGACTTCCATGTTTGCGGAAGACCTCTAGACGCGAAGTACTCACTTCAAGCGAAGGGACTCGAGTCTTCTTGATGTTATCAGACAACCGACTGTCTGGATTCCGCAAAAAGTTACTCTCGTACGGCGGATAAGAGAATTCGACACAATGTGTTCATGTCGAGGTTCCTATTTGTCAAAGGTCGGGATGAGGAACGAACAGCGAAGGCCATTATTGGAAGTCGTATCATCTCTGAAACGCATTGTTTCGCTCGAGGAGGATATCTCTGGAGAGGCGGTGAACGATAGACTCCGGTCACGACGTCATGGATCAGGTCCGGAGCGCTCGGTGCCGCGCCTGACCCGTAGGAAATATGAAGATCTGGACACTTCCCGGTGAAGGCTGAATCAAGAACAATCGACCGCGTTCGTAGAGCAGCAGCATACACCTGAATAGAGCTGGGAAATCGCTGACCGGAACCACGCGGGCGACCTCACTCAAGCAAGCGTAGCGCAAGCGGTGGTCTCCTCCCCGATGGGAACGGTTCGCGTTCCTGGAAAGGAAAAACGTTGAATGTTGACGTCTCTGTCGATTGCGTTGGGAATACCTCGAGATATTCTTCGTAAAAGAAGTCGAAATTTTTTTCTATAGCTTCACCTCAGAATGAGAGCGTGGAAGTCTTCGGCCCTGTCCTCGAGGTTACTCTCGAGGCTCGAGCTCGGTCCGAATTCCTCTCCGGGAATGCCTTCACCAAGGGGAACCTTCGGAGAGACATCTCAGATAAAAAAGCGAACGTAGTATGCGATTCTCATGATCGGAAACGCTGAACGGTCGCTATTCTCACATTTCCTCCTGCGTAATCGTAGGAGTGCAAATCCGGCGATACTCGCGAACTCTGGAAGAAACTGTCGTCAGAGGAACCGGCCCCGAACTGATTACGCTGCTCGCCTAAAAATTGTGATCTGGAATCCCAAGAGCGACCTAGAAGAAGTCGAGCGCGGGCCCTTGAACATTCATCTCTGTCGCAGCACCGAGATTCCCCGGGATCGACTCAAATGTCGCTTGTCGTCGACGCCTTGGAAGAATATTCTTTCATTCGCTCCGGTTTTTGTCTTGAAGCGACAAAGTGACAGAGGGGATCGCTTCTCGTTCTCTCCCGGAGCTGCAGCCCGTGCGAGAGGAAAACGAGTTCGAGGCTCCGCTGCTCCAGGCTAATCGACCACCGATGAATGAACAGGGGAGATGCACGACTCCAAATAGAGGGGTTTTCCATATTCACCGACCGTTCATTACTCCACACCCGATACATACATTAAAACTCGACTCCTTTAGTTCATATGGATCCATTTTTGATTCGCGGTCAGAATTCCTCCTCAGTCCGGCCTCCGCTCATGGCTTCCAGCGAGTCGAGATATGCACGGTCTCACCCTACCCGCCGAGAGGAAAATTCTGAACTGTCACCCAAGCTAGCGCGTTCTCACGCTGAAATCGATCCTTACCGATCTGAAGTCTCTCCCGTCGTTAAAGGAATCTTCATCGATCATCGCGGCAGGCATGTCTGAGGACAGAGGGAAATCTTTCAGGGAATAATTCTTCGAATCGAGTCGAAAACAAGATCTCTCAAAGCCAGCATGGCGTCATAGTCAATGAATATACGACGAGCGAGCCGACCTTCTCGTCTGAGATTTAGTGCTCGACAAGTCTCGAAAAGTTCAATCGTCCACCCTCAAAGCAGACAATGAGATCGGATCCTTCCGACAGGAATGCCACCATAGAATCTCAGCACGAGGGAAGAAAGCGTAGGTGTTGGAATGGCTTCCGAATGTCTCCCTCCCCCTGCGTCATCGATCGGAGAAGGACACTCGGGGTCTATGAGGGTTTGAGTGTCCGCGCGGACATCCCTCTCACCTGTAGCGGGCATGGCTCCGTGCAGAATCTCGTCGCTTTCATCTCGAGGAAGGGGTGGTCTCTCTTGTTCAGTCGGCGCGCCTTCAACAAATGTGAGGACTTTCGCAGCTCTGATTTTTTCCGTGAAAAACCGTGTTAATGCATCGCCGCGTTCCACCCACGGCTCCGCTCGCAGCAGATGCTCCGCTGATATATCCTCTGAGACAAGACTGGAAACGAAATTCTATGAATCGAACGGAAAGGAAGATTCTCCAGACACTCCGCTTGGAAGATTCGGGAAACCTCTGATTGAGAGGATCTATGACGGAGGATACGCCGCCAATATTGACCGGAAAACTCCCCATACCAGGGCAACCGTTTGAAGCCGCGGGGGAACAAGGACACTACTCAACTCACTCATCGATAAAATCCCGATGCTCAGCCGCGGTCCAGGACAGCTTGTACGCGTGTAGATAGCATTGCCTCATGAATTTCACGCTCAATTGGGTTTGTCGATCGACTCCGCGCAACCGCTTGTGTCTCCGGGTCGTCCGACCCGGTTCAGGCCGAGAAAGCGTTTCCAGCTGGAAGCTTGGCTCTGCGTCTCCGTTGCTGAACTCAGCCCATTCATCCTGGTCAGAAGGAACGAAAAGTCAATTTTCCCCAATGACGAGATCGCTAAGCTCGAATATCGTCCTGTCTAACTGAGCTTCATCCATTTTTTCTTAGGACAACTTACGACCACATCAATTCCATCGAGCTGCTCGAAAGGGGACACCGGTCTCTCCGGAGTGATGTCTCGATCATGCGTAATATCCTCTTGGACTGTCGTTCTGAAACCTCCATCTTCATGCAGGCTCTGGAATCGAATATACCATTTCTGAGTCGAGCGAAGATGAGCGCCCAGTGATGCGCGATCGTCCTGGCGACCATCCATGTTCTGCATAACTGATGTTTGCAATTCCATGATTGGGGAATTTGAACTCGGAACGAATATTCCGCAATACCGATCTCGAGGGGAATGGGTCAGAGGAGCGAGATTCGTGTGGACAAGTTGCACACTACTCAACCGCGCGCCGGTGGATTCGATACCTCTAACCCCGTACTCACAAGATCTCTCTCTGAAATGTCTTCGATGGGCACCTCTGGAGAGCTCTCGCGCTCCTCAACTGCTGGACGCTTGGTCCGGGAAGATCTGGTCCTCGATTTCCGCGGCCTCTTCGGAGAACGAACTCCGCCTCCAGGTTCCAGACCGAGGTTTGGAGAACTGTCGAAGCTCGCAGGATTCACTAGGAAAAACAAAATAGAACAATCCACCGTTCCGTACTTACTTTTCCCTCTTCTCTGTTCTCTCTGAGAATGGATTCCGCCTAGCTCTCGGACTTGCAATAATTAGATATTGGAAATTTACGAACCTGATTTGGAAAACTGTTTCGCGAGTAGTTTTTTGCCTTTATCGACGAATTTCCGGCACGCATCCAATTCGACACTGTTCAAACTCTGCAGTACGCGCAGCGTCCCTAACTTGACTTGCGTCACAAACATCAATAAGTCCTTCCTGCGGAATGCGCCTCTCTCGTAATTCCCTCGACGGAGTCACAACGGATTTTTCGAACACCGACTGGGAGAGCTCGATCCGCTCGCCGACGACCGGCTTCCTCAATCTCGGGATGACATTCTCTTGCGCGCGTTCTCTCCGAGAATCCCCTGTAGCCCTGTCCAGGATGATCGTTACTCACCCAACTGGATCGCTGCATGGAGCTTCTTCAACCCTTCTGATGGTGTCCGATGTCAGCTCCTCGAGTTTGAGGGAGAATTCTCTCAGATCAAAATTGTCGAAGAACGACAGAAACTTTCGACTATATTGTCTCTGCGTGGCTCGGTTTTTGGTGGCGTCCTCATCTCGGCCAACTTCGAGCAGGAATGAAATTAGTGCATTTGACAAACAAGATCCATTAGCCATCGTTTGTTTTCAGAGCCACTGATGAGTTTTGTTTGGTTCGCTGTCAGCGACATTCGAAATTGAGATGCGCGCGCGTATGCTGTATGTGCGGGTGTACTTGTTTCGGACGAAGTGAGACACAGCTCGTCCCCCGGACAGATATGCGAGACTGTGCCTCTGAAAAGGCACGAGGACTTCCCGTGTTTGACAAACGGACGACTTTTGGTGCGGTGTTCAGACTGCGAGACTCGAACGCCATCAGCACATCCGCCAAAGCTCGTTGGTCGAAAACATGGACCTCTGTCTGAGCACCACCCCGGGATCGTGAATATTAAGGATACTCGATACAACGGAATCTTCCGGAGTAGAGCAATATCGCCGGCCTGAAATGTATCCGCTCCGAAGGGCATCGGCTTTTTCGACGTACACTCTTCAACGGGACGCCTCTCCGAGCTCTCGACCGCAGCTCACGTGGATCGGGGCACGGAGATTACGGATGAAGAATCGATGATAAGCCGAATGATCCATCGAGCTCGTACACTTTTTTGTACGTACATTTTTTGGCCCGATTCTGTTGATCCGGACAGAGCCATTGGGAGACCCTTCTTCGTCTACAGCCTGGCCAGAAGGGAACCGACGCCGACGCCGACGCCGACGCCGGTCCGGAGTCCACTTCAGTCCATATCTGATCATCCGTTAGGGGGAGATGCGACTGCTCTGCGGTGGAATCCCGAGAGATTGACTCTAAGGCCATAGTTCAACAAAGTTCCACCTCAATTCGAAGGAAGCAAGAACTGCGGCTGTTCCACTGCTTAGATTTGAGGATGGCCCTCCAATCTGAGTCCTAGCGCTCGCTCATCATCTTATCTCTGGACATTGACGCTGAGGATGGTCGAGGCTGCGCCATGGAATTTCTTAAATCTCGCAACAAGGCTCCGAATTTCGAACCAGGCCTCAGTTTCCCGGAGAGAGACACTTCATATCGCGCTGATTCATTTTCTCGTTTTAGGCTTCCGAAAAGAGGTTGAGACTCAGAACGAGAGCGTCATCCGCAAACACGATCGTGGTCGGGTTTCCTCCCGTCGGCGTCGCCGGGCAACCCGGTTGACAGGATCAGATCCTTCCCAATCGGAAGCGGTTCCCGCAGATCACGCAACCTACGCGCAATTTCTTCGAGAAAACAGGGCTCTCGCTATTAGTAATTCGAGAACTCCAAGGCGCGGAGCGGACAAAGAGTCGCGGTTCTGCGCGGAGTTGTCCGGTGGAGCCTCGAGCCAGCTCCATTGATGATATGTACAATCAACATTTAGCCTTTGTCTCGGCGAGACCGTCGCGTCGCCCCGGGAAAACCTTCCTTGAAGTGAACTCCAGCTGCTTGCTTGACTGACTGACTGAATAATCAGACACACAAACTCTCGAGAGCCGATTACTTTGATGAAGATTGACAGCCAGAAAGAGAAGCCAAGACCAGAAGAAGGAATAGTCGAGCAAAGGAAGTTGAGCCTACTACGAAAAATAATACGAATGCAGCTTCATCAGACAAAGCACATAAGCTCGATGTACGCTGATATTAAGGAGGCGTCGTAGCAAAACGAAACTCATCCACAAAGCTAACGCAAGGCGTTGTTCCGAGCTGAGCGGGAAACGAATGGGCACGTCCCGGTGACGGAAAACTCGCAGTACGAGGAATGCACTTGATTTCTGTCTCGCAGCGACCAGGTTCGGGGGACCTTGCGACATCGGAATTGCTACTGGGCTCCGTTCGCTGGAAGGAATCGGAGACCGCCGCGGGGATTGAGATAGAGGAAATGTTTTCTCGGAGTCAGCAATACAATCCGGTAACGTGTTTGTCCCGTGGGCGATCATCGAACACTCATAGCGTTCATGGGCTCTTTTATTATTGCCATGGTGACGAGCACGAGAGGAGTAGTAGTTACCTGGCCTGTCGCTGAGACTATAATAGAGCGGAGTTCCTTTATTTCTCGTTTTATAGACACCCGTCCACCGCCCACAAGAGACCCCTCGGCTCGTTCCCGAGAGCTCCGCGCAGCACTATCGAGGGAAAGAAGCTGAAATTTATTGCAATCCGCTAGTTCATTTCGCATGAATTCCGGACCCTCGCTCAGGCTCCTCCGGATAGCTCTCTGCTAAATGTTCGTGTAAACGAGCCGAAAAGCTCTCGCGCCGAGGTACTCGGCCAGGAATAACTGACTCCCCACGAGCGAAGGGAGGAGGAATCTTCATAAATCTTGGGGCCGTCATCTCGGCGTCACAAAGCCGTCATTTTGCCGTCACTGCCGTGGGCAACATACGGGATAAGACGTAACCCCGTCTTTCCATTAGAGCAATCGGCGTCGCCCGCTTCAGTCGCGAAATTTCGACAACAGGTGTTTACCCGGGTCACGATTCGCTCAGGATCAGCCGAAATTGGATATTTGAAGGCGACGACAAACACCGGGGCTGAAGTTCCCTTTCTCGTCCGCTCTCTCTCTCTCCGCCCTTCCTTTTGATCTATGCCTTGTTCGAACATCTTTCCAGATGAAGGGAAAAGCAGTAGGTATAAAGTGACAATATCAGGGAACGGGAGAGAGAGTATCTCGTGTCACTCACTTATCAAGGAGTTTTGTTCTCCCAGGAGACAAGGGGCAGGGGTACGTCGTCTGCGTATGACTTCTAGTTATTCAGTACGGGACGGAGTAGTTGCTAGAATCAGATGCGCCCGGGGTGAGCTCCCTGGCTCGGAGCGGAAATATCGCCAACGGACTCATTGTGACGGCGTCCGTCGGGAAGATCGAGCGACTTTCGGCATTGGCGGATTCCGGTCCCGACACGCGCAGAAATCTGTTCCTAAATCGAACAAACTCCGGAATCAGTGGACTTTGTTCCGACTCCGAACAGCCGGCCTCGCAGGCAGAGACCTGCAGGAGGATCTAGAGATCGAAACGTGCCATTCAGTAGACGACCGTTTTTCTTCCTAGACAGAAGAGTAAAAGCCGTCGCCGCTCGTACGAGTGGTGAATTCATTGCAGGCATACTGTTCGACTATATTACCTACTCGGAGTTCTGGACAAGATGGACGCAGTTGCTGTATTAGTCTCCCATTCCGGTCATGGAGGCGGCACTGGACATTTTTCAGCTCGTTCATGGCGGTCCCTGTGTTGACTTTCCGAGGGGCTTAACAAGCGGAAAAACCGGCCGCGTAAACGAGCATTTGCTTCGACTCCCGCTGAATAACACCAGACGTTAACTTTCCCATCAAAACAGAGCCTAATGGTGACTTGTTCCTGGAACGGTGCCATGCTTCGCAGTTTGAATCCTCTCTGACCGACAGCTGGTCCGTTTCTAAAGACTAGAAGGGAAAGACAATCGGCAATGCGCTCGCAGCCCCGGGACCGGACACTCCAGAGCAATAACAGAGAGATATCTGAAGTTTTCACGTTTTTTCTCACACCGTGTACATGCTACAGTACCGTTATGAGACAGTATGGGATGTGATGCCCGTGTACAGCAGGCGATACAATCGATGACGGGGAAGCGAGTTTTTAGAATCCGGAGGTTCGGCAAGGAGCGAGGCTCGCCAGGCGACAAAGGACGGTCCCCTTCATCGGTCCTCGCTACTTGTACTTCTGAGCGAGCGAGACTCAGCCGCCAATAGACTTCATCGTTGCGGACTCCCTATCCGGTTTCATTCGCGAGGATCTGCCCTTCCTGTGTTCCAATCGACACGAGAGGAGTTTGAACTCGGAAAGCGAACTCGTCCATTCCTTTGCAATATGAGGCTGCGGAGCATGTCTCGAACACCTGATTCGACATCAATCGTTCTGATAAGACTGACCTCCCGAGCCCATGCGACTGACATAATCAGGCCGTCTTAAGATATCGGAGGTGAAGATCATCTGGGTCGCGAACTCGTAGAATCGTTTACAGTACAGAAAAAGTGTCCAAAAGCCATTCGGGACAAAATGTGCATGAATTCAGCATCCAGACCGTCGGTTATACCCGAGAGATCGTACTGCGTTCTTCCCACTGTAGTCTCCTTCCGCTCTAACGCCATTTCCCGCATAGCATTTTCTTTGAAAACAGCTAATGTAGGCCTGCGACGCGTCCCTCGTTCTGTTAGCATTGCGACGGGGCCGGAACCGAACGTCGTTGCTTGAGGAGTTCTTCTCACTTCCGGGCTTCCGACTCCACGTTGGAATTGCTGTTGCGAATCCATGTCTCCTAGCGCCCGGACACATCTCCTACCACCCCATCAAACTCCAACGCTTTCCTCGATTCACGAGTAGGCGCCGCGCCGGTTTCGGGGCGGTCTTCTCCTTCCCACCTCACGCAGCACGCAGCATCAGACTTCGAAAAATGATTTCCTGCAGACGGGTCATGAGCGGGGGATGAGACACAGACGTAATGAAGTCCTTGGGAAAGAAAAATGTATTTCAGGTATTTGAACATATGTAGGTATACAGAAAATAATATGGGAGGGGAAACGTCTGAGGGATAAGTCGAGCCCAACAATTTCCCGTTGCCAGTCATGGAGTACGGTATTCCGTGAGGAATCCAACCCACTGGAAGGACGCGGGTTCGATTGTTTCTAGGCCGCGGCCTTGTTCCTTTTTTTGATATGTCATGCCCGCGGCGCACGGGAAGGTTAATGGCTCTGAGAATTTTCCCAAAATCCTAGCTCTCAGAAGCCCACACGAGGAAATCCAGAGAATTGAATTCGAGAATTCAGAGCCCAGTCGAATGGCACTCTCATTAGGCGACCGCGAGGACCTGCGGCCTCGGTTAGACCTGAGACTTCTTTTACCTTAATGGGATTCCCACGGAGGAAAGGCTTGGTGTACGCCTGAGTCATTGGATCGAACGTCGGATTGGTGGGCTTTTCGCTTTCTCTCCGTGTTAGATTGTTGTTTCAAGAGATACGACGGAGCTTCCTTCCACTCGGTCGGCTCACCCGATCTAGTATGCGAGCGAACGATAGCTCTCGTCGCTCCACTGAGGAAGCCGAGAAGAGAGTAAATGTAGTTCAGGACTCTTGGATCTCCTTGTCCTATCGCACGCCTCCGTCTCCAGTCTCAGCCAATTCGAAAAGGACGAACGATTATCTCTGCGATCGCGTCATTCCGGGATCGCGCTCGATCGACGGCCTACTCGACGAAAGACGCAGAGACAGAGTTTCGGGGTCGCAGAGCAATAATGCCGGCTCGCTTCCCTGAGCCTCGAGCCGAGGTGCCCGGTGACACACGAGTAGTGCGGGACTCGAGCTCCCGGCCCTCACCTCACCGATCCAAGGCATTCAGACAGGGTACGACACATCTGACGGAACCCCCTAGCCGGCAAATTATGGAAATCAGACTGGTGTAATTTGAAGACAAACAATGATCAGAAAAATTGCCCCAGCCATGAGGCATAAGGGATATCATTGAACCCCCTCATGTTGAAAAACATGTATCCGCCCGGACCTCGATTCCCGGCGAATCGCAGAAGTCCTCTCTTCCCTTTCTGGATATTTTCTCCCCCTTTGAGTGTTGGGACAGGCTCGAAGAGCTATATGAATTCGCTCAGATAGCCGTAGATCTCTCCTGTCGATTCTGTCGGATACCAAGACAAGTCGGGCTGTTCCCAACGAGCGAGCCCTTATTCCACGAGAACCGAGAGCTCAGAATTCAAATCGTCAGAAACGATGGAACAAGAATTGTTTGCATCGACCTCCCGGAGAGAGCACAAGGACGCCCCAAACCGAACCTACAACATATCCGGCCGTCATGAGCCCCCGGCACGGCTCCGAAGGTTCGGGCAAGCATTCTTCCCGAGCAGCTACAGCTTCCTCCACGAAATTCCGGTTATTCGCCAAATAGAAAATGTACGGCCGAAGGAATCGATATATGTACAAACATCGACAGACATTCGTAACGCGATGGAGGTAAGAACGTGTTTGCCTGTTTCTGTCTGAGCGAGCCTTCAGCACATACACTTTCGGTACTCTCATCTCGTCTGATCTTCCATAAGACCCGCTTCACGGGACTTTCACGCTAGGTCAGATGTCCATTAGCGATAACTCGGATTGAGCTCATCTTGCAAGAGAATCGTCAACTCAAGAAAGAATCCCCTAGTAAGGCACGTAGCCTAGCCGGGAGAGTGGTGGCGCCGAGGAGACCGAAATAGAGGGTTGGGCAGTATATTTCCCCCATTTTGTTCTGCTCATGAAATCCGAGCCGAGAGGGCTGGCGAAGTTCTGTTTGCGGCAAGGTGATCACGAGGACTTGCCATCTCAGAAAAAATACCGTCGGTTCGATGTCTCGAAGTTGGCGAAGAAGAATCAGCGGGAGAACGAGGAAAATAGGTTTTCTCCTCAGGAATTAATACCCGAGCTCGATGACAATGGCGTATTCTGGATTTCGAAAAGTGAACTCAGAACGTCCGACAGGTGGGGAGTCTCGGACCAGAGGATTTTCCTTCTAGAATTGCAAGTCCTCGTGTTTATTCTAGGGCGAGCAGAATTCCGCTAGCCCTTATGGTTCGGACTTCAAGGGGATTATTTGAAATGGGGAATTTATACTGCTCCACCCTGTTCGTCCGAAATTCGCTGGCCTCCTCTCACGAATTTCTGGCTTGGCTCAAAATGAATTTTCTCGCAGGATAGCTCTTCTGCCGTGCTTCTAGATAGCATATCTCCCCGAATGGAGCCGGCCAAGTGGAGTATTTAGAAACTTTGTTCCATCTCGCTCTAGATAAGTGCTATTAAAAATAAAGCGGTACCGGCAAACGTTCATTAACGACACTTGCACAGAGGAACTCGGAAACTGATTTTTTGGGTATTAATCGAGTTAGTTAGAGCGCTCTCGCGGCGGCAAGATTCTTCTTCTTGCGCGCATGTACATCATTGCTCATTCTGGCCGGGATAAGAATATTTCTTACACGATTCCGTCAACTTCTATAACTTTGTTCTTCCGTCGGAGCGAGTAATCAAGGGCGGGCCGGTCGGAGAATGGCCGGAGCAACAGCTTTCTAAGAATCTCCGATATCAGCCAGGATGGATGATTTCACTCGGAGACCGCGGAGCCGTCTGAGGGGAATATGAGGATCACGCCGAAAAAAACAGGGCCGCGGTGCAGGAGTCGTGAACATAGCGATCCGGCTATAACCTACTTATAAAGAAACGTCATGTTTCTGTTTCGCGGCCGTAACATCCTACCGCAGTCCCCAGCGATTCTCGTTCGCTCCGGAGCTCTTGCAGCTTCGATGAGGAACAAAAACCCGAATCGGGCGAAGACATGATCCAGTCAGAGGGACAGGCAATCGGATTCCTCATGAGTGAAGGTCACGGAAACGTAGAGTCGCGCTCCAATCGGTGAAGGTCAGCCATGAGAAAATTATTCTGGCGTCTCGTAGACGTAGGCACACCACGTATTGCCGCTCCGGAGAATGCTCCGATCGCAACGCTATTTAGTTTCGCCCCTGGGTCCGCTCATAAGGGAAACCTGTTTACTGAAGCATCCCAGCAGCGGAGCATGGCAGCGGCGGGACGACATCGGTTGATGACGCATAGGATAGACTCCGCGTCGGAGGGCAGGCAGGAAAAAACGAGGCGCGCTCGCGATCAGTAGGAGTTCTGTTCGACTGTTTCGAGTAAATTAGGTAGGTGCTGACTTGATTCCGAATTCTTACTGCATCTCAACTTGTCAATCCAGGGAAGCATCTGATGGGAACTCATTAAGGGCTTGGAAACACCATCGCGGGAACGTTTTTCTGTTTTCCGACATTTTGGCGGTTATCGGATCAACGAGTCGCTCCGAGGGCGATAAGCATCGTCATTGTCTAAGAATTTGCGGGAGCAGGCTCATCCGTGATCTGAGGAACGAAGGAAACGGGCTCTTGGTCGGTTCCTGTTTCTCTTCCCCAGATGACGTCATCGCCTCGTTCGCGACGTCGACGGTTACGTGTTGGCTACGAAACATTGATTAGGACAGCGGAAGAGATTCGCAAATATCCTGTCCGAGCTCAACTCCATTGCATTCCGGACCCGAACAGTATCCCAAATCAGGATCATCGTTCTGGAAATGGATGCGCCGAATCTTTCCGTCGAAGAAAATTCATCTCCATGAGAGCGTTACAGTTTAGGTTATCGATCGAGCCTTTCCCGAGGAAAGGTCAAGAGTTTCGTACGCTGCGGCAGCCGCTTCCGACTCCGAATCGAAGAAGGCATTTTTCTCATTTTCCCCGTTCCGAGGAAGATCTTGGACATTGCGGGCGATCCGCTTTATCAAACGAACGCTTCATCAAACGGAGCGAATATCGACGGCTGGACGGCCTAGAAGACAGGGGCCGTGAAAGCGATTTTTCTCGGCTTTGACCCGATTACTCGTCAATGGTTGAAAGAGCTTCACCTCCTCGCCGAAGAGAGCGTGACTTTGCCCCGAGGAGCGACTATTCGAACATTTACTAAACTCTCTGAGCTCTGGAGGGACGTTTGCACAGGTAAGGCGGGCATCATCAACAGCTATTTCGGCATCTGGCCGAGATCTGGAACGGGAGACGATCTTAATTCTCGAGACCCTCGGATTTCTTCTTCAAAAATGGTTCCAGTCTCGAGATCTATTTCAAGGGATCGCTCCCGAAGTTTCTGGAAGCAGCGGTGCATCTCTCCGACTCCAAATGAGACCAATTTGAAACCAGAGACCTCTGTTCCCCCACGAACTCCGGAAGGGGAAGGCTGGTGCCCTTTCGTGCCAAAGCTCAATTTTCATATGGTACCGAAATTTTCAAGGGCGCGCAACCTGAAACTATGTAGCAAGCATAGCTTCTCCGGTCTGGAATAGCTTGGAGACTCGATCTCGAGACTTACATGAGAAACGAATTCCCGGCGCTTGCCTGCAGGTTCTCCCGGTGAGGATGCACCTATATCGCTTCCTGTCATTAGTGTACGGGGCGAGCCTCGCGGAGTGGTCTCAGTTCAAGGAGCAATTCGGGAAGGAATACAGATCGACCAGTGCCGAGGAAATCGCCCTCCTGAATTTCGGGAGGAATTCGAGGACAATCACGGAGCACAACAAGCGACTTCATGACGGGGATTCGCCATCATACCGTATGGCCGTGAATCCCTGGTCGGACAAAAGCCACGAAGAGTTCAGACAATACTACGGACTCTACGGAGACTCCTACGATTTCACCAGCGATCGCATCTTGAACTACGTTCCCGAGAGGGGAACCCCAGCGAATGTTGATTGGAATAAAGCAGGTTTCGTCACTCCGTCCCGGGACCAGAAGGGCTGCGGATCGTGTTGGGCCTTCGCTGCCGTGGGCGCAATCGAAGCGCGAGTTTCCAAGTCGACGGGGAATCTGACGGCCCTGTCCGTCCAAAACTTGATCGATTGTAGCGATACGAATTTCGGCTGTTCTGGGGGATCACCGATACTCGTAAGTACCAATATGTATTTTTTTCGTTTTCTGATACGATCGAACATGCTGCGAAGTTTGTTCTGAGCCGGAAGCCTCCACGACAACATACTGAACTCGCTCCAGGCCCTCCGCGATCTGCTGTCGATCGGTCTCCATACCGCGGATTCGTATCCATACCTCGCGCGTGACGGCATTTGCCATCGGGTAAATTCCTCTCGATTGTACCAGATCAGCGGTTTCTACCGCGAAGAATATTACCTGAGCGAGGAGAGACTCAAGGAGATGGTTGCCATAATCGGACCTGTTACGGCGACAATCGATGCATCTCCTTTCGGTTTCATGCACTACCGCGATGGTATTTTCTACGATCCCGCATGCAATCCGGATAGTCCCAACCACGCTGTCCTCGTCGTTGGTTTTGGGATAGAGAACGGTTTTGAGTATTGGCTGATCAAGAACTCTTGGGGCCCAGACTGGGGCATCGACGGCTTTATGAAAATCGCTCGCAACAGAAACAATACTTGTGGAATAGCGAATTCCAACGCGTTCCCGATTCTGTGACGACCGAGTCGCCCCGCGCGGCGGGAACCGGTTCCCATAGGAAGAGAAAACAATTGAAATGCTCTGACAGACCTTCTCGATGGTTTGGGGCCGAATTCCGAAAAGTTGCAATTTTCGGCGGTCTGAGAGCGGGTCCAGAAGGGGATGGGCCTCGACCCCCGACCCAAGCGGGCTGTGTCTCGCGCGAGCGCGTGAGAGCGTAGGAACGAATGGGTTCAATATACCTACATACGTAGTGCTTTCTAAAATGTTCTCAAAGCCTCGGATCCAAATATCCAATTTACGGTCGGTCACTATCTGATAAGCGGTGCCCGAACTGGATTAGCTACGTTCACAAGTCTAACAAAGGAGATGCTGTAAGCGATGACTCCCCAAGCGGGGTCATCGCGGCACCTATCAGATACCCGTCAACCGATTCTCGGGATTGGATACGCTTCCGTATTTAGGTCGAACGGAGAGCTCGGATGACGCGACGCTCACATGTTACTCATCACTTCTATGCAATCCCTCCAGCGGGAAAAAGAGAGACCGATAAGCGCCGGATTGACATGTAGTAGCTGTCCCGAGAAATGGGACGTTCGACCTCGCGCTTTGCGAGAATCGATGCTCTCGCGGACCTTCAGATCCGTGGATCACTGAGCAAGGCTGGAATCGAAATGTGCTGCCTCCTATAATGCCTCGGCTCGGCGTGTCGATTCAGGACAATCTGCCGAATCGCTCCAGCTGGAACAAGTCCTAGAAGAATCGCTTCAGATAAACGAAGAGGAGCCTCGACTTTCGCAGACTGTTCGCCAGAAAGGGCATTGGGCTGGAAATACGCCAGAAGTTTCCTTTGTGCGTTTCCTCCGACTTTAATCCCATATAAATCTCCGCTACGATAATAAAACAAACCAAACCATCGACTGTCTCGGATAAGGGCCTGGAAAACCGACCAGGCTGCTAATTATTTCAGATGAGTTCAATATCGGATGCTTATGTTAAACAATAGGAGTCGATCGCTGCAAAGCAATAATCTCGAGAACAGGAGCTAAGTATCGGAAAACGATTGCTATCGTTGAGCCAGTCTCTGTGCTAGCCGCTTGTCAGCGCTTTGATAAAAAGTACGAGACTGTCTTCTGTTGTCCACTTTCATTACCGTTAGAGCCGTCAAAGATCCGGAATACACTTGAGAAAACTAAATATTGGGATCTGTGGTTGAGAATGGCCTCGGCCATTCTCCAGAATTGCCCACCTCATGAACACCCGTGAGCCTTAGGTACCCCGAAAAATTCCTGGCGTCTGTTCGTAAAGCACAGCTGCCTCGCAGAGAGCCACAACACTAATAGCGTCTAGCTTCGGGATGGCGAGAAGCTAATTTTGACGGAAATCTCTGAAGACGCCGGAACGGGATTTTCATCCCCCACTAACAAATCTTCGGAAGCGATTAGGCGGGTTCTCTTGGCCGCTTTCAACGTCCGAGCTCAGCCAGAAGCGGTAATTGCGATGGGTTCTGTTCGGGGGATGTCTTTCAAAATCGCGGTCTGTTTCTCTGTCTCTAATACTCGATGGAAGAAATTTGCCGTCTTGTTTTATTCCCCGTCATAAACTTCCCGGGTAAGGGGCGAACTCGATTTCTTCCGAGTCAGTTAGCGCAAACGAACCAGTCGTGGGACTTTTTCCGGGACTTTCCAAGCACTGATGGACTCGATTTTATGTTGACGGAGAGAGCTGGAACCATGAGTTCTTTTTTCAGAGCAGATTTTACGGAGCGTATAGAAGGAAAACTCGAGTTCTCTGTGGTAAGGGCTAGGAAATCTAGAACCAGATTCGTCCCTTTGACTCGTTAAAGAAGTCTCTGCCATCGGGCGAGACCATTCTCATTCTAAGCCTCCGAATGTCACGAACGAAGAGTCTCGGTCCCGCTCATGGAACAGTGATCATCAGCAACGGATCGAACGTCTGGATCGCGAAATTTGCGGGTCGGTGCTCAATGGGTGCTACGATACAGAGAAAACCCCACGATTTACGAATATGTATTTTTTTCCTCATTATTTTTCTCTCTTATTCCTCCCCTCACCGGGGATAATGTTCAGTCGAGTCGTCTGAGGCCGAGAGCTCGTCGGAGGGCATCTTCATTCTGCACTGTACAAAGACCGTTCGAGGACTTCGAGGATCCCTGGGGACACTTTGAGCCCGGTGACCCTCTTGTGAAAACGTTGTCTCCCACCATGTTCCCCGCCTGGGCGTAGTTACATGCGATCCATCCCTGGTATCCGTATCGATCCGCACGTCTGGTAACGTAGGCGCAGCCGATTTTGTAGGACCCCGACCAGACGACCTGAGTGTAGTGTCCGATGACCGGTCCATTAGGAGGAGAAAACGGGAACATCATACCATTGGTGGCGTCTTTCTTCTCATCGTTCCAGCCCTTGACAGCCATTTTGTCTGCATCAATAGGGCCTCCCCACGCGCTTCCGGCACCCCAGGCGAGGTTCTGTCCGACGGAGTCGAAACTCGGAGACACTCGACACTTGTCGTGACCGCCGTCCAACATGCTGTTCTGATCACAGAGATGCGAAACCCAGAGGAGAGCTGTCTGAGCCAGTTCGTCAGACCAGCTGACGGCGAGCATATCGGCAGCGCTCTGTCCCTGGAAACCCTCGGTCCTGTACCGGTTATGGGCTCTGAGCATCTGCTCCTTGAAATTCTCGTCACCGGTGCTCGTCTTGATCGCCGCCGAACATTGGTAATTCATGCAAGCCGTCGCTTGGCCTCCCCTGGAGGAACAGAATTTTTTCACTCCTTGGGTGCAGACGTTGGCATTGGCGAGCCCCAACAACGACACGAGGGCTGCGGCGAAGAATTTCATGGTGCCGAATAAGTCTGGAAAATCAAGAGAGCCTTTATATGAATATCAGATATGAATCGCAGGCGTATTCACTTGATGTCATATCGCGGACTTGAACTTACATGACCGTTCAACCTGCTGGCCTGACACCGAGTCCGCGCTTTTATGTCAAGCGACTACACGTTTTTCTCAGACGCTGCGCTGCTCTGCAGATTGACGACCTTGACGTCTCTATGGGTCTATATTCTATCAAACAGATCTCTGCACGGTATGAATCATGCTTCGACATGGACTCTCTCCTTCCCTGGCAATGTGGAGCACGAGATTCCGCGATGACGAATCATGTGTTAAGCGGAGAGTGTTGACGTAGAAATGTGCCACCTGTTCTCGGTCTCCTGGCTCCGGGACTTTCCAAAAGAATGACTCACTGGAATTGTATCATACGCAGTGTTGCTACTGCTCTCCTGCGCCGCTCGGATTTTCCCAGCGAAGAATAGAAGAGGCATGAACTCTCCGAGAGACTCAGATTACCAGAGGCAGCCGCGGAGCCCGACGGAACCCCGTCACGTACTGGTACATCGATCGTACCGCCGACGATAGACTCCCGCCCGCCGTAGACGGATACCCGTGACATTAATTTCTTGTTTCACTCGGGGGAGCGCCACTATGTCGACAAACGAGATCACCTCGTTCCTCAAGTATGGAGAGAGTCGTCTCCCAGTCGAGTCGGTAGATAGGTCGTTAGATAAAGACGGCTGGTGTCATCGCTCAATATCTGAGAGAGGTCAATTGCTCAGCTGGCTGAATCAGAGGGCTGCTTTCGGAGCCGGCTGGCAGGCAATCTCTAAGTCATGGAAGTTCATGCTTCGAACATCTGGTTGTTGACACATGACCCTGACAGCACAGTTTTTGATTCGGATACAATGTGCCTGGGGAAAGCTGTCTCTGAGGAGCGACATTTCCGGGGACCAGCTATCGAGCCTCGAGGCGTCTTCGAAAGATGCGATCGTGGTTAGGTAAATCCACGCTCTGGTCAACTCCCAGGTAGTTTGAACCCTTAAGGCGAACAATCGATCACGACTCTGTGGGAAGGCTCGGGAACCGTTCGATATTCCCAGTCTGGAACCTACATAAAAATATCCTGCGGTATCCGTCGCCCATCGAGAAATACCAGAGGGACGTTTGACTTTTTCCGTGTCGAATATTGAGCTTGGGTTTCTAGATTGACCGTGGCGGATGATTCCTAACATACCGCTACTAGTTTTCGCTTGAATCAGAGATTGAAAGCCTAAGTCCCACTGCAGGGCCTGGTGATGGTCGATCAGGATCCCCAGAATGCAGATCCAGGAATCGAGCCCGCACGATTATATCCCCAAGCGTCCCTATCGGATAATAGTCCGAAAGGGACCACGAAAATCAGCCAGATCAGCCTGATCGTTCGAGCTCTCTTTCTCGGTTTCGCCTCGATTGGGGTCGATGTTTGAACAGTATAAGGAGACGGAGTAAGGTCGGAGAACACATCGATTGCTGACCATATCGGTATGTCACGGCTCAAGGAGGAGACTTCTAGAGAACACGGAATGCAAAGTTCTTCAGCTCACTGAGACGAGGCTCGAAATGAGCTGTCGAAAGTTGCTCGAATCCCCGAATGATTTGATTCTTTGGAAGCGGAATCGATCACGAGACTGATGAGTGCGCCAAGCTGTAGAATCATCAGTAGAGTCCTTAACATGATCAGAAGGAAATCATCTCTGACGGTCGAAGACAGTAAATGAATGGAAGCTCGCAAATAGGCCTCGAGTTCGAGCGTCCACAGGAGTAGATCTGGGGCCAACTTCCGGGACGTTCGTGAAGCTGACAATCGAGGCAAAAGTGCTCCGGCTGCCAATGTACCGCTCGTAGGGCTAGGTGGCCTCGAGATATTTTGCTGAGTTGGTAGGAACAACGACCCATTCTCCTGAGCTTATCACTCACATTGCTATTCTCGGGAACTGGATCGAGTCTCAATCGAAGATCGATGGGTCTTCCGACATGAAATCGTCTGACTTTTCAACACACCTAGGCGATATTGAACACAGAGCCCCAACGTTACGAGTTTCCCAAGCTGCATTCAGCCTGTATTCTAGGATTCTAGGTCATCTGGTGTACCAAAGGGTCACAAAGCGAGAATGCCTCGTCCATAGTTTCCAACGACCATTCCAACGACCCCAGTCACACCGGAACCATCGTCGGACTGGATAGCTAAATAAAACAGTCTTGGGGAGACCGAATCATGATTCGGTGCCGTGTTCGAATATTATCCATGGGAGATACACAAAAGTTTCGAGATCTTATCAGAGCTAAAGAAATCCATGGCTTCCTGCTGATGGCACGGAGACGGCATGAAATCACGGATTCGCTCTCCCATGGATTGGAAAACTGAAAGTTGGCGAAGATTCGATCCATCCACGGCTTCTTATGCGATTCCCTGAGATGGAGGTCTTCGTCATCCTCGCTTGCCGGGTCGAGATGGAACAAGATCCCCGAGTCATGATCACACGATGGATCCATATACCAAGTAGCAATCTGAACGCAGATGAGAACACCGTGAATAAAGTCAGAAATAGTCATTTTCTAGCTCATGGGCGTATCCAGTCCAGGAGGACGATCACGAAATCTTTGACTTGGGATAGTGTTCTGGGCGCTCTATCCAGACAATGCAGAACAGATTTACTTCTATTCCATCAGCTGCACTATCGTCGAAGGTTATGCAAGCAAAGCCTCCGAGTGAGTTGTTGAAGCTTCGCAGAATGTACGGACATGCGCTCATGAGCTGGAATTCAGTCTCTCGCGAAGACCCTCGGTGTGATCGCAGTTTTCCTCAGGCTGCCGAAAATTTTCAAGATCGTGAAGTGGAATGCCCCTGTCCCAGAGAGCTCGACGAATACCCCATAACGGCCTTGTTGGATATCGCGGTCATAGTCAGATTCTTGCGAACCTCGACTTCATCTCTCTCGCTATTACCACAGCCCCGACCGAGGAGGAACCAGCGACAAGAATCGCCGCCCGGACTCGGAGACCGGGTTTCGGACTTTCCCGCAAGCGGCGGCAGCATCATGGCGCGCGGATGTAGGGGCTGAGGAAATCTGTGGAACGGGACCAATCTCGCCGGAAACACCTGCAAAGCTGTGCCGCCGTCTCTTTCTAGAGACCTCCGGAGCTTACCGGTGACGAGCCTTCCATGAGCAACATATCAACTAAAAAGTCACGGCTTATGTAGGAAGCCCTCCTTTTTAGTCGGTCTAAAGATCGAGCTTCCATTGGAGCTGGCCTTGTGAGAGTCTAGCTTGTTGGACTCGGGGGTAGCGGTCAAGATTTTGCGAAGAGCTCTCCTTATCTGGATCAAGCGACCGACCGATCGATCTAGTCTCCGAATTTTCGTTGACTTCCAGTGAAGCGTGTCCCTGCATCCCGGAGTCTCTTTTCCCGCCGAGAGAATCGCAAAATCGATCGGTGGAGTCTTCCAGTGACTCAGGAGAGGCATCAGGAGTATCATCATCTTCCTGTTGGAGTCTAAGGAATCAGGCACATGGCTCGAACATGTTCCGAGCAGGCATCGAGACATGTTCAAAGAGAGACGAGACCATCGTCCACCATGTGTGAAGCGTCGACAGCGCAAAAAGCGCGAGAGTACCGCCGAGTCGGACGAATATCCAAGTTTTAATTACTTCCTCTGATTTCGACTGTTTTTCCGCAAGATGAGTGTCCGCGCTGATTTCCTTCATTCCTACCCGCCGGCAAGGAATCTCTGAAGCGCGAACATAGAGAACCATCTCAACTGATAATCAGCCTGAATAATCGATGGAAGCTCCAAGTAGAGCGTTCCAATGGAGTTAGCTCCTAGTCTCCACTGTATGCTCCCAAGTCTCGATGCTCAACGTTCGACGATGGGCAATTAGCAGAACGCGATTCTGATCCTCTCAGAAAGCATGCCTTGGAATAGAATTTATGCGGATGAGGCGCGAGAACCGAGGAGTCGCTGTCTTCCCAAAATGCGCTGCCCGACGGAGCCAAGCCAGTATCAGAGGTCTCCCGGGGCTGATTTTGAGAGTATCGAAGGGGTCTACCGACAGGGCCCGCAATCGAAAGTCGGAGACGGATGCCCCCCCCCCTTGCGCATTGCATCTGCAAGGTCTGGACTGGCCAGACGTATATTCTGTGGTATCCCGACTACATGCAGCATGGTTCGGTGCGTTTCCGCTCGAGACTTCGCACGCCGGGTCGTTCTAGACGGAAATGGGTCAGGGCGGGAAACATTCAGTCTTCTGGACACAGGAAAAAAATCGGTCGTTTTCGCTGACCGCGAAAATAATAGCCGCAGACCACAGGCCACAGTTGTTCGCTTGAAATTGAGGGCCTGGGGCATATCAGGACCATCACGCTCTTTCTCTGAGGAGGGGGGGGGCATCACTGTGAGAGAAGATGCCTTCGTCGCACAACATCAGCCGGGTGAAAACGATGCTACACGGAGGCGAGTCGGCTTGGTTGGACCGGGTAGGTACGGTGCTCTCTTGGCTTCGGAGTCTTGGTCGTTCCTATCAAGACAGACATATCTCTTGTAAGCGGCTCATCAAAGCTCTAGTTGAGCTCGTGATTTGGTCGGATACAACTGATTGTGTCAAATGCGCATCGATGGACGATGATTCATGACCGCACGTGACCGAACGCGCCGTGGTGGAAATTTTGTGCGCCGATCAATCTGGAAAAACTAATCCCTACCCAGAACGAGATTTGTTGATCCTGTTTCCGGCATTACATCACATGATTGTGACGAGAAAAATACCTATACATTCCGACTGCAATCAATCGAATAGATACGAATGTCGGATCTGCGGTATACATTTATTGCTTCTTATGATTGATTCATTGATTGATCATCGATTGTGGTGAGATTTCGCCTCTGCTTGGAAGAGGATGAACAAGTTTGTGGTCGAAATCATCAGGTAAATTGAGCAACAAATCGAAAATTCGTCCCCCATCCGGGATACGAGCCAAGGCGTCATTAAGTCAAATTATCGCTTCGATGATGATCGAGGAATTTCGGAAGGGAGGTGAAGTCTTCGAGCTTTGTTGCGCGAGACTGTTCCGAATTCTACCGATCTTGTCAATTGTTGCAAGCCTTCGCTTGACCCCTCAGCGGCACCGCTGCCGAGCATGGGGCTTTCATTCGCATCCATTCAGCGACTGAGCTGCGCAAATGATCAAGACTCATTGCGAGCGAACAGGAATTCCTGCCAGCCCGCGAAACTGCTCTTTCCACGCTCCTGGGATTCTCGCTCGCGTGAATCTATGCTAAGAGAAGACCTACCGAATCCGTCGCTCGTTTCCTAGCCTACTCCCATCGGAGAACCGGAGAGCCATCCGTTGATTCCCGGACAAGCGTCCGTGTGAGAATCGGGTTACCGCCCCGAATATCCGCTCTTTCATCGCAGCGACCCTACAGCGGGAACAAACAAGATACGAACCCGCGGAGGCGGCCTCGACAAATAGCGACCACGACTACGATCTTACCTACTACGTATACTCAATGCGGAAGATTTCGGTCGATGAATCGTTGAGCGTAGATCACCCGGCGGGCTCGTTCAGGGGCAGCTATTCCGTAGCGGAATGCTGCTAGGATTGTGGTTAGGTTATTACGATTTATTGTACACCTTGCCGCGAAAAGAGGCGATCGCTCTCGCTCCCAGAACGATTGTTATCAATGCGATCATGTCTCTTCGATCATCGCTGGATCTCTCAGTCAGGTCAGAGGTATGTGGTCAATCCATAAGCTATATCTGAATATATCGAGGGACGACGAGGAGACTCTTCTCGCTAAACTATTCTTTCCAGATCGAAAGTTCATCAGGAACATTTTCAAATCATCCTGTCCGAGGGGAATGGACGCTCATCCGATTTTTCCACCGGACCAGAACGATCAGAGGGAGAATCTGAGTAGGAGAGTAGGGTTGACGCTCGAGTGTTTTTTCGTGAATTAAAGTTCGTTTGAGAACGCTGGGAGTACACACTACGTAGCTTATCGAATCAGCAGCTGCGCGGTTATCCTGTTAGGCGCATTAAGAGGAGACCGGAGTTCCGACTCTGATCGGTTCAGCGTCGTCCCCGGTAGGTAGGTAGGTATGTTTGTTCTCTGTTTCCCCGTCGGCCGGAGTCGGAACTCGATCGGATGAGACTTCCGCGCGTACTGCCGCTCCTGTCGTTCGCCGTTGTCCCAGGTGTAACGTTCTGAGGCGGCTCTCTGAATACTTACGGCTGCACGTGGCAAATACTTTTTCTCGCCCTCAAGCAGGCACGCTCCACATATTTTCCGGAAGCGATCCTCTGCTCTTCCGTCGATCATGAGAATCCGACTCGAATTATTCTCCCCGCTCACATCCGGTTCCGGAATTCGTTCGCGAAAACTCTAAAACGGGGGAAGTTTGTCACCTCGATGACGGTTTCATTCATTTTCTGATTATCTATCTCGAGCTGATTATTTCCAAAAAACTCCCAGATCTACATCGATGGTATCAGTCCGGAAAAGCCCGATAATCCACCTGGTTTGAGATCGAATGGATTTGAATTGATCTCCTCCCGAGTCTTTGCTGGAGAGAGCGACACAACAGTATAAGAACCGGAAACTGCGATTCGAACAACATCGAAGTCAAGGTAGGTTTTCTGTGAACTACAACACGATTAGTTAGAACTCGAGATTTCCACCCGGAACAGTCGTCAATGGGACCCAACATTCTAGGAATATCACTCGACTTCACGAAGTGCTCACAGCGTCATAAGCGTCATGGCTCGTAGCGAACGTTGACGCGAATTGTGAAGCAGGCCTTAGAGGTTCTGCGGTGTTCGGATCAAACTGTCTTAGTCCTGTGACAATTTCCAGATGCTTCGAACCACCGCGATTCTCGTCGCCCTCCTGGGACTCGCCTCTGCCAACTGGGACCTCTACAAGAAGGTTCACGGCAAGAGCTACGGCCACGATGAAGAACACTTCAGACGTCAGCTGTTCTACAAGAGTGTAGCCAAAATCAACGCTCACAACCTTCGCCACGATCTCGGACTGACCACCTACCGCATGGGACTGAACAAGTTCACCGATATGACCAGCGAGGAGTTCAGGAACTTCAAGGGTCTGAAATTCGATGCCACGAAGACCAAGCGCAATGGAACGCGTTTCCAAAAGGAACTTCTCGGAGAGGCTCTCCCGACACAGGTCGATTGGAGGGAGAAGGGATACGTTACCCCCGTCAAGAATCAAGGACAGTGCGGATCCTGCTGGGCTTTCTCCACCACCGGTTCTCTCGAGGGTCAGCACTTCAAGGCCACCGGCAAGCTCGTCTCGCTTTCTGAACAGAATCTCGTCGATTGCTCGAGAGTCGAAGGAAACAACGGATGCAATGGTGGTCTGATGGACAATGTAATTACGCGGACCCATTTGAATACCTACTATACGATGAGTATAGAACTATATGATGAGTCGGGACCTCACTGAACTCTGACGTTTTGTCCTTTCAGGGCTTCACCTACATCCAGCAGAACGGAGGAATCGACACCGAGGAATCCTACCCCTACACCGGAAAGGACGGTGATTGTGCGTTCAATGAAAACTCCGTCGGTGCTCGGGTGAAGGGATTCGTAGATGTTCCCCAACGTGACGAGGCGGCTCTCCAGGCGGCTGTTGCGTCGGTTGGACCTGTGTCTGTTGCCATCGATGCTTCGAACGACAGCTTCCAGTACTACAAGGAAGGAGTCTACGATGAGCCCTCGTGCTCCTTCTCCCAACTCGACCACGGTGTCTTGGTCGTCGGTTACGGTACCGAAAACGGTGTCGACTATTGGCTCGTGAAGAACTCTTGGGGCCCCACTTGGGGACAGGATGGGTACATCAAGATGATGAGGAACAAGGAGAACCAGTGTGGAATCGCCTCCATGGCGTCCTACCCCACCGTCTAGAAATCTCTCGAAAATAAAGTCGATCAGCTGAGCATTCGGCCTCATCATTCCCTGCCTTAAAATGAATTGAAGTGTCTCGAAGAACCACACTGATACCATATTTACGCGCCAATCGATCACGTCCATCCTGAATTTCGTGAAGCAGAAACAGATCTGAGAATCTCATGATAGACTGCTATTTCTCTTCTGCTGCCTACGCTGTTGTCGTTGCCGGTGTCTGCTCGCCGAGGGAGCTGCTCGAGCCGCTCGCAATATGAACGCTATCAATATGAACTATCAATTTCGTCACGTGATTCATTTCCTGAGCGGAAAATATCTTAGAAATTCGTGATGCGGCGCTTAGAGCTGCCTAATTCGGGATCGCTGAGATCGCTTTTGATCAAGTCGGGCGGCCACGGAATCGCCGAATGGGTCGGCCGCTAGATTTCGACGCCATCACCACGGTGAGTCGGTTTCGCGTCGAGCAAAATTACCGTGCCAGGCTTGCTAATCATCCAGGTGATGCGACTTTTCCTTCGAATAATTCGAAGTAGTTCTTCACATCCTCGGAGAGGTCTTTGACGGTGGACAGTTGATCGTGTAGGAACCTGGTGTGATGAGTGGTTCGTTCGATGTTCTGCATCCACGGAGCGTCTCCTCCCAGAAAGTCCGCCTGGCCTCACCCGTCTGGATATTTAGGGCAGGCTTCCTCGTCGATGGGGAAAATACCTCGTCACAGTTTACGTAATTGGACCTTTCAGATGCTGCGAATCATCGTAATCCTCGCTTCCCTCACGCAACTCACAGCAGCCATCTGGGAACGGTACCAAGCTACCTTCGGTAAAAATTACGATGCCCAGCAAGCCGCCGAGCGACAGCGTATATTCAACGAAAACGTGGACCGTATAAACGCGCATAATCTCGCTCATGATCTGGGGCTCACTTCGTACCGTATGGGTTTGAATGAATTCACCGACATGTCTCGTTCGGAGTACGAGTTGGTCCGAGGCTTGAGGTACAGCGGGGAGCAGACAGCTCGCACCGGGCATCCGTTTACGTTGACTCAAAACCCAGACCGTGAGCTACCGAAAAAAGTCGACTATAGAAAGTCCGGACACGTCACACCGGTGAAGAACCAGGGACTTTGTGGCTCTTGCTGGGCTTTCTCGGCCACCGGCTCTTTGGAAGGGCAGCTTTCCATACAAAATGGTACTCTGGTCTCGCTCTCCGAGCAAAATCTCCTTGACTGCTCGCGAGAGAACCAAGGGTGCGATGGCGGTTACATGGATAAGGTGAGGAGAAGGTCCGAGAGAGTTTTCCAGAGCGATCGACTACATTTTTGTCGCCTGAATGAGACGTTTTCTGTCTGTCCTTGCAGGCTTTCGAGTACATAAAGAAGAACGGGGGAATCGATACCGAGGAATCGTATCCATATACCGGTCGAAAGGGAAAATGTATGTTTAAGAAGAAAAACATCGGCGCTCGGGTCACAGGACACGTTGATGTTCCCGCAGAGGACGAGCAAGCCCTGAAACTCGCTGTCGCTAAAATTGGGCCGATCTCGGTCGGCATCGATGCTTCGAAAGATAGTTTTCGTTTCTACAAAGAAGGCATCTACGATGAAAGCTCCTGCTCTACGTCCCAGCTCGATCATGGCGTCCTGGTAGTCGGCTACGGAAGCGAGAAGGGTAAAGACTACTGGCTCGTCAAAAACTCCTGGGGCGACGAGTGGGGAATCAAGGGATATATCAAAATGTCGAAGGACAAGAGCAACCAATGCGGTATCGCCACCGCCGCCTCCTACCCCCTGGTTTGAGATTGACGAGAACAGTTTCAGAATAAACCGATTCTACGGTGTTTTCCTTGGAACCTTCGTTTCCCCGATCAGATTCTGGAGTAGTCGACCTTTTTACCTACCTAGCTGTGAATGGCTGGGAATCAATTCATGCAAATTCATGCAAAAAAAGCTCCGCAGACACGTGTAACTCGGCTCGGTTACACGATTCTTCGTTTCGGGGGCTCAAATCGCCCTCGAAGACCCCGACTGATCGCATATTCAACTCTTCTAACTCGCGTCGAGATACAAGAGTTCTGAATTTTATATAGATCGAGAACAAGATGATACGAGACCCACTTAGGTAAGAGAGCCTATCTCACCACGGATCGAGAGTGCCGCGGACTAACCCTCGCTCAGCCGTTACCGGCTTGGAACGATTTCGAAAACGATTTCTCGAGAGCGTTCGTCGACTCCGACGGCCACAAGCGTCGGCACTGTCTCGAGCCAATCTCGGTGAGAGATACCTTGGGTGGGACTCCGATGGCGATCGATTCATAGTTAAAGTCAAATTCAGGGCTTCATTCGAGCTTCCGTCCCTCGGATAATCCGGGATATCGATCGGGTTCCGGAAATCGATCCCTCGGATATCAGTCCCCTGGTTATCGTTTCCCCAAGCGTTCACCCGCGGATTTGGCGGCGTCTCTCGGAGACTGTCCGTGATTGTGGTAAGAGGATCCGGCTAGCAGAAGCGGCTGCAATGAGCTCACTGTGATACTTCTCATAATCATAACACTCTCATAATCCCAATTTGACCATCGCGATCTTGAATCGACACTCGTCGTCGTCGTGAAAATACGGTCGTGAGTCGTGTCGAAAGATGGTCGACCTTTCATCTACCACCTTCTCGATCCGATTTTCGAAACCAGACTTTGCTCTCCGAGCATCGTCACACAACTCCGCCTAAGGTAAATTTCAGCGTCTCAGAATTATATCTGACGGGTGCTCGTCGATAACTTCACAGAAGGAAATTCTCGTAATTTTTCGCAATGTGACGCGATTTGTACAACCGGAGTCTCAGCCTCGAACTTTGGGGGAACTCTGCCCTCGGAGCGCAAACTTCATTACTAGAGCTCGGAAGTTGAGGGATCATGCCTTAAATGCCTATATCTGCTTTTTCCGGCATTTTTTGATGTAAAATGCCTGTTTCATTTTTTTCGTGCCCAGAGTGCCTTCTCGAGCTTCTGATGGGCCGAATCCCGAGGATTTCGGGGGAAACTGAGGGTTTCTTATTGAGAACGGTGATGAGATGAGGTCGGCGAACCTAGTTTCCAGGAGCACATCTTGCTCTCGACAAGTTCCGATGCTCCGCCAGAGCGCGCAAAAAAATTCGTCCTCGTAAAATGCTCGTATCGGATCGGCGTCGATTACTCACCGATGGGAATCCATGTTACCACATGAAATTCTCACAATACGACACTGATGGACGCTTCGATGCGTGTGTTCCCCTGCCTATAACGCCTATTTTGCCTAGTTTCGGTGCCTTTTTCGAGGGTTTTCAGTGCCTTTCTGCCTGCCATTTCTGAGATTTTTGAGTGCCTGAACTTCCGAACTCCATTCATTACATTTCTAGATTACTCTTATACATATTTGGATAACTCTTAGAGTATTCTTAAATTCTTCTTTTGGAATGACTTTTCTTAATCCTGCGGAAAAATGGGCTATCAGCAGACTTGGAGCGATCACTCGAGTCTCAAGGAAGCTATGGGACGAAGCATTGAAGTTCGTAGCTCCGAAGATCAAGATCCTCTCTGTTCCTACACAGAAGATTCTCCGTCTAGAAGGATCCATACTCGAGACGTTCCTTGGACTTTGTATGCTATAGCATTTTTCAGGAGCCCTGAGACACTAGGGAAGCTTGCGCAGCGTCCGCGAGAAGTCGGCGGGCGAGTATTCGGGAAACGGATAATCGCGCGACTGATAATCGGGGGTATGCGGTTGTGCCTTCGAGAATAAGGTGGTCCGGATCAACGATGATCCCAACACTTTCACCCGCTCGCACCAGGAAGGAATCTACAATGAAAACTTCGGCTCATGGTCCCATACTGATAATTTCATCTGATAACGATCGGCCAGTGCAACGACAAAGCTAAAGACTCTCGGCTTACCAACAACTCTTGGGACAAGAGGGGAATCAAGAGATAGACCGCAATGCCAAAGGACAAGAATAAACAGCGCGATTCCGCTACTGCCGCTCTCTATCCTTTGCTTCAGAATTGAGGAAGGAAGCTATTTTTGACGAGAAATGAAGCGGTTCCGATGTGTTTTTGTTGAAGCCCTTATCACTCAGATCACAATCTCACACAGCCACTTTTTCGAGGCATGGGCTCTATTCACGCAGGTCAGCTCAGGAGACTTCTCGTCTCCTCCGCGTTTCGAGGTTGGAACCATCGCATCGTCGATGACCCGGCCCGGATAGTCGCGTATTGCACCGCTTCATTGTGCGCTGACCTGACCGTCGACTCCCTTCCCGGACACCGCATCCACAAAATTTTCAATCATCAGAAACTTGTCGCAAGCAGATCGACTAATCCTCTCCCAGCGTTGACCCGAGTGAAGCGTCCGACGATACTTGAGCTATAAATTACCGGATTCAATTTTTAATCCACTAATCTCGGCGGGAGATTTCTCAGGCGAGCCTTTGATAGCGATCAATGGATAGCAAGTGCCGAAATCAGGCCGCGGCGTCGTTGAAGAATCGATCTGAGGAGACGGCGATTGAACTCCGGTGCGGGGCAGGCCAGGCGTGCCTTGAGCTCTCCGGGTATGATTCCGGAACTTGACGGCGACTCAACTTTGCGTCGGCCGGAATATGGCTTTCGATGTAGTATAATAATTTACTATCTCCCAACGTATGATGACTTGGCACAAAACGTACCCGAACTTTGGAGCACAGTTGAGCACCCAGCTCCCATGGAACGAATGATCGAAAGAGGATTAGTACAATCATAATCCACGGATTCGAGCGCCTATAAAAACCAATTTCCCCCCGCAGGCTTCACAATCGGCACCATTGTGAGTTGTAGTTCACTGTGATCCGGAGCCCGTGATCTTCTCTGCGGTCTGAACTCATTCGAGATCTGTTCCAGATGCTTCGCACCACTGCCATCCTCGTCGCCCTTCTGGGACTCTGCTCCGCCGACTGGGAACTTTACAAAAAAGTCCACGGGAAAAGCTACAGGCCTGCCGAGGAATCGTTCAGACGATCCCTCTTCGACAAGAATGTGGCCAGGATAAACGCGCACAACCTCCGCCACGATCTCGGACTGACCAACTACCGCATGGGATTGAACCAGTTCACCGACTTGACCAACGACGAGTTCAGAGCGTACAAGGGTCTTAAGTTCGACGCGAAGAAAACGATCCGGTCCGGGGAGCGTTTCCAGGATGAGCTCGTCGACGAGGCTTCTCTGCCCGAAAGTGTCGACTGGAGGAAGGAGGGATACGTCACTCCGGTGAAGGACCAAGGACAGTGCGGATCTTGCTGGGCCTTCTCCACGACCGGTTCTCTCGAGGGTCAGCACTTCAAGGCCACTGGCAAGCTCGTCTCGCTCTCCGAACAGAATCTCGTCGATTGCTCCGGAGACGAAGGAAACAACGGCTGCGAGGGCGGCCTCATGGACCAGGTAATTAATTCTGAGTTGAAATCGTAACATGCATCCGCGCGATTCGGAATATGGCGGTCGTTTCAATTATTCCTATGATTCCCGTCTTCATAGGGCTTCACCTACATCAAGAATAACGGAGGGATCGATACCGAGGAATCCTACCCCTACAACGCCGAAGACGGAGACTGCGCCTTCAAATCGAACGCCGTCGGTGCCCGCGTGACTGGATTTGTAGACATCGACTCCGGAAGCGAGAAAGCTCTCCAGAAGGCTGTCGCCACAGTCGGACCCGTCTCTGTGGCCATCGATGCTTCGAACGACAGCTTCCAGCTCTACAAAGAAGGAATCTACGATGAACCCGCGTGCTCCTCTACTCAACTCGACCACGGCGTCCTGGCCGTCGGTTACGGAAGCGAGAACGGTGTCGACTATTGGCTCGTCAAGAACTCCTGGAACACCGTTTGGGGACAGGACGGATACATCAAGATGGCGAGGAACAAGGACAATCAGTGTGGAATTGCTTCCCAAGCTTCCTACCCAACCGTCTGAGTCATCCCTCGAATAAATTCAACATTTGAATCCTACGGCTCGACTTCTGTACGCTTCTTTACGCTCCAACGACGGAGCTGCTTAACGATCGCTTACCAAAACTCCCGCTCTCTCGAATTTCTTCCTCCGACTGGATTCATGATGAAAGATCCGCCTCCTGACGAACGACTTACGGCGCAGCGGTGTTTCCCTCATTTTCTCGATCGGAAACCAGACCGCCGTCGCCGTCTGGGGCGCAGGCCCCGGGCTCTTAGTGCATTTCCCCACAGAACACGTTCAGGGCATATGTATGTACCTGATTCGGTGTGCTGCCATGCTCTTTCACTCAAAGATATGGCTCTCGTATCGCGGAAGCATCAAGGTGATGTGGTGTGAGATGCATTCGTCAGTCTCATTGGGGGAATTAGCGATTTTTCAACCGCCCAGAGCGACGAGTTGGACGCCCATGAAATGGGGCGAGGTACTCGTATCCGGAGCAGACAAGATGAGCCATGCCGTGAGGCAGCGTATTATTTTTCCAGGCTTACAGCCAGATATCGATGTCCCGGGTATCACCGCAGTATTTCTCCCGAGGACGAGTCATGAAGAACGAGTATATCCGGACTACCTATGATAGAGCCAGAAAGCTTGCGAAAGTCTCTCCGGCGCGGCCATCGGGATCGGGCTCTCGAGACTCCGCCGTCTTTTCCTCGAGCGGCATCGCGACGTTGCGACAATGCTTGTTCCGCGTTCGCCGTCTTAAACGCGCCAATCCAGATAGTATATAGGTGGGCATCCCATGGTTTCCAGTTTCAACCCATCGGTCCGTCGGCCGTGGGCCTCGCCGATTCCGTGAATCGGGCCATGCTTTTCGAGAGGCTGGAGCAAGTACAGAAATCATCGGTCCTGAATTACGACCAGAGCTGTGCGCCATGGGATTTTCGTCGGCGGCGGCGGCGGGCTGGAAAACGGGCGGCGGCGGCGGGCGCCGCGGCGATTTTCGGCGGACCGATGAGCCTATAGCGCGCCGCGGGACAGGTGGAACGCACGTTCGAAAGTCTTCTAATTGCGTCTCCTCATTTGTCGGGGATGAAATACTTTTAGACAAGTGCGATCTTCCGATAAATTCAAGTTCAATTGATCACTCAGGGCTCCCAGCGACCACGGAGCTTCGGTCCGAAACATCCCGTCTCATTCGAATGCTACGTCCCCGCATTCTCGTGCGAGCTCAGTACCTCGAACCGAGTTTCCAATTTTTTTTCCATGGTTTTCTGTTACTTTTCATGAGGATTGGGCACGGCGCGCCGGCGTTCCGTCACGCCGTCGGACGCCGTGCTCGGGTTCCGGCGGCGGCGGCGGACTCCAGAGGTCGGCGGCGGCGATCGCCGGCGAATTCGTGACGCGGCGCACAGCTCTGATTACGACCTTGTGCTCTCTCTGGGTCATTCTGGCTCTAGCATCTTACTCCCTCTATTGCTGACGTTCCCGCTACGCAAATAACGTAAGCTAATTTGAACCAAGCATGGTCCGTCTGAGAATGGTGGGTCTCTCCTCGTGGTACGCTATTCATCATCATCTACCAGGATCTGAGGCACGTGTGTCGAGGAGTTCTGGGTGGACATCATCGAGTTTGTTCCACCTCTTCGAGGCGAGCTCCTCGGGGTCGCGCTTTCCATTAGGCTGACCTTCAACCTTACCAACAGTTGAGGGAGGATCTGATCGAATCGATGCTCGCTCCGAGACCACAATCGAAACGACGTCAGCGCGGCTTGCGAGAAACCACCAACAGCCAGCCCTGCCTCAATTCATCTCGAGCCACTCTCGGTCACGAATAATTTACGCATCGGCGTCGCCCGGCGCTGAGTTCAGGATCGATCCGGGGCAGTGGAAGGGGACATCCGTTCACCAGATCGTTAAGTCTGTCTCTCTTTCACCTGTCTCCTTCGGCTTCGGTGTCGCGCATTCGCAATCGATGGAGCCTTCTATCTAAATAGATTGATCAGAGTCCGATGCCGTAAATAATATGGTCATTAGCGGACACCACAGGTCGCTGCAGACTTCGATAATAATTAATGGCAGAAGCAGTTGGTCGGACGACACATCCGACTACCGCAACGGCTCTTCATCGCCAGAGGTCACCGAGATGGCGCGCTCATTCAAGTACCTATCTGAGTCTTGGTGGAGAAAGCCCACAAGTCCTGAAAAATTGATTCGACCCAGACAAAGGAGTCTGTGCGTGCCAACGATCGAGGGGTGGGACTTTCCTAGTGAGCTCATTCTGACTAGGACACTCAAGGCGCACCTACGCTAACCCAATCTATAGAATACATTGGCAGAGGCGTCTTTTTACAAGTCACAAAGGTCAAACAGACAGCTTCATGATCCTAGTCTACGTACGTTGCGCGGAACTCACTAGCCGATTCCGCTCCCACTGGGCGTTGATTTCTCCAGAGCTGGGCAAACATCATCGATGATTTTCATCGGATGGGGACCAATTATTTATTGATAATAATAATCGATGCCCGACCGATACGGTGTACCGAAAAACGGACGATCTGTCAAATGTGAGACGGCTCGTTCGATCGTTGCCATAGGTGTTTTCTTGGTATTGTTGAGAGATGTCGAGGGGAGCAAGACGTACAACAGCTCTGTCTGGGGCGCTTGTAGTTGAACTATGTTCTCATTGAGATTGATTAGGTTTCGTAGTCGCTAGACTAGGCCATGGTTCGCTCGCGGCCGACGTGATCACACTATCGAGGCCGTTCCGGAGGGAGATGTATGATTCATAGCGGCGACGGATACGGACAGAAACTACATACACACACGTTCCACAAGCACAGAAGACGCGCCATGCGCTTCGTTTGTCGGTCGGTTCCGCTTGACTTCGTTAGCTCCTCCGACGGTATGTGAACGTATTCCGTGCTTCTCATTGTTACACGGGAGATCGAGGCCTGTGGGGAAGGTATCGAACGCCGACCGATAGAAGCTCCGTTGAACTCGCCGGGGGGCGAAGGGGGAGGTGGGGGAGCTACGAGCAAATTCGCTGGTTCGTGAGGGCTAATTCCGCTAGAACTCGACATGAAGTACGGCGTACGGCCCTATCGGGTCCTGAACATTCGAGTGCCGAATTCTGGACCGTGGTACCAACTCCCTTTTTCTCGAGAGACAGAAAACACCTCCGCGGTTTCCACGGTTGGCTAGTCGACAATACCCCGAGATTACGATCGAATTCTTCGCTTTGTCTCGGCCGAGCCAATCTTTTCCGGCAGCGAGCCGTCTCGTGAAGCGGTGGATGCATGCTCAGTGCATTTTCCGTAGCAACCGGCTGCACGTTTCCCATGATACCGACGGCTTGCTCCTCCGGGGGTCCCTGGATACCTGGATAGGGAGCGAGAAGTGGAGCAAGTGCTCCACGATCCCGATTGCTACCCCACTGGAGATTTCCAATCCGGCTTTTCGTCCTGGAAAAGTTTTCCCGATTGAGTCCTCGTCCGGGATGATTGGGAACAGAATAAGGACCGATAGTTCGCTATCACGAAGTCAATGATGAGCCACCGATTCGAGAAGCGTGTCTATGCTCTATGAGGCTCACGCGTTGAACCCTCTGCACAGGATTTGCTTGGAGTCAGGACTCCGGAGAAATATGACGGAGCATCGGCCGCTCCAGATAGAGCAAGGGGGCACAACCTTCCGCAGCAGGAGCTCATATTTGGGCTCACTAGAGAGGGCAGGCTGAGAGTCTTGGTACTGAACGCGGCAGCCTTACGAACTTCCAGGGGCGAGGAACTTGCTTTCTGAGAAATATTCCCGGACCCGCGTAACTTCAAGGGACTCCCGGGGGTATACTGACGATTCATCGGTGAGTAGGGGGCTCGAGGATTGATGACAAAAGAACCAGGTCCTATGTCTCGGACCATCTAGGATCTAGATATAATCATGTTGGGAATCGCCATTTTATCTCGGCACGTGCTAAATAGTCATCTTGATAACCTGGTTCCTTCAATTCAATCGATGGGATGCTGAAGGAGCGAGAGGGCAGTTTTCCGGGAGACGATAAAGATATTGCTTCTGATTGGCCATCAAAAACGAGCACCATCCTGCTGAAAAGTGGGCCTCATCGTGCTCTGCAGTTTGATGAGTCTGTTGCCCGAGCGATATCGATCAACCGAAAAGTGCCCCGATGATTTATTGATACTCCGTATATCAACTATCAGCAGAGACTATCTCGCCCGCTTCACAAAGCGCTCGAAGCAAACCGCGAGCCGCCGAGGAATGGGGCAAAAACTCGATCGAACACCGAGCCTAGGTATCGAGATCTCGGTCGGAGGTTACTCTGTCAGAACGAGGACTGCGCTGACGAGAGACAAGGGAGACCCGCGTTTCTTTGTTCATCCATTTCAAAACAGCGCTCGAAGGAGAAAATATTCCGGAAGCATGTGAAACTCAGGTGTGTATTCGATGTTTTCAGACGGCATCTCTCGGTCAGAGGGGATCATTCGTAATAATTATATGCCGAACTTCAGAATGCGAGAACCCATTCATCATCTCGCTGGATCGCGCTTATCCCTTCTGGTCATAATGGACGATTCTTCTCCACGTTCCGAGGATGCGTCTGGAGGTAGCGGCGAGACTTTTTATCTCACTTATTCTGGCAAGCTATCGATCACGCAGCGGAATCGCCTCGGTAATTGCATCATCTGTTACCGCGCCGATACCGCTGGCTGGTGGTCGAGCTACGCGCGCAGCCTGAACTATCCGCGAATTCACGATAAATTGAAACAACAGGCTGCCGAACTTGCGAGATGTCTGCTTACAGTGAAGTTTCCATGATGGCATATCGGCCCGTGCTAGACGCTGCTTAGAAGAAGCTCTCATTCGATGACGCCCTTGCGACTACGGAAGTTATCGCAGGCTCGCGGTTCGTCGCGTCACCTGTCACTGAGAGCGATGTATATAGGACATCATGCTCTTGTGCTATCATTCATCGGGAGAAACTAGGGGGAGCGGGGCTTTGTTCTGATAGGGTGATACATGATTGATCACCCCTGTGATGAGCTCGGTTCGACATGCTAGCTACCTAAGGAATTTCTGAGCAGCTTTCACTTGATAAGTTACCGCAAATGTCGACTCTGACCTTGCTTTGAAATTTCTTGTTTTCACTTAAATGAGATGATGAATGACCTTTCCAATCATATTTCCAGAAAGGCAAGTCTGGCAGATAGCCATGGCTTACAGCGATTATTTCGGCCTCCAAGACAGTATCACGCATACACATCTAGGATCCGGAGTCTGTATGTACGTGCTCCGCATTACTGTCGACGTCCCGTGATCGTTCATCCTGGGGCTCATTCAACTTCGGAGAGCTTTGGGTTTGAGGACAATCCGCGAGCTCTGATTAAAAACCAACTCCGGGGTGAGAAGGAGTCATGTGGTCAAAAGAGCCGGAATTCTTTCTCTCTCGAAATATCCGAGACGAGCGAATGAATCTTCCCTCAGAGTGAGATTCGCTTTGTTTGCCCGATAATTAAACAGGAAGCTCTGGCTGAAATTCAAAACATCCGCTCCAGTGAAGGACGGGAGCCTCCGGACAGTTCACGGGTGTGTTGGCTCTGAGCGTCCTCTGAGCCACGCTGTATGCCCATCCTCTACCGGCAGGAACTCGGGTTCTTTGGCCCGCGCTGTACCTTCGGAGAGGAAGCGATCAGCATCTATAACATAACCAATAGAAAGGCTTCGTGATCAATTGCAGCAGCTCTCAGCTCTCACGACTCGGGAGTCGCGCAGCTTCGAGCCCATTCGCGAGTATTCATCCCAACGGTCCCTGTGTTTGCCGTGATGGAGAATAATCAATCGAAGATATGCCTAAGGCAGATGCGCTAGGGACACAACACTTCCCACTTTCCATGATGCCAACAGGGAAGGAAAAAAAACACCGCTTGAACCGTGTAAAGGAAGACCTCCTTGTCCCTCCCCTGATCTTCTCCCTCTAGTGATCTGCACGGCAAGGACACCGCGTGAAGGTCGGGAATGATGCTTGAGAAACTTCATCCGATGGCGAGCCCGAGTGAGAAAAGTACCTCGGGACTCGGAATCGAGAGAGAGCAATCCGAGCCTCCATCCGCTCTCTTGTTTCGAAAGAAGGAAAGGTCGCACGCGCGAGAGAAATATAAAACTGCAGAAATTCATAGGAGGTCAGACCAATTACCTATGATGCCAAGGACTCGTTCGAATCGTGTATTTTGTGTGTCCCGGAGTTTTTGAGGGAAAGAATTTTATAATATATATGCCTTCGAATGAAATTCAATCGTAGACTTGACCATGATTTGCATGTATTCTACTTTATATCTAGAGTCTGATACCACAGCTCCTGAATGATATAATGCTCGAATGTCGACTCTGTTAGTGACTCTAATCTCTTGTCGCGGCTGAGCGCGACGGAGACGACAAGCGAACAATAATGTTCGGTCCCCATGCGATTAATCCGCGGGACTCTCGACTATGCCGTTGATAGCTATTAGAGCGACTCGGTCAAACTCGGTGATAAACGTAATTTCCGATAAGATTTCGAGACAGGTTTCCGATCCCGAGTCCATCAGACGTTAGGTAATGCTCATGCATATTCGGCTATCTTTCGCAACGCAAGCGCCTACAAATATCGATATAAGTGCTCATTCGATGGATTGAATTCAGATCCTATTCTGGGCGGCTCGTGAAATCTGTGAAAAGTTGCGAGGACGACCCAATGTTCCGCGGCACAGCAATTCTCCTCACTCTCTGTTGTCTATCCTCTGCGGACTGGACCTCGTACAAGCGGGAATTCTACAAGAACTACTCGCCCGACGAAGACGCTTTCCGACGACAGATATACGAACAGTCTGTGCGGGAGATGAACGAGCACAACGTTCTCTACGAGCAGAACCGTACAAGCTGGCGGCAAGGTCTCACCGTATTTTCCGACATGACCGAGGAAGAACGCTCGGGTATCACCGGCAGTCTCCGCGGAATGGGAAATTTTTCTGCGAGCTCGTTCGGAACTTTCCCTCCCATATTTCACAAAGGGAGACCACCCGCTTCTGTTGATTGGAGAAAAAGCAAGTGCGTGGCGCCACCGAAAAACCAGTACGGCCCTGGAGACTGCAGACGGACCTGCTGGGCTTTCGCCACCACTGGGGTACTCGAATACTATTACTGCAAGAAACATGGGAAATTGGAGAGCTTTTCCGAGAAGTATCTCGTGGATTGCGTGTTCACTGTCCAAGGATGTCAAGGAGGACTATTCGAGAAGGTATCGTCTCATCTTGAATTTTCGACGAGTTCCGACATCGAATAGTCCAAAATCTCGGACGTTTCTCCCTTCCAGGCAATGGACCATCTGTTCTGGACGATGAATATTCCATCGGAGAAATCATATCCGTACACGACCTTCTTCGGAGAATGCCGTGAGCCTGGCAACGACCTTTTCGACCTCAGCGATGTCAAGGGCTTCGAAAGGCTGCATGGTGATGAGGAACTTCTAAAAGCCGTCGCCTTCCGAGGACCTGTCGTCGCCTACATGCTCACGGAAGGAGCGAACCTGGGCACGTTCCGGCCAACGAGCGAGGATGATATTTTCCGCGCCGATTCTTGCGCCTCGACGCAGCAGGGAAGGTTCGATCACGCTGTTGTTGTCGTCGGGTACGGGTCGAACCAAAACGGCAAATATTGGATCGTGAAAAACTCCTGGGGCACGAACTGGGGACAGAATGGCTACTTCAAGCTGTCGAGAGATGGAGGAAATTACTGCAACATCTCTGATTTCGTGTTCGTCCCCAAGTACAGATAATGAAATTATGAAACAAGCCGCGAGTCAGGCACCAATTATCCACATCGAGCCCTATAAAATCTGGGATTTTCTAAAAGATTTATTCGAAATGTATGCAAGGGACGTTAGTGAGTATATATAGTGATTGAAAGCCCTATAAAACTTATCATATATTACTTATTCTTGATCTTTCTCACGTAGTAAATAAGGTATGATCACCCTACTCCGGGCAACCCGTCATCCGAAGGCATTCTATAAAATGAATGTGGAATCCTGAGCTTTCATTCCGACCATATGTATATAGGATACGTAGACAGCTCTCCCATGATGGCGAGTACGGGATAATAATGGTCCCCCATAGGTATCCATGGGTTTTTCCCCTCATTACGCGGTCTTCACAGCGTACCGACGCAGAAATTCCTGTCAACAAGGGAGAGACAGTCGATTCTGAGGGGAAGAGGCTGAATTTTGAGACCCGCGAATTCCGAGGTCACGATTTCTCAGAGAACTGAACGGGCAGATGCACGAGAATGAGGACGTTGTGCATAGGATGCAGAGGAAATCCAACTCCGATTTTTTTTGCCGTCTGTCTCGAGGAATCTTACAATCGCTCTCCCCACATTGAAATGTTGGGTCGCGAATCAACCTCGAGTTGCGAGAGCGCGTCCGACAAGGTCGACCGCCATAGATCCCGCGCAGCTCTCAAGAAGATGTATGCGGATTCGCCCAACCTCGGATCAAGAGAGATTACCTCGCGCCGGTATAGCACCGATAGATATAGCGACCGAGGAATGGAGCGAAACGAGCTCGTTCGAATGCACTTACTTCTCCGACGATAGCCTCGATTTTTGCTCAGAGGTATAACTGTCTATGGAATGTACCCGGAAATAGAAGGTCGACAGAGAGCTCAAACTCTCCTTCACATGGATCCCGTCTTGCCGGAAAAGTTCATCGAGCTGCCATTTGACGTTCATTTGGGCCCGGAAGCTTTCCGCCGAGGAGAGGAGCATGAACTCGATCAGCCCAGGCCGCTCGGAAAGTTCATGGTTCACCGCAGACTCCGAAACAACGGAGAGGACGGAACATTACCGTACTCATAAGTCGTCGCGAGGGATTGTGACTTATAACAACTCGCTCTCGCGACTCGGGAAGCGCGTTGACATCCGCGAACCCCCTAGGCCCTAGAGCCCCACAGATGGCAGCGCCGTCCAGAACGAAAAATTGAGGCATGTCCAGCCACGGATTGAATTGATCTTTGTATAACCGTATGCATCATCTGCAATGGACGTGAAAGTGATAGTTCCGAATATGAGGATTGCCTCAAGATTCCGTCGATGAGAAGGACTTTTGATGTTCTATTCGAGAAATCTTGGTTCGTGATTATTGAAATATGATCTACATGATTAATAATATTTTGAATTGAAGATTGGAGTAAATGCATGAACTAGAACGGGGGCGCCGGTTGAGCTGCATCAATGACACAATTCACAACGGAACTCATGAGATCCGTCAGCTCTTCCCTGCGATGCGTATCCCCCACATCAGAGCTACTGGTAGTAGTACATATTAACCTGTATCTTTCCTCTCGTAGCATTCCGCGTGCTGGCTGAGCAGATAGGGCGTTCGACGCATGCAGCCGCATCGCCGCGTCACGAGGGCCCTCAGGCTGATCCCCGGAGGACTTCAATTATTCCTCTCTTTCTTTATGGCTCTCAATCAGCAATAACTTAAGAGGCTAGATATGAATCGGCATCGTAGAATATGGAAAAGCAAACGCTTGTTCGTGCTCTCTTACCGCTGCATTATGGCGGCGAGGGAGTTATCATAGCTTCTAGACTCTTACCAGCTTGAAAATAATTTCGCAATGATGTCGTATTGCAGTCTCATCGCTACTGCGGACTCTACCGCCCACTTATCAGTCTCTGCGAATATCGGCGCCTCCGGTGTCAAACTATGCAACAAAAATACCTTTCGACGGGATGGCCTCCATGCGGTCGGTCGAAAACGGGAAATACCTGCAGCGAGCTGAGCTTCATGAGGATGGTCTCCGAAGTATGATCTCATCTTTCGTACTATGCAACAATTCAATTGAAGGGTACTGAGAACAACGTGGACTGCTGTGGGTAACTTCGTCAGCAACTTCTGATTAGTGAAGCGCTAACGCTTAACTTTATTGGACTTTCATAGAAGCCTGACCGGCCTAAGCTAGAAGGTTCTACTACGACCAAGCATCCCTACATCTCCCCGCTCAAGTTGGTGACCATCCCCAACCGAAAAGACTGCGAGTTTTACATTCTCGAGCGGGTTGAATACGACGCTGCGGCGGATCCTGTGAACATGCTTGTTCCAGCCCGAGCGGCTCGGAAATGCCTTCTCGGAACTCGACGGTTTCACTTTCCACGGCCGGCCCTGGCACTGCGTCGCCCACCGAGTCGTCAAACCCGTGCTGGTAGTCCGGCACGCCGTCAGGCGTTAGTGCATATTCCGACGCGTCATCGGCATCTTCGGGGACTAACGGTGCTTGTGGAGCCTTGGTTGTCGGTGGGAAGAGAACGGCGAGAGGACACCCGAAGAATTCTTCCAAGTCGTCGTTTTCTCTCGAAAGGGATCCATTCCCCTCTGGCGGGACCTCTGCCGGGATGGCTCGAGCCCCTCCGGACGATCTCTTCCAAAGCTGGTTGCGGTGCCGCACGAGCAGTCCGTCGTCAGAGTCCAGGACGACCATAGCTTTCCCCCGGAAACTCCGAACCGTGGCAGGAACGCGCTTACCGTTAGACAGCTGTACGGTTACCGTCTCCCCCACCGAGAAATGGCGTTCGCGCGTTCCATGTTGAGCATCGTACTGATCCTTGACAGATCTCTGATATGCGGTATGCGGCGACGAATCCTTCACGGGCTTGTAGATGTCGAACGGGGTCTTGATATCACGACCAAAAAATTTCCTTGCTGGAGTATCGTCATTGATCGTCGCGTTCGGAGTGTAGTTGTACGCCGAGATTACGCTGTCGAGTGACCCCGCGGACGCGTCGAGAGATGAGCAATAGTGTCCTACACTACCCATGAGGACTTCCTTCAGCACCGAGCCTCGTGACTTATGACGTACTATTACGTCGCAACGGAATTTGACTCGGGTCCAGATTGTGGAGCCCACCACACCGGAATTTTCCTATTATCCCACTATTCAGGTCTAGATGTATACATATTATGATGACAATAACCTCGCTTGCCTCCAGAGTTCAAGCGGCTCTCGAGTACAATACTATATAATAACTCTTCTCGTTTGGAACCGGGACGGACGTGGTTGATGTTTCTAAACACGGGACTGAAATGCACAGTGGACTTACTCATTCTAATTTCGTTACAATCTGATTTCAGCGGCGAGCTTCCATCCCAGCTTATAGGGGAACTCCTTCTTTCTCTCCGGGAGCATGTGTCTTCCCCTCCAAGACGGATTTATGCTCGAGATCTCGGTGAACAAAGGCTCACGATGGAGATACCATACTATATCTCCAGATACCATATCTATGATATCATTAGTTTGAGGCGTCCTCATCAGATGGTCTTCGACCGAAGTCTAATCCTTTTTTGTCTTCCACAATCGAAGCAAGAGGCCTGGGAGGAAACCTCTTCCATCGGTGTGTTTTTCGTTCCTTGCACGTCCCGGTAGACGAATTCGTTAGACTACATAATACATTTATTCCCTTTACCGCGCAAGAAGTTCCTATACTGGCGTCAGTCCGCAAGCGTATTCAGGAGTAGGCTCTCCATTAGATCTCTCATGGAGTCTGAGTATGTGATCCCGAGGATGGGTGAAATTCTCGAGTCTCGCTCCGGGTGCCACATCGTCATGTCACGCCCCGTGTGGGAGGCACATTTCCCTTCCATCCTGCATCCTGGGCTTGACCTCGACGAAGAGCTCCTCTATAATGTAATTTTTAGAGAAATGTAGCTCCGAGCAGCGTGCAGCGAACGAAACGAACGGCTTTCGAGGAAATCACGCGGTCAGGAAAACGAAACGGCGATGTGCGCTCTGCGCTCTACATGTTCCATGATGAGCGGTGTAGAGAGGAATATGAAGAGCTCGATAAGTTCACAATACGATACGGTTTTTTCACTCCGAACCGTGACGTCCAGAGCTCATAGAAGCTTTCTGAGTAATAGGATTATCATCCTCCGCTGATTCTATTCATTTTCTCCCGGAGTGAGGTGTCACGTCCGCCAAAATCTGGCGACTGGTCGGACAGAGAGCTACTCCGTCTGGCCTTTCGAGAGAACGCCCACGATACAGAGAGCCGTCACGTATTTAATTCGTAAGACGCTAGTTAATCCAGCCGATACGGAGTCGAGGATCCGTCTGCAGAAATCACGTGTTGATCGATTAGGCCACCGAGAGCTCGCTGCCACGGACAGACTGAGCGTGAGGGTTACCCAGCTCCCGCGTTCGCGATCTTGAAAACGAATCTCTCGTCGCGGCCTTGAAGTATAAAACTTGCTCCAGTCGCTCAGCATCGAGTCTCTGACGTGAAGTGCTGCCGACGCGTCACAATGTTCGGCGTTGCCACTGTTCTTCTTGCTCTGCTGTGTGTCTCTAGGGCCGACTGGGCATCGTACAAGCGAGAATTTAACAAGACCTACCCCCCGGACGAAGATGCTCGCCGACAGAGAATATACGAGGAGTCTCTGCGGGAGATGACCGAGCACAACATTCTCTATGAGCGAAAGCTCACCACCTGGCGTCAAGGTCTGACGGTGTTTTCTGACATGACCGTGGAAGAACGATCGCGCTTCGCAGGAGCTCGCACTGACACGAGGAAGCTCTTCATGAAGCGCAAACACTTCGGTTCGGGATTCTACCAGGCATTCCAAGCTCCGGCTTCTATCGATTGGAGGGACAGCAAGTGCATCACGACACCGAAAAACCAGGACGGCTCTGGAGGATGCGCAAACAGTTGCTGGGCGTTTGCCACCACTGGTCTCCTGGAATATCATTACTGCATGCAGCACAGGACTCTGAAGAGTTTTTCCGAGAAGTATCTCGTCAATTGTGCAGGCAATCGGAACTGCAAAGCCGGAGATGTTGATAAGGTGAATTTCGTTTCCCGATTCTCGATTATTCTATATCGTTCTCGCTGATGTGAAATACCCGGTTGTTCCACCTGCGCATGTGGAATCGTGACTGAGAGGACCTCCTACCCCACGTAGACCCCATCTCGAGATGAGGATTTCTTGCGATTGACTCGAATGCGGAAGTCTTCTCTTTGATGAGACCTCTTCCAGGCGGCACTTCGGTGTGAGGACGATATACTACATGACGACATATACGTGACGACATTTATTTTTCTGTCCCTCTCAGGCGTTAGACCATGTGATCGCGACGAAGGAGATCCCTTCGGAGGAATCGTATCCCTACACGACTCACTATGAAGAATGTCGAGAGCCCGGAAGCGACACATTTAACATGAGTGACCTCGTCGGCTATGATAGACTTCAGGGTGATGAGGAGCTTCTGAGAGCTGTAGCCTTCCAAGGACCTGTCGCTGTCTACATGCTTACCGGAGGAACGAAATTGACTGCTTTCCGGACAACGAACGACGACGATATCTTCAGCGATGATTTCTGCGACCAGGCGGGACCACGGGTGATTGATCACGCAGTTTTGGTCGTGGGTTATGGATCCAACGTCAACGGAAAATATTGGCTCGTGAAGAACTCGTGGGGTACGGACTGGGGCCAGAAAGGGTACTTCAAAATTTCCCGGGATAGAGCAAATCACTGTCATATATCGGATTATTTGTTCGTTCCTAAGTACAAGTAGTCCCGACGATTCGATATTTTCCCGGTTTCTTTATTCTGTCATCACGCCCCAGCTTCAGACCATAATGAATGAAAACCGAATATTCGTGGGGTTTCGATAATGTGTTTTCGTTTTGCGATACACGGAAGTGTTCACGGGCATATACGCGGATCGTCGTAGGATGGGAGTTCCGCTCCAAGTATCGTATATTTGTACACTATGGGTATAGGTAAAGGGAACGCAGGAGCTCCATGACCATATACCGCATCTCCGCGGTGCTGAGATACGGAAGAAGAATCTCCCACGTGTTTGAAAGCGCGAGTACCTGGGAAACGATGGAGGCTGACATGATAATCCTAATGGATGCTACCCGGCGGCATTAAGATGCTTCGTCCATCTCACCCGTCGCCAGCGAGATGATTACACTCGCCACTCAGGCAGTGGCATGGCACGTGAAACGTGAACAACAATAGCTGGATTCTACGCAGACAATCTTTCGGGCTACTTCGGAGTGTTCCGTGAACCGATGCAGAGGTTGACAGCCAAACAAAGCCGTTACACGACCCGCGGTAGTCTGATCGACAATCCGGATGAGGTTGACCAATTTTGGAATGAGGTAGAGTCAGTTGTCGCGCGTGTGAGAACGACTCACAATAATTAGACTCTGCTGTCCGAAACAGCTGGTCCCACACCGAAGTTCGCATTGGAGGATCGTGCCGATCCGAGTCGTATACCGCCTGATTTTCAAAACAGATCCATGATCATCGGTCGATCAAAGATCCACGGCAACCCCTGAACCTCTGCACAGCTCGGGAGCATTCGAGCACCCTATCGTTCCGCCGTCGTATTTTCCTACGTTATGAGGTTTCGACAGGTCACTTTCTAGTTTTCTTTCTACAGCCCCTCTGTCCATATCCATCTCTCGCCACGGCATTTTCCGCTCTGCGCCTTCTAGTCCCACCGAAGTTGAAGCCGCACGGAGGAGAAACATGTCGACTGGAACATCACGACAAGTCTGTGAAGAAGTCGGCCGAGCTAAATATACGTACCCTGTGACCAAAAGCGCTAAGCGATGCGTGAAGGTCTGGCCGGACCTTCTCACCTGACTCAGAAAGGCCGTTCGTCTGTCACCGGAACTCGGACAGAAATGAGGAATTTCTTACGCCGCATTGACATTGCACAATCCGTCCCTTATCTATCCGACCAATAAGAGCCTCTCGCCGATCCGGTGGGCAAGCTTCTGCATCACTAAAGCGATGAAGCGGAGCCGGAGCTCTCAGGGATGCTCGAGAACTTTTTCGGCATTCGGCACTTCAGGTTTCTCCCATCAATATTGAAGAAATACCGAGCGTGAAAACTGATGAGGGATCTCGTGGATTGCGCCCTCGACGCCCCTGCCCGGTCAAACGGCGAGCTATCGATGCGCTGGATCGACTATCTCTTGTTCCATGTACTCAAAGACTCGCCTTCCCTTGCCTCAAGCTCAGGAGTCGCGGGGAACCGACAAACTCTGCTGGAGACTTCGCCATCAGCTCGAGCGGCCGTCTTCCGGGGGAAGTTTTCCCTGGGGCTATCCAAGAATGGGAATGGGATTCAGAAATAAACCTCTGGCAAACTTCGAGCTTCGTAAATATCCGGCATTCTGTCTCCTCTCGTGGTAGCATGGGGGCATGACTTCATGCAGAAAGTCTCGAATCAGCAGTTTTCCTTGAGTCAGATGTTCGTGAAGGAGTTTTGGGGGCGGCTCGAAGGTCAAGACGAGGTTCTGTGGGCGCTCAGTCATAAAACTTGATTAGCAGTGGGTAGTTCCGAGGTCGTTCTGGTACACGAATGAATCCATCTGAATAACAGTAAAGGAGCTGTTAGTATTTTCGATCGATCTCGCTGGCTCGGCTCAATGAATCAGCTCTTCCCAAAATGGATTTTGTAAGTTCTGACATTTTCCTGTCGCGAGCCCACTGTGGAGAGCAGAATGGATCGCACAAGAACAGATTCTCTCAGGACCTCAAAAATGTTAGAATTCCGAGAGCGGATAGCTTTCGGAGTCTTGTGCCAACTTTCCTAGACCGCAGGCGAGCAGGGGAGCCGATTTTCCGTCGTTCCAGCTCTCGACGGGCGCTCCAAGAAAAACCTCTATTGCTCGGATTTGAACCCAGTCACCCGATACAATATGTCCGGCCACAGGAGAATGCGGTGTTTCGCCTCTAGAAAAACTCCCCTTCCCAGAAGCGAGTTTCGGGACTGCTTAGGGTCTCCGAAAGCCTGTCGGTCACGAAGTCTCGACGGTCGCTGAGAATGAGTCATAGCGTGATACCGAAGGAAGATACCTGGGCAGCAGCCTACCCACTATCCACCCAGGAGCTGGATGGGGATCTGGCCCTCCCCCGCACCCGGGAATTGTTCGTCGAGCGTGAGTAGAGGAACGGATCACCATTTTGGATCACAGCCCCACACGGGTCCAAACCCAGCCTACCTCCTAGAGAAAATGCTGGGTACGGCCCTGCACATATGTCCGAATACTTGGAATAGTGTCGTCCGATCACTATTCGCAGAACAGGGGATCTTCCCGAGCGAGTTCCTTCAACAAAAAATAAGCATCGTATCCTCGGCTGGCGAGATACTCAGCTGGTACTACTGGAGTCACATAGTGTCCCGAGCACGGCTGGGCACTCCGGAAAGGGTCGGGGGCGGGATAGAGATCGCTGCTTTCAGTGTGCTCAGGAAAGTATTCGCCACAGTCGAGAGGGCGTTCTCGGTTTCACGGTCCGTCACACAGCTGTCAGCTGAATATCATCATGCGACTTCTCTAGCGCGGGCGATTGGCTTCAAGTAACTGCGGTATCGGTATTGCTCTGACTGATAAAAGTTCGCAAATCGTGTGCAATGCTCAATTGCATGAAATTAATTATCAGTGACTCGAGGGGGCTCTGAACGATCTTCCCTCAACCTTTGAATGGGCTCCCTCAGCCCGATAGGAAATCAATATCAAGGATCGTAGATGAGGTTTCCAAATATATTGCAGTGCGAATGATATCTCGGAATATGTGGAGTTGCTTATATAGCTCTGCTCTAGCCGAGTTCCTTCGAGTTGGGTGCTCACATTTTGCACAATCATGAATACATTTCATATAAGCTCTCGACGCGCTTTCAGTATTGCGGGCAGGCATCGGAATTACCGTTTAGTACACGAGCTGACGAGCGACTTTTCGATAAGTCATGGGTGAGGAACGGCGATGGCGATCTACCTGGTCACGCTGAACCGGAACGAAGTTGCGCAGACTGAAATCGACGAGACGGGCTCGTACCTCCTGTCGCGTTGCGGGAAAACGGCAAGTCGGCGGGATTGATGACGTCAAAGCTTTTGGAGCCAACTCTCTTACGGCGCTGTGAGACAAACGATTCGTATTCATTCGGAAGGAAGAGTCCGACCAACTCCGCTCGAATCTCCCACGATTGTTCCCCTCGACAGGGAGATGAATCCGCAGAATGCCAGACGATGGAGTTCCCGCGATTTCAACTCAAGAATGGTAGAAAGGGGAGATGGCGCTCGTTCACACGAATCGCTTGTGCCCGATGAAATATCGACCCTCGGGGCTCGGAGTACACACCGAAATTCCGAGAGCTGCCGCCATCGGAGTGCTCCAAGCGGGAGGTCGCTCTCACCGCCGCCGCGCTGCGATGTGGACACAGTCGGAGCGCACCCCCAGATCATCAGTAAAATAAGATACGCCTCTTCGGTAGCTGCTCGAGGAGCGACGAATGTGGGAGACGAATAGCCCGAAGAAGAAGCGGGGGGAAGAGCTTCGTCGGCGCACTGCTAAACGCGCTTGGCATCGTCTGTCGGGTGACCTGGCATGGCTTTCACCATTTTATGTGTTTGAGTCCGGGCTGTTTTGAGCCTGAAGAATGCACACGCGAACTCTGCGGTTCTACCGACATAGGTAGATACCATATTATGACTTGAACATGTACCCTAAAATCCTCTCTCAGGGAAGCGGTGGAAGAGCTCACCAGCATCAACACAGAGATATCAATTGCTGCCAATACCTGATGAATAAATCTGTTATATGTATACATAGAACACAGGCGTTAGCGTCGCGTCGGGGAGATTATGGGAAAATTCTTTTTTCGGCACCAGCGGAATCCTCTGAGATATTAGTCATCATCGGAGGGCACCTCGATGTCAGGACTCAGAGCCGAAGGAAGGTATTGCAAGGTGGGTTTATCATCGGTCTGGAACCTCGTTGGGAATGTCACCGGGAGCTTCGCTGCGGTGTACGGGATGTGGATTGTCTCGCTGTCTTGTGAGGATAAGGATTGATTGGGGGAAGCAAAATTCCCTAGAACTCGGAGGATGCGAATCTAGAAAGACATATTGGTGGACGTGAAGTCTGTGGGAACCAGAAAAAAATGTCGAGAACGTTTGGCGTATCTCGGGGGTGTTCGGAGGCATAGAATGCATAGATAGTCCTCTGTCGCGAGAGGGTCGTCTCACAGAAGCTCATATTTGAAAGACGAATGCCCGAGCTGAAGGGGAAAATCTCGAGGGAACAACCTTATATGGAGGACTCTCTGTCTCACTTGTTCCTGCCTGCAGGGGATGACCAGAATCAAGAGTGAGTTCATGGAATATGAGTGAATTCGGAGTCAATGAGTGATGAAGGCCGCGGTGATGAATATCTATGGTACTCGACTCGATCGTGGTCTGGGGTTCAACTGAAGTCTAATTCAGAAGACCGCAGCCTTCATGTTATGCCTTCTCATCTTCCTTCCGATATTCATTTTCCCAGCTCTCTCAACTCTTTTCTCGGACGACTCCTTTGAAAATGATCAGTAGACCCTGCTGAAGAGCCAGCTGATTCGCGCGAAGTAGTGTGAGGTAGGGTTCGGTGAGAACGAACGGAGCATGATAGTATTAGGCTATCCGAATCCTAGGCAGGGGAGAATGTAGATTAACTCGAGTCGGGCTGCGAACCATGAAGCCTAACCCAAGCTGTCCGATTTCCATCCCAGGAAGGATTCAGTGCCGAACAGAACCTGACATGTCGGGCCTCTTGTCTCACCTCTCAACCCCTGGAGTCATCATTTCCAGATCGTAGATAGAAATTCCGCTCAATTGCTACTGCGCTCAGAAAGCGATGCACTTACGAGCTGACCCTCTTGAGATAGCTGCAAAGAATCACCAACTCTCAGGCATTGACGGGTCTAAAATGTCTGACATGATACTCTATCAAAGATTGATTAGGAATCGCGGCCAGTTCTTGGCATTGGCGCGAATCTCGACCTCGACGCGAAAATTCATGGGCGAGGTTTCTCATGAGATAAGGAGTGAGTACGTCGACTGGAACATGGCGATGATTGGATGAATGTTGGAAATCGCGTCGAATCTTGTCGACGCTGGCGAATGATCAGAAGGGCCGTCGATGGCGGTCTATTCCCTCATTATGGTTTATCAAACATTTCACCCGCTCAGTAGACGCGGGAAAGAGCTTGTATTTGACGTGTGGCCTCCGTTGACGCACGAAGCGATAGAGTTTTTTCCCCGTCCGAATCTCTGTCGGCGAGGCGATTGAAGGCCAGCGATTGCACACGCTATCTGGTGCAGAAAGACTCCTCGATAATCTCAATATTCGAGCCTCGGTCGCTTGTGTGTAATAAAAGAGTCCAAACGGCCACTGCGGATCAGCTGGGATTCTTCGATCAGAGGCCCTACCGAGACATCACCATGTTCTTCCGCGTCGCGTTCGTCGTCGGTCTGTGGTGTCTCTCAAGTGCGGACTGGGCATCGTACAAGCGTAAATTCAACAAAAACTACTCGTCCGTTGAAGATGCTTTCCGACGTCAGATATACGAGGAGTCCACACGCAACAACATCGAGCACAACATTCTCTACGATTTGAAGCTTGTCACGTGGCGAAGGGGTCCGACCATGTTCTCCGACATGACTGCTGAAGAGCGCTCGGGCTTCCTTGGGGCTCTTCCTCCGACCGCGAATTTCTCCGCGCCACCTGAGTATCTCGGTCCCGAGCTTTGGGAGGGAGAACCTCCAGCCTCCGTCGACTATCGGACGAATCCGTGCCTCACACCACCGAAAGACCAAGGTGCCAGTACGGCCGCATGCTCTCGGAACTGCTGGGCCTTCGCAACGATAGGACTCCTCGAGTTCCGTTACTGCGCAAGAGAAGGGACGCAGCAGAGGTTCTCAGAGAAATATCTCGTGAATTGCGCAGACAATCGGAGCTGTGAAGGGGGTCACATTGATAAGGTAAGTTCGACCCCGTCCCTTTCCATCGAATGCGATAATCTTGAACTGTTCGTGTGCAAGGAAAGGATAGGGGTAAGGCCCGGAGTCGAAGCGATTTTCCACTTAGGATACGTGATGATGGTCGTGGGGAACTTGAGGCTCGTGGAAGTAGTTGAGTAGTTTTCGGATCTTGGAGGAGCGAACCTTGTTCCCTCGGGCACTGCTTTCGTGACCATTGTGACTCATAATTCAAATGGTAAGCTATGGAAGCACCTGAGCAATGGGACCTCGGATCAACCATTCATTAATCCATCGATCCATGTTTCCGGGGTCCGAGTCCAGTCCCAGTTTGCATATTTGGCGCGCGAGCTTCCCGAAAAGTGATGCGAAGTTTCTCTTTAATAATCTCAGCATCTCCTCGTAAGTAACGCCTGATTGTGTGCCTTCGGGAGCGGTGGGTCGCTTGGGTACCTCCCAGAAAGCAACTTTCTTAGGACGTCGGAGGCCACGATCTGGTTAATGCTGAAGTTAGATTCGAAAATCAATCTTGCTATATCATTCCTCAATGAATTCTTCGTGGGAAGGAATGATTTTTCCCGAAGCTGTTCCTGTTTCTTCCGCGCAGGTTCCTTTCGGAATGCTGGACGTTCCTCCTCCGCGGCGAGTTCTGTCAGTGGGTCTCGCAGAGACCCCCGGTTGACGTTTGGCGTTCACGATTCGGTTCTGGGGATCGAAGATCCGGGGATGGGGCTGTCCTCCGTGATTCCGTGCTGTGTCAGCAAATGTTTCGGGTACTCGTGTTTCTTACATTCTTGAGATCCAGGGATCGAAGTAGGAGACAATATGAAGCGTGCGAAAAAACACTTTCATCAATTGGGATCTGTTTTATCTCGAACTTATCCAGCCTTCGGAAGGTCGGTGATTCGGAGAGTCTCGGAAGCGACAGTCTCCCATCCGACGTCGATTTTCCGCAATGCCCTGAACTCATGCCGATTTCGACAGCTCGACGCTCTGTCGGCTTATTTTCGAAATTTCCGATGACATTTTAAAACCCCCATAAGTCGGGACGAGGGTATCGCATCGGCTCGGTGTGGTGTGTGGTCGGCATCTTGTAGCGCGGGAAAAGAGCTGTCGATTCGTCCATTTACTTTGAAAAATCCGTTCACCTGGAGCTGAGAAAAATTCGTCTGCCATTTGGAAGTAACGGTCAAAAAAATAGAGCCACCCATAATAGAGCTGGAAGGGAAGGCGAAAGGTCGTCTCGTTGATCCTTGCATAGCTCCTCGAAAACTGGTCCGATTTCGGAAAATAGAAGAGCGATTCCGCTGTACGGAGGACGAGCTTTCCGATGCAAGTAACGGAGAGTCGAATTTTCGTCCTCCAGCTCCATTATGGAGGGTGGCTCTATTTTTTCGACCGTTACTTCCAAATAGCAGACGATTTTTTTCCCAGCTCCAGGTGAACGGATTTTTCAAAGTAAATATACGAATCGACAGTTCTTTTCCTGCGCTACAAGATGCCGACCACACCGAGCCCATGCGATACCCTCGTCCCGACTTATGAGGGTTTTGAAATGACATTGGAAATTTCGAAAATGAGCGAAACTGAGACGGCTGTAACTCCCTCAAAACGTATTCAAATGTCTGAAGTGACGTGTTCATTGGAAAGCCCATCCATTTCTCTTCAATTTGAAAAAAAAAACGTCCGATTCGGTAGATTTTCTAAAATGTTACGGACCTCCGAAAAAAGAAGAAGAAGTTTTTAGGTGGCTCTATTATTTTGACCGCCACTGTATGTATATCGAACTCCAAGGAGCTCACCTCCGTACAAACGACGCACTGTGCTTGGTCGGAATTTTTCCCGAACCAGTTCCAAACCTAGCTCTTGGGCCTATCGGCGTATGGAGATCGGTTCATTCTTGCAATGGATTCTCGAAAAATTTACACTTCTTTGAACTTCACGAATCAGACCACGATCATCTGTGTCAGCTTGAGTCGCATACGTGCATGTTCATACTGCGATCGGACCTCCATTCAAGAGAAAAGTACCCCCATCCGGGGAACTCGTCCCTCTGAAACTCGCGCGACTCGAAGGATTTTCATTATGCCCGGGTGCGAGATGATTGGAAGAGGGCTCTCGCTCCCGGAGGAGCCCTTCTCCAATTAGAACGGGCATTGAAGCACTAAATCTCTCAGAGGACTGATAATCGAAGAACCCTTCTATCGCCTCCCCCTGGAATTGAGCGATGTCTCCCCTGCGGTTCCAGAACTGAATTTTTGGTGCGGTTCCTGCGGTTCCGGAACCGCTGCAAAGCCCAGTGAGGACCGGGACGAATCTTTCGTCAAAACTTCTACATATGCTTCTGCTTCTTCCAGGCACTGGAGTTCGTGATCGAGAAGCAGAAGATCCCCTCAGAGGCTTCGTATCCTTACACGCTTTCGAAAGAGCCTTGCCGTGAACCCTATGTGGACCTTTTCGACATGAAAGATCTCGTGGGTTATGAGATTCTCCATGGCGATGAAGCTCTTCTGCGAGCTGTTGCTTTCCGCGGACCCGTCGCAGTATACATGTGGACCAACATGACCGGTCTGCAGGACTTCACGCCGGGTGAAGATGATATTTTCTCGAGTGCGGTTTGCGACAACCTCGAGCCCGGAGCATACGACCACGCAGTCATGGTTGTCGGCTATGGTTCGAATGCTCAAGGCAAATATTGGATCATCAGAAACTCTTGGGGCCCGCTCTGGGGCCAACATGGCTACGCCAAAATATCCAGGGACAAGGTGAACCATTGTCACATCTCCGACTCCGTCTTCGTCCCTAAGTACGCTTGATTTACGCCTGATGGGTTCCTCCTCTAGAGCAGAGATGAAATAAAGTTTTAATTTCTTGATAGCATTCCTCTGACCGGCTGGAGAAATCACTCAGCACTGCCACTATACGTTGACGTCGATCGCGTAAGATCGGCGAGATAATCACGAAACCAGATCCGCGAGACTGAGATCTGTTCCACTACGAAACTTTTTGCGAAGCTTCTGTTTTACAAATACGGAATGACCGATCACCTGGGTTCTATAGAAACATCGCCGCCAATAAATTGATAAGGCGAGAACTTCAATTATGAGGACGCTTCCGAAGATTTCTCGTCATATTCGTCTCCACGACCTCGCGAAACCTTGGCGCGGCCGATCATCAGGTACCTCTGCTGAAGGCGCGAGCGTCCCCGGAACTCAGCCCCTTAAGGAGCTCAACCAGCATCAGAAGCTCTAGGGACAGAGGGACAAAATCAAATATGCCATAGAGCATCTCCAGTTCTGCCACTAGCACAGAACCGGATTCTTCGAGCGTCTTTTCAAGAAGTTGACCAGATATTTCGAACCTTAATAGGAGCGTTATCTTATCATTAGCGCTAGGTACATATGAGCTCCTATCCGACGCCAACAGGACGCCCATCTCGTAGTTCTTCATCCAACTGAAAAGGTCAACGGGGAGGTAATCAGGGATATGATCGTTGGTGGCGATGACTTCGAGTTCGAAAAGCTGTCGATCGAAAGTTCCACCATCCATCCACGTCAGGCTGAAATAGCTCTCCGACCCTACTTCCGAAGTCTGGGAGCGATAATCATGGAAGCAGTACACAACGAATCGAACCCTTCGCTGCGGTTTAGAAGAATTCCGCACCGCGATCAAGAGGTACGAAACCCGGCCAGACGGTACGCGATCCAATCGAAAGCTTGCTGCCGGAAACACGAAACGTTCCAGACTTGGGTCGACGTTTTCTCGAGATTCCCCGAACAACAGAAAACTTCAACAATTTCGGGGAGAGAGGAGGCGGTATATGTCTCCCGGAAGCGGGCTCAACCTCGGTGTAGGATTGTCATCTCTTGACAGCACGGAAACTATCCTACGTCAATCTCCAGAGCGCTTCTAAAGGTCTCGCTTTCTTGATGCAATGGCCGCGATGAGATCCCCAAACAAAGGCTCCAAAATGATCACCGTGTGGCGTGCTCTCGGTATGGGCTGTCTCCTAACAGAAAAAAAACCGCCCACCAATGTCGCGAGCTCCTTAGAGTAAAATGAGGAAGTCACTTGATGCAAGAGCATCTCTTGAGGGTCGTACGGTGCGCTCGGAACCTTTGCGAACTAGCATCAATTATCGGATTGATGTAGCGTGAATTGAAAATCCTGCGAATTCAATGAGGTTTTGCACTCAGATGTAGGACTGAAAGGGGATAATCAACCAGACCTGAGGTGGATATCCTTCCGAAGATGCCAGATCGGAAATTCACCCCATAAAAAAGTTTCCACTGACAATGGCCTCAACCAGGGAGTGTCTTCCAATCTCCCCCCGAATTGTTGGAATCAATCAGCGAGCAGTCCGATGATAAGTCAGGCAGGCTCTCCTTCGGAACTTCGAGAATGAGGGTGCACGCCTTTACTCCGAAACATCAATGGGAGGCCTGATGTTGGACTCTCAATACTTCCGCCACGCAAAGGGGTCAACGGGGGCACTGCTGGTTGTAGGCTCGCTCCTCCGTTAGAGGATGGGAGCACCCGATGAGGTCCGTCTTTCGCATCCTTGTCCGTCCATAGTTCTCCGTCGTTGAGAATAGCATCAGATCGTTCTGCTTGAGAGCTAGAACTAGGATATTCCTCCTGTATCGACAGCCCGATCTCGGAGACGATCCTGTCCCGACGCACCGTCGCGGAAATCGTATCGAAACTCGATACGCGGAGATTCCTTTCGTCGGTAGGATCTGAGGGACATGCCTGCAGGTCCGCGGTGTCGTGCCGATCTCGCGATCGTGAGCTCATCTTTCATGGTTTGCAGCCGCTGCTCCTTCGGCGGGAAGAAGATTCCGAAACCGTTCATTTGCCAACGAGAGATCGTGGGGGGGGGGGGTTGGCCCGGAGAATCAAGGGTGATGTGTGATGTCATTCCGGCGAGGTTTTCTGACGGGTCTCCGGGAAGATAGAGCATCGCTTCCGATCAGCCAAGAGGAGCTACAGGGCCCATGATTGCGAGAAACGCCACAAGTCTCATCAGTACTCGCTTGATTCGAACAGAATTCGATCGTGCCTCCGAGATAGCTTATTTCAAGGCTGCCTCGCTCCACTGAAATCGGCGAAAATGAGGATGCTGCCTTAATTGTCTCCTTACGGACGAAGCGCGGCCGTGATCGAAAAAGCTACCGGAAACTCTCGAGACTCAGCGCAGAGCTCCGGTAGTCGACGTGCAAACTGAAGAGCGTGCTCAGAGTGCACCAACTCCTCTCATTCTCGCTGAAATCCCCTTCCGCAGGGATCTACGCACTCTTGCGCTGCGTCCCAATGCACACAAGCAGCTTGCGGACCGCCGCATCGATCCGCCCGTCGCGGCAGCTCGCCCGGAATCCCCTTCCCTTGCCGCAACTAGACGTTCACAGCTCCCTATGGTTATTTCATCTTCCTTGCTGATCATCGCAAGGCAGCATCATCCTGTTTTGAGTAGTGGAAGAACTGTATAACATACATTATGGGCCTGACTGCTTATCTTGCGAATTTTCAGTGCCTCATCGCCTGGCTGCCTGTTTTGCGAGTTTCTAGTGCCTCAGTCGCCTGAGTCCACTGATCAGTAGATGGGTGATCTGTGGGCAAATGGATTATTTGAGGTTTGCTGCGCATCGCGTCTTCCCGAAATCGATCCATAAATTTTTTTTACTGGAACGCGCAAACGGTAGTTCTCCTCCAGTTCTAGAAGCGCTGTTCTGAGGATGGATAGCATTCCCCTGGTGAGTTGATAACATAGGTTTGGAACTACCTGCTCGAGATCATCCCCTGAACCCTCCGGAAGAAAAACTCTTCCGGTCAGGCGTTCTCCCAAAGACGCAAAGTTTCAAGATCCCCGACAGTATTCGGAGAAGGCATTTGCATCGGCGGCATCGAGCTATCCGGCTGCGAAAGTCCCCTATGAAAACGCCTATTCGGCTTAGGGGCCTGCATCATCTCAATTTGTAAGCTCGAAGTTATCTTACGATTGTAGTCTCTCGAGAGCAAAGTCATTGCAATTTCTGCATGAGCGTACGTGTGGGTGTATTCCTATGGATTATCTCGTCGAGAGCTCCGATGAACGAGTTTATTATCAGCCAACGATTCGTGCGATAATGGATTCAACTCCGTCAGCAACGAGATGCTGACGTGCGATGAGTTTGTAGTCTCACCAAGGTCACGCTCCGAGCCCTCGATGACTCCTGGCAGATTAGTTCTCGATGCCGGATCGTAGAGTATGTGAAAAATAATGCCGAATATGGGCGAGGCCGCCATCCAACAATATGATGCGGGAATGTGATGTACACAAGAGGCTTATTGATAGTATTCTTGCTTCTCACTCACAGGGACGTCCCCGGAGCACATGGCCGCTCCGAGCAGCGGCCCTGAGAATGAGGAAGTCTTTACTTTTGCGAGGGAGCGGATATTCGTGTCTAAGCCGGGAATGGCCCTCGTATCCCTCGCTCATCTCGAAATGTCAAGGTCCTCTGAATTGGGACGATTCCCTAGCCATTACAATGGAGAATATATTTTCTTATCAGTCTTACCACTCATCACTAATTTCGCGTCGATTATCGTCGCCTCAGAGAGAAGATCCCTGTCGATTACGTTCGCCTTGAATCGATCGCTCAAGCGAGTCGACCCCATTCGATGGACAAACGGCCACCGTGGCGCTCGAAGAGCAGCCGAATGAATCATATTGATTGGAACCTCAATTACAGAACTTAATCCGTTCCACAAAGAAAGAGGAGGAGAAAATCGTTAACCGAAATGTTCGCCAAACGAGGCATTTGTTAGACGAGGGTTCATCGTGTTCACACACTCGAGACAATCGGCCATCGGGTAGGATGTTCGCGGCTTTCGGTTGATTCTGACAAACTGGTGTTCGAGACTCGGATACGCTGACGCTCCCTTGGGAATGGTTCATGGAGCATGGAGCTGCTCGCGAAGACGGCTCTCGAGCTTTCATCTCATGTTATTAGTCTAACACATCATAAGCCCATGATTATTATCTCACACATCATTCTCGTTTCGAAACTCTCGGAACTCCGTTTTTGCGGCTAGGCATGCTCAGGACTTCCACGCACCATCGTTGCCGTATGAGACGATACTTGCGAGACAGATCGTTCGCGTAGCGTTCATTATATACGGTCACAAACGCTATGATCCATGATCCAAAAGATCATCGGATTCACCGCTGCGACGCTACTATACTTTCGACTACCGAGCTGATACAATCTATCAAGTCTCGTTCAGGCCTGTCTAGATTTGACAAAATGTAGATGAGCTCGATAAGCTCGACAATTACAGCGGTACTCGAGCCACTGTTTATTGCGAGATCGATCAGAGAGACCACCCCAAGGTCAGAAGTCGATGCGCTAGCTAACACTAGGAGCCTCCCGACTAGACTACCTGAGGAGCTTAGTTCAAGAAATCAGCTCGACAGTCGAGCCCGATGCTAACAGATCCTGACAGCCTGCTTATACAATGGAATCAGATCACGAGCGATTCGGAGGGGATTTCGACTCGACTAGAGACTAGAGCTTCCTTGCGTTGGAGAGCACGCCGAAAACGAACGGAATGATCGAGATCCAAGCCGGATCAGAGCCGGATAATTTTTCAGACCAACTGTAACTGTTCAAAGAGTCGTGAAAGCCTTCAAACGCTGTGGTTCAGGGAGGAAACGAATCTTGCTACATAGCCTCTGCCTTGCGAATTGAGATACATTTGGAAGGTGCGACAACAACTTCCGGATACGGCCCTAATCTGAGGATCGATTCCGGTCGGGTCACTAGCGAATCGCCGCGTCCGCTATGCTGTGGGTCTTACTTTGGACGAGGGAATCGCACGCTCCTCGTCGGGAGATAATCCCGAACTTCATTGTCCTTTGGATCGATTCTGGTCGCAGCCACGCACATACTCTCCAAAGTATGACATTTCGAGCCCAGAAGGCAGAGTCTCTGCGGGAAGTGAACTTCATCTATTGGAAAATATTCGCAAACTCATTATTATCGACTTACAGCGTCGGCTGTCTGGCTGGAGAGCAAAGCTCATAGAGACCGCAATTATGTTCTTCCTGTCAGGAAGAGGATTATCAGCTTTACGTCAGCCGGGCTAGGAGTCTTCCGTGGCTGAAGAGAAACTATTTCCAGATCTGAGCCCACTGAGGCGAGCGAACGAGATCCTAGCCCATCGGCGACCTTCCTCTAAACGGAGGGGAAGCGTCCTCCGGATTGTCAGCAGGTCCCGTATCGTGACGGAGGTTCGCGGCGATCAGACAAACGTCAGAAGCATCATTCATCGCGGCCTATAATGCTCCGGAGTTGAAGCTCGCTCCCTGATCGCTTCCGGGCGGTATTCGTCCGACAGAAATTCAGCTCTATCCTTGAAGTTCCGCGGATGCAGAAATATGCCGATGTATGGCAACAGACTATGAGCGAGCCTACCGCGGTCAGCGCTAATCAAGAGAAGATAAGACACTGAAAAGTCCGACTGGAATTCGATAATACTCGTCCCCCCTTCAAGCTTGCTCAGATGTTCCGGACGAAGGAACCGTCTAGATCTAAAGCGCACCCTATAGGGCTGCAGATTATGGAGTACGAATTTTCCATTGATCTCCCGGCGGATTGACGTGAGATGAACGGCTTTCTGGAGCTTTCGAGAACGCATCCTCCACCGCGCCAAGGGATTCTCGCTACCGGTGCGCCCGCCCAGGGCCGCTCTGGACCCCATCCATTCTCCACTCTGTCCCCGATAGCTAATTCCGCCAGTCAGAGCTCAGCGTTCATCCATACTCCCTGCAAACGATCGAATGAAGAGTTGAATGTGATTCTTCGTGAGCGAAGGGAGTTTCCATCTCATGGAGCACTCGGAGATTCCATGACACGCAGCGCTCGATTGTGAGAGAGCGAAAATTCATGGTTTTGGAGGTCCCGGTCGGCGGTCAGCGGATATGAGTCCTCTGATTCTCGTTGAACATGCGAATTGTGATTGTGAGCTTGTCTTCGTGGATCATGTTGAGGAGACCAGAATCGAGTCATCGCGGCCGGATCTCCTCTCATTTTTCTGGCTGAAATATAATATTCCCGAAATATACGAGGTTCGCGCGTGGCCCTGTATCCATTAGGAGCCGCGGCCGGACAGATTCACAGCCAGCCATGCGGGAAAATGCTCCGAAAGGAGGAGTTCCCGACGCCTTCTATGGTCTCGATAATCCCGGGGATTGCCTTTCCCGAGATTAGAAGTTCGAATGAAATGCGGCGGATTATGCTCATGAGAAGTCATTCGCCAAGCGTGGGCAATGCGTCGAAATGCTCAACAGCAAGAGATTCCTCAACGTTCCTGATACAAAGTATCGAGGTCGCTCTCTCGAGCGATCAATCAATCGGGGAGCCCGCGCACATGGGCGATGCTCGCGCTAGGGCCGGCAACAGCTGCTTATTTCAAAATCGGAGGAGCGCCTCCGATTCCGCAGCGCGAAGTCCGGCGTTTCGGTTTCCCGTCCGAGGTCTCGCGATCGGGAGCTGCTGCGACTGTTGTTGTAGAGAGTACCGAGGATCAGTATATTCGACTGCTCCACTCCATTTACTCGAGAGAACGGCGGGGAGGCTCAAGGGTTGAGGCTGATACGCTGCATTGCGACTCCAGTTCCATTAGTCATCCTTTCCGACGACCCGTCTTCATGGAGTCGGTAACAAAAATATGTTTGTTCTGTAAGCTTTCTAGAATTTTTCCCGACCAGATGCTTGTACCGACTCTTGGCTCTTCTCCTGTATGGCGGATCCAGAAGTGACAGTTTCGTTTGGGCTGCCCATTAGCGTCCTCTCCAACTCGTTGAAGGTCACTGAGAAGCGCTTTAACGAAGTCTGCCACTATCTCTGAACGCCTAAAAGATGCGTCCTCAGCAGGCTTAGCACGCGTTTTGCGTCTTTCAGCCGGAAGCTTAATTAAGCGGAGCACTATTCTGTGAGGTCGTTTCATTTTGAAGCGTTTTTTTAGCGATTCTGGTCTGCTTTCGTCACTTAAGCATCTGGAACACGTCAAACGCATCGTGAGGGTACAGTTCCGCCTGTATGCACTTTTTTAGGCAGTGCGAAGACTCTGAGTGAGGGTGACCCTGTTTACCGCTCAAACAAAAGCCGGAGGAGAATTCCTACTACGAACGGTCGGAGCAGATTCGTCACGTTCCCCTGAATGGTTCAGGGCGACTCTTCCTCGGCCTCGAGACTCAGTTGTTCGGATCAGCTGGTATCGCGAGCTAGAAGCAGACTGATATGAGGCACCTTCCATTCGAATCTGAGGTATCGATCTGAATGAGTCTGGAATGGGATCACCTATGACCATAACCAACGGCTTAGGCCCTGGCGCCGGACCCGAAATCCGGTATCCGAGTAATGGGCAGGAACATCAGAAGAAGCGCTACATCCTGGATTCCATATGTCGATGATAAGGAGAAAATCTACGAGCAACCTCGCTAATCCGGCGGCTGTGATTGGTTTTTCCGATGTCGGAGTGAATCTCCTAGACCGAAGCTCACAGAAGCTCTCCTTATTCACCTTGCGCGTGAGAATGTAATAGGCTCTGGGCGTCCGTTGAAATTTCGCACCGGTCGCTTTGAGGCCCTACAGATTTGACCCCAATAGCGGAGAGGTCCTGGCGAAAGCTTATCACGTAATGAGCGGAAGGAAAACAGCGGTACCCAGTGCACCGCTCAGCGCTCCACGGTGTATGATATTTTCCCCGACGGGTCGACCTTATTCAGGCGCGAAACTCGCTCTCCGGTATAAGTCGAAAACTGCCGCTCAAGCCGTATCATCTCCGTGCTACAACGTTCATGTGTTCTTCGGCTTATGGGGAGGTCCGATTTCCGTATTTTCCCTCTGACCGCCTCGACGACATCGAAGTCAGCCGTCTTCGACGTACGACATTTTCAGGCGTAATACGGAGGGGTCCAAAGAACAATGTAAGCCGCTGTAGCAGGAAGTCCCTTTCAACCAGCTCGCTCTAGCCGAATGAGTTTAGTGTTAGTCTCTGTTCATCTTAAAATATGTATCCAACTTCGCACTTTGTGAACGCGAGGCCTATGAGACGTTATCTGGAGATAAGCAGCTTTCGCGGAAGCCTTGATGCCTCGAGGAGATTGACAACGAGCCGTCCGAAGTGAGTAGGCCCGCAATTTCGATAGAGAATGTCATCCTCGGGAGCTGTGGACTTTTCAGCGGGAGCGTCTCTTTCATTTCCCGTTTTTGTAGACTTCCTCCTCCGGCCGAAATGGGGCCGATCGCATCGTTCCGAAAAACAACAAAGACTGAATTAGGATTTGATGCTGTATAATTCTTATCCCTGCAGCACAGGCCGCCAGTGCTTTCTCGAGGAAAGGAATCTCGTACGGAAAAATCACAAATTTTCCAAGCTCTCACTGGGAAAATCAGCACCAAATCGAATATACACAAACGTCGCCTTTTATTTTCTTTCCAGGCACACCACAGGACCGGGCTCAGTCGGAAGCTCCGAGTCCATCCACGTTTTTGTGCAACAAAAATATTCACAGCAGAAATAGAATGGCGAGCGAATCGGATTCTCGTCTGGAGCTGTTTTTTCCATCTTGCAAAAACAGTTCACAATCATTAAATATTTCGCTTAAATATATCGCTCTTCTCGCTTATCTACACCATAAATATACAGAGTTTTCCCTCACAGCGATCGTCGTAGGAGGCCGATGGGATCCGAGAAACTCGGTCACATTCCGGCGCTGGCAACGTCGGGTTGATTTTATCTGACGATGGTGAGCTCCAAGTGCAAGCGAATACCTCGCGTCAAAAGTGAAACCAACAATCAATATATATGCAGATCAGAGGGCAACGCGAACGTGTAGTCGTTCGGAAAGATGAGAAAACGGTGACGTCGTTCATAGGGCACGAATTGGTCCGGTCAGCAAAGATGTCTCAGAGTCGAGCCTCGATTTCGCCGTCATCACCCGTTATCCTGATTTCCATTGGGATTTCCCGCGGACTCAATAGACCCAGTTCAGCGTGACTTTTCTCTGGAATCGTTCGAATCGCAAATTTGAACTCAATGGCTCCGAGATGAAAAACGTGATGAAGTCTAAAGCGAGAGAAATTCGAAACTCCAACCTGGCAGACATCTGGGATCTCGGTTGTGTTTCAGCTGGGTCGTCTCGCGGCCGCCCCGTCGCATTGAAAGAATCTTGAACTTAACGTTCTCTGGAAGCAGTCTGTACACCTCTGACTGGACTTCGCCGTTGGAGAAACAGTACAGAAGCGCCACGACAGAACCCTGAAATAAGTAGGCAACCTCCGTCAAGTATAATAGATGAATGTCCGAAACACGCCTGCTGTCGACACCTTCATCGTCGCTTCATTTGACTGCGACCGATAAATACCCATGCTGTGGTATTCCCGCTTGGCGGGAAGGAAATCGGCAGCAATTCGCTGCGCTTAGAGAATCAAGAGCGCCCCGAATCCTCTCTCCCCCGAGTCTGATCAGAGTTGCGAAAGAGTCAAAAGCCATACAGAGGGTCGAGAACAATAAAAACGCGATCGATCGAAGCGAGATGAAGCTTGTCGCTGAGGCTCCAGGCGTGGCAACGAATCATAGGTCGGGATCAGAGAGACGCTCTAACGGCGTACACTGAGACCTGTTTACTAGAAGAACACCATTGGGGAATTCGAATTCCGGAATTCTGATAATTCAGGTGGACTCATCGGGCAGGTCCCCGTTCATGGAACCCTATTATTTGGAGTCCGGAAAGGGTGGTCTGATTATGGCGGTGGTCTCCCCCTCCAATTTCACTGTGCATATATTTCTATGCTGGGATTCTCAGTTCGTCCTTTTCCTCGAAAGCTCCTTCCCGATATGTATCTCCAAAAATAAGGATCAAGAGACCCTGATTCGGATTCCCAGGCGATCTCTGCGAGGACTTCATCCGAGCCAGAATCTTCGAGGCGAGCGCGGAGGCGAATGAGACGATCATTTCTGTTCATGGACGGGAGTATTTCACAAGAGAATGATGAACGAGATTTCGAAGCGCCGCTTGAGAGGATCTTGTCCTCAAATGTTTCGAGAGTCTTAGAGAGTGGCGTGAGTTCGACCCTCCTCTGATGACTCCCGGGCAAAAATGAGTGCGAATGTGACCCGGCGATGGGATATCGAATGAACTTCATCGATTCGGTCAAATTTCTCTGTTGGATTGTTAATCTGATGAGAGTCAGCCCGCACAGACGCGACTCGGGCTCCAATAGCGGTGGAAGTATTGAGCACACAGCCGAAACTGCGAGAACTCGAGCCACTCCTGACTCTAGCGGAAGGCATATAGAATCCATGCAGAAACTGGGGCATCGCCGAGACGAGCATATTTCAGGAAATTCCCACACCCTACCTGAAACGACGTGAATAACTGATCGACATATAGCCAACAGAGCTCGTAAACAGGTGTCACGGCTGCGATCGACATCACCATCAAGATAGTGTGGTGGGCACCGAACAAGGGCACCAGGACAAGGGTAGATTTGAACCATTTCCTGCGGGGAGAGAAGCGAGCTCGGATGAAACACGGAGCAGCCGATGGACTGGAAGTTAAAATTTTTCTCGTTCCCCCGGAGTCGATCCCGATTAGGAAATTCACGCATCGGCATTTGTCGTGGACGCTCAATAACCATGGGTGAACGCTGAATCGCCGAAAAATTCGTCGAATTGTAAACTAAGAGAACATAGTCTGACATTGCACTCACTTATACTTCAGACGGCGGGCTTCGGGTTCATGCGATTTCGACATTTTGATGAACACCACCCGTGTAATGTTGATGAAGAAGAAAAAATTGAGCTGCAATTGTTCGAGAGGAGGCAAGGTGAGTCCATGAGCTTTCTTCTTGAGACGTCTCCGCCCATCAGAGGAACGACGGGACCGGACCTCGAGTCACGTGCTGCCGCGTGAGGGAGCCGTGTCTCGAGCTCATGGAAGCGAGAGCCGTCCGTGCGCATCAACTACTCGACGCGTCGCTCTAAGTGAGCTCAGACTAGAGCTCATCCGGAGCCTCCCGAAGCGCCGAACGATATTACGCTTCACGACTGACCGATCCAATGGGAGTGGAGGGTCGCGAAAATCACCGCCGGTGAGGACATTCGATGTTGCTCTCCAGTCGACCCGTTTTCGAATTCGATGATGTTCGGGAAAACCGCGTCGAGAGCCGACGGGCGCGTAAAATATTCCCCAGAATAGTCGCTGGCCCATCGACTTATGAGAGTACTTTAGACCGGTCGCCACTCGAGCTACGTGTCGGATCGAATGATCTGCTGAGAAGTGTTTCGAACTACGCTGGTCCTCCCAAGCACTTCACTGCAGATTTTCCGGCTCGTTGCATTCACTGGTAGGTGACGTCGAACCCCTGCCCCGACGGAGCCCTTCGCCCACAAGAGCTGTTTTCGTGAGCTTCGAAGGACTCGGAGATGGGTGTTCGGTACACTTCGGCCGGGGAGCTTCAAGGATCCTGAAACACCGGAGAGCGTCGCGCCGACTTACCACAATGCTTATCGTTATCGGTCCTCTGAGGACCCACTGTATGAGCTTGGAGTCTGAAGCCCAACACCTAAAACATAATGGGGAGATCCCTAAATTCATTTTCTACGGAATGGATATGGCACATACTCGAAAATGTTCGTTGAGGTATCTACGCGATTTTCGGAAATCATATCCCGGATCTGCTACTTGGGAGTCCACGAGTTTGGGTGCGAGCAACCTGCGATAATTTTGCCTCGGACTCGGTGGCGTGGTTCCAAAAAGAGCAAGGTATTGCCTCCCATGGCGACAGCGCTTTTTGCCACGAATAGCTCGTGATAAGATTCGCGGTTTCTCATTGGGCGGGTCCCTTCTTTTCGGAGACTCGTACCGAAGGATCTCTGCGATCGGGAACCCTCACACCACGAATTGGTCAGGGGTTTTCTGATTTCCTCATGCAGCGCCTCCTAATGGCCGCGTTGTTGCGGAGCGGCAGAATCCTTAGAATAAGCCATGCACCCAGACACATGGCGCCCCAGAGCATGAGGGGGACGCTAGGGCAGCGAAACATGGAACCATTATATGTCGATGAACTTCCGAACATGCCGGATTCCCAGTCCCGAAATTCAGGGAATCAGAGAAGTCTGCTCGCAAGGGTCCCCTTTCCGTGGGGATTCCTTACCGCGATGCATGCCCGAGCTCATACTGAGGTTTTCGGAGCCCAATAAGTCGACCATATGATTTGCGAATGGAAGCTCTTCGTATACTCACATGTCGTTGCCTACATAGTATCTGGAGATGGCCCAAAATACGACGCATGGTACAGGAATTCCTGAAATCGACAAACAAGTCCACATTGAGCCGATTCGCACGGAAGCCTCATCTGTCAAACAAGGTCGGAGATAGCTAAGGGCTGCCCACTTACCCCATCCCATGACGACGTATTTGGTGATGTCGGAATTGTTGTCGGCGTAGTACTGCGTGAAAATCAGACTGTGAAGATAGAGACCTTCCATCAAAATCCAGCAGTAGTTCGCCATGAGCGAGTAGTGGAATACACACATCAATATCCAACATTGGAAATTCAGCTGCAAACATCAAGGAAGCGAGTCGTCTTATTATCGCCAGCCCAGGAAGCTTGTTGCTACCCCTCCACTCGATTAAATCTAGTGCTTCCCAGTCTCGGATCTGGGCAACGATACTTTTGGTTCGAGTCGAAAACGGCTAACAAGTTGCTAGGTCTCTACGACTGCAATCCAATTTAGGAAAGCGGACAACAGTGCAAACAGCTGTCTCCTGTACAGAGCTCTCCGCTATTCGAATGTGGTTCCGTTTCGTGCGTTCCTCGAATTCTTCGGAGTGTTTGAATTTCTCTCTCAAAATCTCCTCGGAAACCTTTCTGACGGATATTTCAAGTCTGTCGTTTATTCGCCCCGTGTTCTCTAATTTCCGGTACTCTCCGGAATCCGGAAAATTGGAAATGTCCGCGGAAGCCTGAACTTTGGATTCGTCGACTCGTTTGATGTCGGAAGACTTCAAATTTTGAAAGCGCGGGATTCACCTCGAGTTCGGCTTTGCTCTTCGATGCTGCGTATGAGTTTATCAAGAATTCAATATTGAGAGATGGTTGTCGCTGCGAAGCGATGACCACGCCCAGAAGATATATGCGAAGCGAGTTAAGTTGTCCCTTGTTGTAACAATTGGTATCCGCCGCAAGCAAGTCAGCGGCACAAGCAAACTACGGCGCGGTCAGCGTAGCTGAGGATGCCGCCTTCCCAAATGCGATTCCCGATCGGAGAGTTCTTATCATCAATTATGGACAGCGATTAGTCGGCCGAAGGAGGGGGGAGAACTAGCCAGAGAGGATCTCGCTAAAGCACCGGATCCCATTAGGTCCCACAGTTTCGACCGTGAAATCTGTCCCCGAACCGGGGTTCCTCTTCCGGACCCCCAGGATCTAGATCAGACTCACGATGACCGGATTCCACAATTGAAGGTTCAGGATATAGTTTACTCCACCGCCGCCTCCTCCTCCCGAATGCACTCATGCCCCGGAGCAGGGGTGTGAGCCGCGCAAGCTAGAGGCAGATTTCTGGTCACGCCGCGTGGTGGCTGAGGGAGGAGCCTTCCTGTGGGGGATTCGAGTTAACCCAGAACAAACTTCGTCATGGGGATAAGAAATTATAAAACGCAGCCGCGTTCTAGCGACTAGGAGCGTGATACGAATACATTGTCGACAACAGATGAGGCGCCGTCGTTTTTTTGAAACGCGACTCGAGTCAATGCTTCTCATCCAAAACGCTCAGAATCCGCGGAAATATAGCTCCGACGCACTCCCAGAATGATTTGCGGACGAATCGAGATGGCTAAGAGCAAATTGTTCATTGTTTCCTTGGATTGTATGAATCCCGGATTCCATGTTGCGCTACCGGAGTCGAGACACGAGTCCCCTCGTCGTCCTCGCTTGTATATCTCTGACCCGGGTCCGAGATCTCTTGAGCAGTACGCGGGAAATAGTAGCCTTCAGACATGCCCTCCCGTCGCCTCCGCGGATCCATGAGAATCGGATCCACCAGCGAAGATCGTGGGCGATGATGAGCTCCCGGGATTCATGTCCCGACAACCAAGGGAATAGAGCTGGAAGCAATAGTACCAGATATCTGGCCACACAGTCGATCTTGTTCTCCTAATTATACCAAATGGCCCAATGCAATATTTATTCCCGTCTGACATCTCCGAAAGCCCCAGACGTCACCGATGCTGCCATTTACCCATATCGAAGCTCGATCAGAGTCCAACTCGAATTCGCTGCATCACAGTTGACGCGTCTTGACTGATCTATTTTGAGAACACAACATATTTTGGTGGACTATCTCGTTGACGGGACCGACTGAATCGGTGAGAAGCCAGATTCACGTTCGATTGCACAGGGATCGAGCGGCTGTCGCGCACGAGCGTGAAAACCGAGCGGATTTTTCTTTCCGTTTCCTGCATTTCCGCTCCTGCTCTCCCGCATCGTGCTTCTCCAATTCCAAGATCTGGCTAATTTCCCGGCCTGATTAGATGCCGAATATACTCCTCGATCTCAAGAGATTCCCGAAGACTCCTCCTACACCCACACAGGAGAATGGGACCAGGACCGGCGAGAAGGAGAATTCTTCAACACCGGAAACGAGATGATTGTATTCATTTTCAGAAGCTTCATGAAAGCGTGAAATGTCTCTATTGACGTGAAATGTCTTCAAAATGACTTGAGCGGCAGGATCAAAGAACTCCGTCCTGCATGCTGCGACATCTTTTCCGCTCCTGCGGGCCAAGAACTCGCGCGCGGCTCGACAGATTCGCATGCTGAATGCCCAAGGAAGTTGCGAAACGGCACTTACTCTGCGAATTCACGGTCGACTTTAAAGTTCCCGTGGAGATTCGAACGCAGCCTCGAAAAAGTCCGAACATGCTCGTGAATAATGGTTCTCTTCGATTAGTGATGTATTTCTCCAGTCCATTCCCGTCTTGATGGTGGATCACGGTACATTTCGACGGAGAGGTTCATCTATCGCCACACTTCGAATCCAGTCGCTAAGATAATCGACGGAAAGGCCCGAAATTCCGTCTCCCCGATCCATTGGTCCGCCATTCCTCTCGGGAGGGCGCACTACCGTCTCTCCTTCGCGGGGCATTTCATCGCTTGTTTAGATGATCGAATAGTGCAGCGAACCACGACGCTGCGGCTGCAACGTACGCTCATAACGCGCCGAAGCTTCTGACGCTGTGCTCTCAGTGCTGGCTGTACCCACCAGTGTCGAGGAGCAAATCGCGCTTCCCTTGGAAGGGGAATACCTCGAATTCCCGCAGAATTCCGGGCCCCAGTCTAAGGCGATATTGGGGAAGCTATCGTTTTGTTCAGACTATATGAGCCTCCTGAGAGATGCTCATTTCTTGAGGGATTCTCCAGTGTCATCTTACACAAGGCGGTCGTGGGCAACCCAATAGCACCCTCGATCCACCAAATGCTCCCAGAACAAGATTCTATACCAGAACTCGGCTACCCCATCGAGCACTGTCCGGACCCACTCCGTTTCTAGGGGTATGGTTCGATTATTCAAGTTGGGGTTGGACTCGGAGTCCGGGAACATGCTCCTGAATCGCATGGTTCAGGTGCTCCCATAGCTCGTCCATTCGAATTATGAGTCCTGATGACCACGAAATCCATGCCCGACTGAGCGAGGCTCGATTCCTTGAGATTGCGAGACTTCTCATCTACAATTACGATGCGCCCAGTGCTGCTCTGCTAGCACAATTATGTAACCCCAGTGAACACCGGTTTGGCTCCCGGAAAAAGCCACCTGAAAATTTTCCTGAGAAATGCTCTCGGTGTGAGATCTCCCTCTCGTCACCGCGTCTCGATCCCCCTCTAGGAATCATCCTCAAGTTTCTAGCAGGAAAACTCGAACAGCAGAGGGGGGGAAAGGGATATCGAATCTGGATGGTTCTCCTTATTCGTCGGTCATTTTTGAGCCATATAACGGAACTTCGGGAAGCGAGCCAAGCTGTCGCGCTAGCTCCTTCAGGAAAGATTCGCCGCGGCATTGAAGTTGGACTCTGAGGTGCCCCGCCCTTAGAAAGAATACGGCATATCGGCGCGGGAAAGTCTTTCCGCGCTCAGCAGACGGTATTGTCTCTCTGAGGCTGATGCCGAGAATTTCATCCCCGGCTACTGTTTGCCATAGATCCAAACTTTCGTGTACGCTCAGTCAGAGCAAGCAGATGGGGTTCCTTGATCAATTGGTAGGAGCTTCGAGCGACGGCTCAAAAGTTTTCAACTAGAACAAGATTATCTCAACGGGGGAAAAAAATCCCTATCTTCGCGAGAGATGCGACCAGATTCGAATTTATGCAGGTCGACGAGGAGAAAAGCTCGCTCGAGACGTGTCTCGAACGAGATCGCAAGTTTGGCCTATTTGGCAGGCATGGCAGGAACTCTCCTTACACGTCCCGGAGGTATGCAAACTTTTCAGCAAACGGCGAGTGACTGCGAATCGTCTACGAGATAACCGGTGTTTATCGAAGACCTGCATCGAAGTCGGCGCAAACAAGGGCCATACATTCGATATACCGCGGGTCGTTCCGGTCGAAGTAGCGCGCAGATCGGCTGAGATCTAGACAGCTGTCTCGAGCATTAAGTAGCCCAAATACACACGCCCAGACATCGCAACCAGTCCCTCGCTAAGAGAACGGTGTAATTACGAAAGGTCGAACTCCCGGCCGTCCTCCCGGCTGCTGAGTGGGAACAAGGAACACAGTCCTTCGGATTCGCGTTATTGTCGAGGGAGGCACGTCGCATGCCGCATATGCCTAATGAAACTGTGTCTTCACGATCAGCTGTTCGCAAAGATGCTCGTCGTATTCTTTATGACGGTCAGCAGACGTCAGATGACGATATCCGCCCCCGAGGACAATCTGGTGACGCCGGGAAAAAAAACTCGAGATCACTCTCCCGCTCCGACCCGAAACGCTCTCGCGTCCCATGCCGAGACCATGGATCGAGTCACGATTTTTGGGGCGCTCACTCGAAAATCTCGACCATATGAATAAGTTCCGTCGTGGAGTCGCGAATTCACGGGCGGAATTCAAGGGGCGAATACAAGAGAGAAACACTGAGGATATCGAGTCTCTGAGCGACATTCCCCGACGTTCCAATGCACCGTGTGAGTATCATATTTTCGGATTTTTGCGACTCGGTCAAGTACGGGCGAATGCGAGAAGCAGCGGTAGCGACCAACAGGAACATCGTTACCATGAGTGAAACGATTCGGGCAATACTCGGAACACGTGCGAGGCATACAAACAGCTCCGACAAGAACCACAGCGTCATAATCACCGTTCCAGCCACCATGACCACGCCAGAGCAGAAAGTCAGCTGTTGGCAGCTGCTGCCGAGGCACGGAGATTGGCTAAAAGGAAGCCAGTACGTGCTAACCGCAGCTTGCAGTGCGATCTATTCGAATGAAAAATACTTCTTGGAGGGCACTACTGTATCAAGCAGCAAGCAGATCTCTGGCTCTGACGAAGGTCAGGAAAGCGTTCGGGACTTTTTGAGAAAGAGAGAGGAAATTATTTTCTGGAACATTCCAGACATCGATTCGAGCCTCGAAGGACTCCCAACCACCCTTCGTGTGATGAATGACAGAAAACTGTCAAAGCTCCGAAGGTCAAAAATCTTTCGCCCACAACTCTGTTCAGGACAACTCTCTCCGGACCCTAGCCGCTCGAACTCTGTAACCTTGAGAACTGCTATCAACCCCGTGGAGGTCATGGGTCCCGAAGTTCAAGATCACTCACTTCCTGATAGGGCTTGTAGCTGTGTTTATAGATTAAAACGATGGCTCTGACGATGAATGAGGCGAATAGCTGAAGATGGAGTTTGTTGCGGGCGCAGCGGAGCCGTCTGTGAAAGAAGCAGAACAGCTTTCATTGAAGTCGGTCTTCCATGCGCAGACCTTTGGCATATCATTGTTTTGGGGATATTCCGAGTGGTGGGATTCGAGGCCGCTCCTCCCGGACTCTCCGAAAGGCTTCAGAGTGGGAGGAGTTGGTAAGACGCTCTTATCAAGCCATCGAGAACACCCGGGAAACTTTGCACTCGGCCGCTGCGAGTGTTTAACAATTCAGACGGCGCTCCGTGCCCACGGACCCATTCATCACGAGTCGTGCATCAATGACTTCGCAGACGAGAGATCTCAGAAATCAATCAGCGAATCACAGAGATCTTCCGATCCCTGAATAATCGATCGCACGGAGAGAATACGGATCGTCGCCAGAGGAATTCTCATCTGACGCTCATCTGGGAGCTGAGAGGCATCGGCGGAACGGGATGCGGTGCCACAGCACTTACTTGAGAGATCCGAGCAGGAAGAACGCGAGCACGAGGAGTGTCAACGACGAAGTGTATCCGACAATGGACACCTGTTTTATGATCGGTAAATGCACCCGAAGGAGACGATATAGCTCTTCCTCGTTTTCCGAGAAAGCCATCGGCTCCCAATCGCAGGCCGAGTAATTCGTGTATGTGAGCCATGTGGTGTGTCCTAATGCTACCCACGTGCCGTTCGCACCACAATACCGGTTGGCAAATCCTGAAATGCGGAAACGTTGATCAGACCCTGGAGAAAATGCGCTCCGGCGTTCTTTCCGTCTGCCCTCTTTCTCCCTCCTACTCCCTCCATCAGACGGGGTGTCATCTTCTGCTGCGAGATGTTGGCACACCGGAGCGAGCGGGGACCTCGGGTAAGATCCGTTTCGCTGCGCTTGGTTCGCTCGGAGTTCGAAGGATGCGAAACCTTCTTATCTCAATGTAGATGGCGGGGCTGGATCAGACGGGCTTCAATATGCAAATAGATGGACCCCGTCAGCCATAAAATAGATTGTCGTCACTTCACCCTTCATCTCGCGTGCTACATCCTTCGCTCCGAGGGTGATGTCTGCGATAATAAAGATGCTCCTTCATGAAGAGCCCATAGTCATCGTTTCACTACCGTGCAGCGATTTCTATGGGTTCCGAGAGAGGATGCATAGGAGAGGATCGAATCTATCAAAATAATTGACGGATGAGTGTCCGATGCTTTCGGGCCATAACGAAAACACTTGACACGGATTTACACGAACCAAGGTTGAAATAACCTCAGAAACGAGCAGTTTTCATACCTCCGAGCATTGTGAGCTCTTAAAATCGGCTTCCCTCTCAATATTCATCCGAGTTCCTCTCAAGGATTGGATGCGCGGGGCCTCAATTCCTCTCCCAGGCTGACGAGCCTATGCCCTGAAGTCCTGACTGAATCGACGATTTTTCCTAAGGAAACTTCCAGGGAACGAGACCGCGAGGTGCGGAATCGTTTTCCTCCGACAGGGGAAGAGGATGACAGGGGAAATAACCGAAATTCTTTCGGCTAAATGAAACTTTCCATCGAGGGAGTCGTTTACGACTGTTCCCGAATGATAGAGCGGAAACCGTTCCGATAGCTGAGGTCTATTCTTCTCGATGAAGTCTCGTATTTTAAGCCTGATCGGAGCCATGTTCGCTTTTGTCGCATGGATAGGCAACCTTTGAGGAACACTTCCTTCAGGGAAACTTGGTCGCACATTAATCCCGCGAGAGGTCAGGACCTCAACTCTCGACTTCCACCTGAGAGATACTCCCGAGAGAGTCCTCTCCTTTCCGAAAAGTCGGAAGTGAAAAAGCAAGCAACGGTAACCTGGTGGCTCCTTTTGAAACTCTGGAGCTCGTTCGCCCAGTATCAGCCTGTCGACCGAGATAGGATATCGCGGCTCCAAAAATCCTCCGCTGCAGAGTGAACTCGTCGCTGAATCGCACCCGTCGCCCCCGTGCCTGCCCGAGCACACATTCTGAGCGAACATACGTTCACGCCTGCTCCTTGGACGAGATCGAGTACTCGGCCGGAGTTCAGAGTGATCGGCGTTCAGAATTAGTGGATTTAAAGGTCGAGAATGACTATGATATCCCAGGGGAGCTCGCGAAAAATACATGCCCCCCTCCGCCACAGGATGAGAAACGCGCCGAATCGCTCTGGGCCTGATGATATCGGGCGGGATTTTTCCCGCAGGAACAGGGTCGCTGACGTGTACCAGAAACTTTCCGGACATGTCTTGCCAAGTCTATGAGAGTTCCCCTCTAGAAGCACGAAGCGGGAAGAATTTCACTCGCAAAGCTGCCGATCCTCGACCTCTTGATGATATTGGAGCTAAACCGCCAAGCTCCATAACGTATCCTCGAGACGGCGACACGAAACCCGCTTATCGGCAGGAAGAGCTCAAAATAACTCAACGAGGGCGCTGCGTGTAGCGGCGCGCATACCGCCGAGCACGGTATCGTTCGCGAATAGATTTAATGCATGACTTACTCGTTTCGTTGAAGTCTTTCAGGTTTGGACACCTTTGCATAACTCCTTGATCCGCTTCCGTCGCCGGCCAGCACAGAAAACCGTCCCATATCCGGGGGCAATATAGTTGGTCCCCGCCGAAATCTAACACATCCGACGCGTTCAAGCACTGTGTGATAGACTTTTCGAATTGTGGTTCGAGAATTGCGCTCGAATTCAGGTACGCGTCCTGCTGAAAGGAAACGAGAATATAAATTTTTCAGTCTCAGGATTCTGTTCCGGCGAAGAATTTGTCAAACTCTGGAAAAATGCTTGCGTTCACCGACAGGAACGTTAAAGGTTCCAACAGGTTTAATCCGGGAACGCCGAACATTATAGTAATTTTCTCGACGTCCCGCAGCGAGCTCACAATGAGGCCTGAGAACACAGAGATACCTTCGCGGTCGTTTCGCAGCTCACTCCGCACCCAACTCCGAATTGCGACCGGTGCAGAAGTTTCCGATCTCGGCCGCGAACTCCTTGCTTGTAGTCCGAACACGAACTAGACCGAGCGCGGAGGCCGTGAATGCCTTAGACTGACTGAGCGGAGGCAATTTTCTGGCGGGAGTCGCAGTCGCTGGCGAGAGGACAGAAAACACGTGGCTCCAGTGGCCAGGGTGCACCAATAGCTCGTGAAAGATTCAACGAAACGCGAGGATTAGAGCCAGAGGCGTCCGTTGTAAGCAGCCATCCGAAGAAGAATGCCGGACTGAGGTGAGTCGGCTTCGGGTAACACAAGCCATATGTAGAATATTTACCAAGCGAACCAGCAAGCTCCGGGAATACCAGGACAATGGGAATGTTTTCCTGTCATTCGTCATTCCCTCAAAGGCTTGCTCCCCCTTGTAACAACATAATAACTCCCTGTCTGGCGAGATACTGACAGAGTATCGAGCAGCCAAGAGCACAACGTGAACTTAGTTAGCGGTAGAGTCCTGCTGTTTTCAAAGGTCAATCGCCGCCGAGGGCCCGAGAAGACACTTTCCAGGTACAGGATGTCCCCGGATCGAGACCCGTGGGAGGCAGCCCACATCCGCTTCGACTTATTCGTACGGCAGCGTCCCAGCACAGTCGTGATAGCTACCGAGGGACTGCCGACTTCGCACATAAGCAAGGAACTCATCGAAAACAGCGCCAGTCGGCGAAATTGATGTCTCTTATTATCGAAGAGAGGGAGAATTCCGTCGCATATTTCGCCATTGGGAATTTGAAGCTCGAGCGCATAGACCGTGGTTACCCAAGACCTGCAGATGTGTCCGGCAGCCTGACTGGAGAGCGATCTGGGAGTTTGACTCTTGCCACGTGCTCAGCGTGGCGCACAGCTTTTGTTGTCTGGAGCCAAAATCCGGATGAGAGGAACACATTCGAGAATTGTATTAGGTAAGATGTGCGAAAGTCGATGTCGAGGCATGCTCTAGCTGCGAGTCGCTAGAAACTCTCGGCGCCGGCGGAGAAATCAGGAAAATCGGAATTTATCAGGAAAATATTCAATTCGGGAAGAGGCGATTTGATAGACACTCCGGAATAATCGTCCCATGTTCGTGTGCAGACGGTCGACTCCCACGAGGCGACGAAGTTGACGAGCGTTGCCACCGACGCTGACGTCCGGGTCTAAGATTTCCGAAGTCTAATCTTTTGACCTGTAATGCTTGGCAGCATTCCTCCTAGTGAGGGAATCCGAAAACTCGCTTCGGTTCTGTTGAGAAACACCAATTCTCCACGTCTCAACTCTTCCGTCCCGCGCCGGGTCGGAGCACATGAAATCAATCAAATCCCAGCCGGGAGCGGCTCCTCTGAGCACGTATCCACAGAAACATCGAACCTCGATCGGTCCGCTAGATTTTGAGATTCTTCGAGCTCGGGCGAGGTCGGGGTCGTTGAATGGAGGTATTTTCGAGGACACCTTGTTAGAAACATTCTGCGAGCGTTTGTAGGTCTGCCGTAATTCGATGCTTGTAGAAATTTTAAACTCCACGTGGTCCAGACAGCCCGCGCGGAGAGTACTCTGCGCTTCCCATCGACTCAATTTGTTGCCTCATGGATTCGGAAATCCAAACTACCGGAGGAGTGGGAATGACGCGTTGATGTTCCGAATTTTAAAATTCGGATAAAGGTGTCTCGAGATAATTTGGAAAAGTCGTGTTCAGCCAGGTTCAGAGGAGTTTTCGGTCCGCGCGAAACTTCGTGAGGCCTTGAGTCCATCATTGGCAGGACGGTAAGATTCCTCAGACACCGATACGGCAGGAATAATGACAGATCCGCGATGAAAGCCCCTTCCTGCAGGCTGGCCGTTGGTTCCGCGACCTGACGCCCAACGTACCTCAAATCGGGGGAGAAAAGAAAAAACCGAAAGCTGGCCGTCCGACAAGATTGCCTTCCGCGACGGTGCGGTGTGCCCACGGTCAAAGAGTCCCGCTCCGACGTCATGATCAACGCGAGCTTCTCTACTTGGTTATAAATTGGACATGATGGAGACTTTGGTCGCCGAGATTACTCTATCGGAGGAAATGACGAGCTGGACCAGGATTGATCGTCGCTCAAGTTTGGGATTTTTCTTGAGCGGAACTCAAGCGCAGAGGGGTTCTCTCCGATGAGTGGGGGAAGGATCCGAGCTGAATAGAAACGCTCATTAGGTACGGGCGAATCCGGCTCCGGAAAACACGTGATCCCGCAGATCCAGCTTGCGCGGAACTGATCTCGATTTCCCGATCTCCGTGGAATTCCCGGCTGAGAACTCGACTCGGAAGCGGTCTCTTCATTTGAGAATCTTAGACTCGAAACAACTTCCCGTCAATTCCTTCGAGATGGCTCCGAGCCTTGATGGCGGCTAGTTCATCTGTTCTATTGAGAAAAAATGATGATTCCGACTCTGGGCTCCCGCGATGAGTGCAATGGCTCACGTTCCTCTCGTCGCTCACGAGTTCAATAAACTCCAAGATGTCTCTGAGGATCCCCTCGTTGGGGAGATAGAACGGATGTGATAGGTTTTAAATCTTGCGGGAGGTTTATGGAGCAATGCGACCTTCCTGAGAGGAGTTCCCCGCATGGTCTGCCATGACGATTCTGAGGCTCCGGTATCTCAAACGATTTGGGCTTCATCGCGGGGAATGAGCGCGTGTTTTTTTCCAGGAAAAGGAGAAAGAGAAGGACCGATGACGACGGCTCGCAGGATGTTACTCACTCAGAGATCGCTCCATAGAATAAACGTAACCTCCGTGCTCCCACCGCCGGAAGTTTCGGCGGGGGGAGCGCGTAGGTTGGGGGTTGAGATCTCCGGTTCGAATATCTCAAAGCTAAGACGAGGCGCTGAACTTTCGAATGATTTGAATCGCTCCACGAACGGTAGCGATTTTAGAAATGTCAATGTCACGAAAAGTAAGTGTTCAGGTTTTGTTTGTTTTCTCTCCTTCCTGAAGGTCGTTCGGAACACGAGGAAGCGTTCCGATCCTGAATCGAATTAACATGGGCAACGGAGAGGTCCGTCCACCGGGGAATTATGGCTCCGAGGTGACTCCCAGGGTTTCGTAACGCCGTTGCTCGATTCCAACCGACACGCCTGGCTTCCATGAACGAGTTATACAGGGTAATTTCTGGCTGTCCCGCAATGGTTCCGCTGCATGGAGCTGTCACGAGCAATCTATTCCGGAGGTTCATCACGCTTTTGGCGGACCGCGAGTCTATCCCGCTCGACACTGATACAAGCCCAGTCGAGGATACAGAACCCAGATGCACCGCGTATCACGCGGGATCACGGACCGGGATGTGGAAAACCTTCGGTGTCGTTCCAATCCCTCGCCTCAAGAGCAGAAGCTGCAACGGTATGTATAGCGATTCTCGAGAAACCACAAGGGTCTTGACGACTTCGTGAGGGTTCGCCATTAGCCGGTACCTGAGTAAAACTCATAGAATGCGAATCTGTTGGAAATTGATGACCGTTCGAGTGTCTACCACTCTCACTCGGCGGTCTTGTCGCGATCCGCGGGCCCTGATTGGTCGCTGGACGTGTCTTGGCAGATCATTCCTTCCTCTACCTCAATGCGGTATCTTCCGTCCCATTCTTCTTCTCCTTCTCGCTCGAGGATTTCAGAAGCCTCCAGACGCACTCTTTCTCGATGGAAAACCGCCGAGCGATGATGGGGGCAAATGTCAGTTTCCGAATGATCCTGAATGGAACTCGAGAAAAAGCGAGAGAAAGGCTCGATAGCGCTTTTTGAACGGGACCGGCGGCGATGTTAATTGAGGAGTCGAACCTCGAGAAAAACTCGCTCCACGGATATGCGGTAGTCCGACCCGAAGAATTCATTCCAGTGGCAGATCCCAAGCGCTCCCCTCTACGGCAGTACGAAGCAAGTTCGGAAGCCGAAGGAATCCTTTGATTCTCGTCCAAGAGTTCTTAGCTCATCAGACAAGGAATTGAGCTCTATTTCCGACAGTGTTGCCGACAGATGTCGCCGAACATGACTCGGAGAATGAGTTTCGATCCGACATCAAAGGTTCCAGAAAATTGGCTCCGCTCGAATCTTGGAAGGGTCTAATAGTTCCGAATCAACCCTTTTAGGCGCTTCAATTTGTATCGGGGAGCGCCTCAAAAACCAGAGAAGAATGTTTTGTTCGAGCCATGAGAGCTGCTGGCTCAGAAGGGGATGAACAAAGTCTCGATGCCTTCATTTATGCCGGCTCTGGTTTCGAGACGAATCCTCCTGATTAGAATAAGCTTCCGTGAACGAGCTCCTTTTCATTCGGGAACTCTCCCCGCAGCGAATAATAGCAACCAGCTTGGGAGCCGGGACAGCCTGGTCGCAATCAGGCTAATCATGTCATGAGCTTCTGACGATGTCGAGGAGATCCCGAGTCGTTTCCCTCCTAGTCGATGCTGGCTCTTCGAATCCAGGACTTGGACGACTCAACATCGGAGTCATTAATGGACTCGAATTGTTCGGCAGAACTCACAACGGCCGGAACCGAGTCTGTATCGTGAGTACATATCTTATCTCCACTACTCCAGAACTCATCGATCGTGGCTGCGGGCTTCCCCAACTTAGGCGAACCGCTCGGATACGGAGCGATCCTTGCGAGCAAGTAATAATCGCAGAAGTCCACCGTGGGCAAGTGCGAGGGAGTCTCAACGACCCACATGGCGCTCCTTCCATGAATAATGAACAACAAGTTTTCATTTGCAGCTTTTCGAAATCATTCACGAGGAACCGCTGAAGCTCCTTATTAAAACCTTCCACGTCGTTTAATGGGTCGGTGGACTTGGACGATGGGAACTTGATTATGAGGTCGCATTCATCTCCCAAGCACTAGGTGGTGGTGGTGGTCGTCGTTGTCGTCGCCGTCCCCCGACTAAGAGTGACATCAGTGCATTACTGCGGAGCACATCGCATTAAGAAATCGCTCCGAGGAGCCGAGGGGACGCCAACAATGAGCGACGACATGTTCCTACCACGAGCAGCGTGAATACCTCGGCGTTCACTCCCTCTTCGCACTGCCCTCTTGCCTGCAATGCTTTTTCTCTTTACCAAAGACTCCCGTTCGTTCCATTCTTAGCGTCTTGCCCCTTCTCCTCACTCAGCCGTCCCCTGTAGTCGTGGTAATTGTGTTCCTTCTAATGCGATGCTCGGCGAGTCCACGCGATGACACAAGCCCCGAGCGGCGGGAAATCCCTCGCAGTTTGTCAACAAGCCCAGAAAATCTCCTGAGCCTAACATTAGGCATGGTACGTGAAGTTGCTTTGCTCGAGTCGAAATGCAAACTCTGGCGCAAACGACATAGTTTCATGCGGAATCTCCGTTGCAACGTCAACTTATTCTGCTTACGTGATCAGGGGGAGAATTTAGAAATGACTAGCTCTTCGCTCGGCTCGCCCGCTCTGATCCTGGTGAATACCCGCGGAAAAGAGCTGACCACGCTCATTTCCTCATCGCCGCCCTCCGAGTCTAATTAAGCAAAAACCCATGTCTCCGGGTATTAATGAGATGAGAGCTCGAATGAAAACTGAAGGGTGACGCTGCCAGTTCCTTGTGCCGGGAGCCGATCCGGTATTGGATTCGAGACGCCACGTCGCGTGAAAATTCGCCGTCTCAGCGATGAAGACGTCGCTCGATGTAAGATCTTGCGCGATGTAGGATCTTGTTCGTTGTCCCTGCTTTCCCTTCTGCGCGAGCTCCATCGAACACGTCAAATATGCGGTCGTCTTATCTCGCAGTGGAATATATAATGTTTGCTCAGGCAACATGCAGCGTCATTTATGCCGGATGTGCCACGAGCACGCTGGAGCTCGCTCCCTATCCCGGGCTCCTAGATTCGCCCTCAAACAATTCTGCGGGCTACATTTATCGATTCGGAGCGTCTTTGGCAACTGACCACCCATGGAGCCGATTCCTGTGAATTTTCCAACCGTGTGGCTCCGAAAATAGATTCCACCTGTATCATCTGAGATATGGGCGCAAATGCCCTCCGTCTGTGATCTGTCCGGGGAAGCCGCGAGCGGTAAGATATCCGGGAGATGATTATCCCTCACAATAGGTAACGAGAGGCTTGTGTCTCGGCTTTTCTTCTGGGGATAATCTTTCGAGTCGGAGCTGTCCTCACAAAAAGCGATACAACCGGGAAAATGAGATATATCTTCGCTCGGTTCCGTCGTCCATCCGACCGGGCATAGTTTTTTTCTTCAGCAATTTATGCGCGAAAGGTGCGAACTGAATTATCCGGGTACGATTCCCGACAACAAGACGAGATTTGTCAGATCGCGAAAAAATCACATCCCGCATGGAGTCAGTCGCGATTTTTCCGAAGTTCCGCTGATTACGCAAACCCGCTTGTTCGAACATATTTTCCCGCTCTCCGACACAAATGCACGGACAAGATTGTCGTGAGCAATCGATGTAGGTACTTGAAAACGGGAGGGCGGACGATGCGTGTTTTCAGAGCCCGCATTGGACCCGACTGCTACACTAATCGATTGCGCATACGTCATCTTCGGGCGGGGAGATGATTCTTAAGTGCCCGACCGGAGCGTGAGGGAACGATAGACGACTCGGATCCGGTAAGGTGGGTAGCTTGCAATTCGAAGCGTAAATCCTGAGAAAAGTCACCCAATTGAAAAACACTGATCATCACCGGTCGAGAGTACGGAAACCTCGAAAGCAAACACGAGCCTGGCGCGGTGTGGATCATCATAAAAGTTCTGTTGCCGCGTCTTGAATTTCGAGACCAGCATCCCACGCAAAATCACCCCAAGAAAAACTCCAGGGGCTCAAACTCCAATCAGGAGCCCCTGGAGACGCTCATCTTTTGTCACAGAACTCGCAGCAACAGTAGGAGGGAACGTGGACGGAAGCGGCGAACGCGACAAAGCCGAGATGGTTTTTGAAACGTTCATGCAAATGAAATATGAAGGCTCTGTCAGCACAGTCACCCGAAGAGTGGAGCTTCCGCGGAGACGGAGTTGGCCGGAAAGGCCGAGCAAAAAGAAAATGATGCTTCGGCGACTCCGGGCCGCGACCTCCGCTGTTGCTGTCTTGCTGCGTGGCGAATCGCAAACAATGGGTTTAGTCGTGGCGTGTAGGACTGCTGGACGCGCATTCCGTCCCGAGTGGAAATCCCGCCAGATTCGAGTGGCACGCTACAATCCTGAACGAGTGCGAACCGCCTGCAACTACTTCACGGGTCGACCGATCCAGAATCCAATCGAAAAGTGTCGGAGAGCATGACTCCTCCCGCCATTTGAAATCTCGGAGCCATCCTGGAGGTTTCACGAGTAAACTTCAAGCACTTTTCAGGACCACGCACGCTAAACGGGAATCACCGTCGGGGTCCGAGGGGAGCGAGACGCATCTCCGGCTTGAGCGGGAATATCGTCCAACAAGATGCGAATCCTCCCATCCGGGATTCTTGAGAAATTCTCCCCCCTATGCTTAAATCGATCATGAAGCCGGTACGTTCCCACATGGTCGTCGCCCAGCATGCCGGGCGAAAGCGGATTTGTACCGGACGACGGAGTTGCGACCGCCTCGTCCTGAGACCGATGTACGGATAAGTAAAATTGAATCGCGACAGTGTTTATTCAGCGCGCCGGTCGAGATCCGAGGATAACCTGTTGGAGTCCGACCACGCGGCTCGTGCAGCCATTGTTCTCCTCCGAGGAGTCAGGCGGGCTACACATCCCTAATCTACTCACTCCATTGGCCATAATGCTCCGATGCGAGGGATGGCCGTGCTGATCGGTTTCTTAGCACCACTGCGTCATTCGGTTTGATGTCAACGTCACATGAATTCAACACAAACCGGTCATCGGGGGACTCTATCGGAACTCACTGAAGACCTCGAGGGGTCTGGCTGTCTCTTTGAGTTCCTTTCCAAAGCGGAAAGGGTACGTTCCGAGACTCTCTCAATGATGTCCTTTCTCCGGCAAGCACGGTGACCGTACATAAGCGCCGAAATGTTGCAACAACAGATCATTGTTCCTCGTTCGTTTCAGAATTGAACAAATTAGCCAGACGCTCAGCGATAATAGTCGATCAGACAATAATAAATATCGTCGCACGAAGGAGTTCTTGACAAAGGTGCCTCTCGAGCCGGTCTCGCAGCACTGATCGAGTGAGTGTCTACATGAAACATAATCGATGAGCAATTTTTAATTCATGCGTCTATGGTCTTTCAACTCGATTAGATGTGATACGGCGGATCTCGGTGGGATTAGCCCAGAGCGAGGGCAGTGGAGAGCAGGGACCATCTGCGATCCGCATCCAGACGGATTGAGGATATGTGCGGACTTGATGCGGGGAAAACTTGCCCGATATCCGCGGAAATCGATGTTTCGGGGTTCGCTGCTCATTTCCCCACAATATACAACAGATCGTCTCCATTTGACTCAGCTCTTTGAGTTCCTCATCCTTGCGGGTGCTTTTCGGAGCGAGACTTGGGAAGTTTCGTAAATGGAGCCTTTATTTCTGGTCGGGCCATCGAATCTACCCCGAAGTCTCCTCTTGCTGCACCGATCTGGAGATCTCCACAAATCCCGGCTTTTGCGACCTCGGATTTGCATCCAGATCTGGACACCTCCTTCCGCGAGGAACTACCCCTAAAAGCTAAGGATTCTGGAGAAATCCCCGAAAACTGAGGCTTGAGAGGATATTATCCGCGTCATTTCCAGGAGCCTTAACCTCCGTTTCCCTATTTCCATCAATTTTCATGATACTCGTCAAGAAAAAAATAAGGTATTGGATATTCATTCATTGTCTTAGTGAACGGTGCATGCTTGTTCACGGCTGACTGAATCAGGATCGAGATGTCCGTCCAAATCGGATGTCTGATCTCTGCTGACCGAGAGCCTTCCGCGCGCCACCGGCTGGGCATCCGTCCCGTTCCGGGAAGCGCTGACGTCCATGAATGGATCTGATGATTTCCTGGCGGAGCACGGCCTGTACTGCAGGCGCTCGCTGACCGAAACCGAGATGACCCTGAGAAATGCACGGATTTCTAATATAGTCAACAGGCAGACAGGAAGAGAAGCGAGGCTCTCTTCCTCGCTGGGAAGCGCGCTCTCCATGACCTTCCGCCCGATTCAATCGCGCAGGTGAAGTTCTTGATCGATAATCCCCGATTGTGAAAGTCGCTCTAACCTGTTCCGCTCGAACGAGCCTGGAATCTCTGCGAGCGGGATATCATGTTCCACTCCGCCTCCCCCTTGTCCGGCAGACGTTTCCGATGGCTAGCCAACTATCCTCTTACACGGAATCTCCGAACAAGAGAGGAAGGGGCACAAGGAACGAGAGGAACATGAGGTTCTCCCACAGACGTCCCACTGGATCCTCTTTTACGGGCTGAATCCTGTGCCGCAAAGCTCCAAAGCTTTGCTGGTAGCAGAGTGATAGCTGGCGACAGTGGACCGGTCCTGTCGGCGTGGGATTCAGAATGAGCAGGTCGGCCCGTATTCCCCGTGTTTAGGGGTGACCACTGTAAGTTCGACTCTCGCCTTGGGTCCGAAAGTATCCAAACTTGGCGAGATCGCGGATGAGTCCAGCAGCGGTGGAACGCAGCGTGAATGATTTTATGAGCACCCAACGAGGGGCAAAGATTCAGTCCAAGACAACTTGTCACTTGGCAGTGGCGGGCAATCTTCGCGCCACCAGAGCCGGCTCGGCGATCCGTTCCGAACTTTTCGAGGCAGACCTGCGGAATTCCATCTCCTGCCGATTATTCTTCCGTCGGTGCCAAGCCCAGGAATGTCGTCCGCCTACTCAATTTTTCCTCTGCTAGTCCCTAATTATTGGTGCGCTCCGCACGCAAGGATTCCCTGTAGACTCGACCTACGCAGAACACCTCCTGTATTGTGGAGCACCCTCGGGATTTTCCTTCCGATTAAGCGGATGATTCGGTCATGCGGAGTCAGGAACGAGGAGCTCCAATGCATGCGGGAAATTGATTTCAGGCCTCGGGACCGGATGAGCGGTCCATCCGATCGAGTGGAGCACCGGTGCGGTGGAGCGATTTCCACCGTATCTTGAAACACACCTGTCCTGGTTCGGCCGTAGAAGTCCGATTCCGTGCCTGTTCCGTATCGTGGCCGGGGAGGAACTGTGCCAAAATCCATTGAATATATTCAGGTCGGAAGGGTCTTATCGATCGAATTGTGAGTCTAGCGAAGAGATCCTTATCGAATCTGAAAGACCCATATCGATCCTCGCAACATCCTAAGTTCTGTAATGAAACTTGATTCTCTGGTATTCTGTGTAAGGAGCCCATTCGTAATCGAAGACGTGGACTCGTGTCTATGAGACCGAGTGGGGAAAAAAAGCTGCCTTTTTGAATGGCCGCATCCGGATTCAAGGAGAGAAAAAGTGAATCGAGAAGTTCCCTTCCCTCCTTATTAATAATCGTTGTTATCTGCCGACCATTCGCTCACGTACCTCCTCTCAAAGGCTTCAACCGTCGAGCCTACGGCCTCGTTCTTCCATACGCTCGCATGTCGTCCGCATCTACGGCTAGTAAGAAATTACTGTTATACATCCGCGGATCGGGCGTTGCCTCCTCCTCGGAAACTTCTCTCGCCTGCACTGAGACGTTTGTGAATACTCATCAGGGACTCCTCGCCCTCGCAGCCTCCCCCGTGGTATGTGAAACTGGCACTGACCCATCCCAGATCTCTTATTGGTACTCCGAGAGGCGAACTGAGACCGCGTTCCAAGTACTCAATGCGGGAACGTCACGCTGTGGATCACTTTGATATTCTCCAGCGTATTTGTTCGGGACGACTCGGTATCCCGACCTTGTCCCAGTTTCAGTAAGACCCACCCTTGTACCCTCGGCGGGAAATGAAGCATGCGTGGAACGCTCTTTAATTTCTCCTGTGTATTCCATCCACATAGGCCATTTTGAAATCCATTCCTGGCTGCACCACTCCCCTCTCGTTCGGTCTCGAATATTAAAACGAGGGAAAATGCTGAATCTCGGCGAGCCTTCCGACACGAGGTCCAATACTGCTGAAAGCTCAGAGGATGCTGGTTAGTTGGTTTCTTTTTTTTACGAGACACGAGAGCTTTTCGGGCGTCTAAGCCAATTCTCTGCAGCCTTGAGCACTCGCACAGCATTCGGGGCTCATGACGTGGACACCGCGGAGACCATAGCCGCGAGTTGCGAGTCATACAAAGCAACCTTATGGAGTTTTCTCCTCAGATTGCCCTTAGTCAAGCGCTATTCTCTTTTATGCTATGAAACAAAGAATGATTTGAGGTCAGCTGCGAGAGACGAATCAAAGCTCAGCTCGACGGTTCGCGGTCAGTGGAGAGCCTCCGTGCGGCTCTCGCACGCGGGTCGATCTGAAACTCTCTCATCCGCGACCAGCCAAGGAACTCGACACAATCATCAATCCTCGCTGGGAATCACGTTCTCGAACGTGTCGAGCCTCAGCGGACGGGTCGAACGATTCCAAAAGAGGCTTGTAGTAGGCTCGAGTTCTGCATGCCCCGTCCACGGAGTAGCGCTGAGCTGTGAGCCCAGAGTACCGTGAGAGTTTGAGAATCAGCTGGCTTTCCAAGGTTGGAGCCGAAACTTTCTCCCGGCAGATCTGGAGGCGGCGGCGATCCCCAACCGGGCGCTCTTGTTTGGCGCCTTTTCCGAGTTTCTCATCGCGATAGCGACCGGGGATTCAAGGGGAAATCCGACGTTCTGGTGGAGCCTATTCAAGAAGGTTCCGGAGGGGACGCGGACGCACGGCGGAATCTTCGTTGGCCGCGCTCGAAGATCAAAAAACCTCATTCCGAGCTCCGTTAAGAAGTGCGCGGGGAAGAAGCTCGCCATTGCTCTCCTTCGACCATAAAGAATCCTGCCTGAGCAATACAGATCGTGGTCGAGTATCCTACTGCGAAATCGTGGCCCGAGAATTCCGGAGCTCATCGAGTCGCAGAAGCACGTCGGGCAAGCCCGCAAAAAGTTTTCCGAGCGCCTTACGGTTCACGGAAGAGCGCGCGACGAGCGTCCGCGTCCTATCTCATCGAAGGGAGATCGATGACCTACGTGGTAGATATGCGTTGCCCAGAGGTTTCTAGCCAGAAATAGCGGCGAAGGAGAACGAACTGTCAGATGGTTTATCAAAGCGGCTCTCAATGTCTTTTTAGCGTGGGACACCCTCCCAAGTCCTCGACTAAGCTCGGAGCCCTTTTTGGATGTCACTCCGGAAGTCGCCTGTTCCTCCAGACGGAGAACTTTTTGAGATTGTTGCCACTTCTCTATTGACTAAGCTCTCTCAGACTAGCTATCAACAGATTCTGACCCCTCGTGGCTTGTCGATATTCTCACAAGAAGTATCGAATATATTTCCCCATGGGATCACAGTATAATATTATCATGTATTCCTTCGACCTCAGGGAACCCCTAGTCTAACAGGAGAAAAATGATGCGCTTGATTTCCCGTATTCCGAATCGCATGCGAGAAGTATTTTTTGATTTACGGAGAGGAGAAACTCGCTACACAGTCCATTGACAGCTCTTTTAGAAATGATCGAGAGGATGCTGCGCTCGGCTGCCCTTGTCATCCTCGGACGGAGGAGCTCCTGACTCCAGCTGAAGGAGCCTGGCTATTCCTATCGCGGATCTGAGTTTGTGGAAAGGCCACAAGAATGAAGCCCGATAAAGCCCGATCCGGGTTCCTGAGTCCGATCGGGGAAGTTCGTCTCCGGTAACTGTTGAGGGGCTTGAAATTCTCGTCGAGGTTTTTACGATTTTTTCTTCGAGTATGTACGAATGGGGCCATGCGGGGTCGATCCTACCATGATACGAGACGCCGCCTGCTTTGCAGCATCAAGCTCGGCGAACCCCGCAGCGCTAGCCTCATCCATCCGAGCGAGGACGATTCGGAGTGACTGAGATCGATCTCCCTCAATCACGTCCCCTTCCTTTGAATAATTCAGCCCGAGCCTCCGTCTTCTGGCATAATCCCTTCATGAGACTGTCCATTCGAGCCCTAACAAAACTCAATAGGAGATGATACGTCTACCTACGTCTTCCTTCCCAGCTTCTCAAGGTTTAGCGGGAAACCTATTCAATTTATTGAGATATAGCCGTGAGGGCGCTTCGCGCCCCAACGGATTAGTAGTCCTCGAGAGTTCATGGAAAAGACGAAAGATTGTCTCACGGCAGTTCGTACTGATTTGTCGACCCGCGAGCTAGTGGGCTGCCACTTCAGTGTCCATAGTTAATACCTGAGCACTTCGAGGAGCTTCAGCATCGCGGGTATAGAGTCCTCCAAGCGTATGGTAGACTTGGCCGTGGAGTACTATATTGCCGCACTACTATATCGAGATCTGGATGCCGTGATGTGCGTGCTCGTCGAACGCTGAAACAAACGAAGTAGAGAATCCTTCCTTGATACCGGCGATTGAATGTAGCCTGTGGGCTCGTGCCAGTAGAGCTGAGATGAGTGATAACATCTGACGTCATAGTGAAGCGGCTTGACATTTTGTGGAATTTAACGATTTCTGGACAAACACGTTATTTTCACGGAAAACATGCGGCTAAGCAATATGAAAAATACCGACCTCACTGAGGCGATTGCGCATCGATCGGGAAAGGTTCGGGGTCTGTTCGGAGGAGAAAAGCGCCAAAGATTGGGTCGGTCAGACAGACATAGCGATTGTATCATATAGGGGGAGGGGAATAGGGGGATACATGAGTTTCATCGCCTCCTTATACGCCTCTCCTTCATTTTTTTCTCCGAATACTCTGATAGAGAGTCAGATGAGAATTTGATAAAGGCGCGTTTTTCCTTTTTTCTGTAGTTTTCCTAGTGATATTCGTAGCGTCAGATGAACTCCGAGCGACCGGTCGCGACTCACTATCCGTTCTAATCGATCTGAAGGTATCTCCTCGTGATGGTTCCTCTGCGAAACGGATTGAGGAGTAGAATTCTTGCTTCCTGTGATGCATTCCGCGCTCTTTCGGGATCTCATCGATCGCTTCATGAGATTCTGAGTAGGGATAACGCACAGTCCACCATGAGCAACCGATTTGGTGTTTACAATGCGGGAGGAAAGGATGCCGTAGAAGCTGCCAGATGCGCTCGCCAACGCATCGGTTCAGTGTGTTCGTACAGTGGTGCTACTTATGTAGCAGAGTATAACCCTCTCCGCGAAGATACTCAATCGCTCTCGTTTGGCATTATGGCGGAGTTTCATCTTTCAGTGCGAAGCTCGACGAGACTGTATGGCACTGGTGGTACTCCGACGCCCATATCTGTGATGCCGCAACAAAGCCGCAAGACCGGGCGGACACAGGTGCAAATAATCCTGAGACTGCATAGATTCCCGACGATGTCGTAAGCATAACTGGGCTGAAGCAGGATTGCGCCTTGGTTATCATTCCACAACGTGACTGGCCGTTGAATCTCGTTCGGGAGAAGCTCTCGAACATTGAGCAGCCACTTTATTTCCTGACCAGCGGCTCCACCAACGGTGGGCTGTTTGCGACTATTCCAAGAGATGCACGCGCCTGCGAGCAGGAAACAATATCCCGTCGTTGATTACCGACAGTCGTGACGCCCGCCCCAATCGGCATCACTGAATGCTTCCATGGGTTTGTGGTCGGCACCGGTGAACTTCGGATGCAGATCCTTGCTACCCTTTAGATAACGGATATTCTCTTGAGGGCCGACCAGTGTTCTTTCGATGGGCTCGAGCTGAACTTGCTGACCACTCCGACCACGAAACAAATATCGGGACGAGTGATCTGGGACAGATGAATCAAACACCCCACTGCCTCACGGTACGGCTCTACGCAAGCTCCGTCGTCTCCCTGATTCTCGACTGGGTCAGATCTCTTGTCCAACTTCCATTGGCCTTGACACAGGTTTCGCAATATTTCGCGAGCCCAAGGTGTTTCAGCGGGAACACATTCCCCAGTTCTGAACGTACCTCCTCGAACAGCGCCGTACTGTCGGTGAAAATCAGAAGATCATCGACGTATACGGACAGGAGGAGGATCCTGCCGTCCTTATGCAGGTGGTACAGACACGGATCGGCTGCACGGTACATGACAATTCATCGCCGAAATCTCAACGCCGACTCCTCAACGCCGGATAGCTCAACGCCGAGACAACTCAACGCCGAGACAACTCAACGCCGAGACAACTCATCGCCGGACAAGCTAAAGCCGGGACAACCCAGCGCCGGACAATTGATCGCCGGTCAACTTAACGCCGAAACTTAGCCTGCTCAGGATGTTCTTTGCGCGAATATGATGCTCTCAGCTCAGATCAGATGCGGTGTTCCTGCTTCGTCATATTTATGTCATTTTATTCTAACATAACCCCATGACAAGTCTTAAGCGTAGAATCTAGGACGGCCAGAACCTCGGCAGTGTTCATCGACCACGTCCACTTAGGTACTTTTTAGCGAGCTTTTTCCGATAAACACGCAATCATTCAGGGTTTCATGAGGAGAGTCTTTGCGCACCCGCGTAAGTATTCGACTACCGTAAACGTGTGGAAGTCATTGACTCGTTTCAACAACTTTTTGTCGATGTCCGCGTATTTTTTCGTTTCGCTGGTGCTTCGTTGCCGGCTTCGAATCTTGCGAGAAGCAGATCTCGATGATGTTGAACTTACCTAAGGCCATCCATGAAGCGCCCTAGGTTTGGGTGACTCACACGCAACTCAGTCTGCAATCTCCTGTGGGCGGCTTCCGCGTAGTTATTCGTACGGGAGTCCCCAGTGAGAGTGCGAGAATACACCGACCACATAAACGGAGGAAACAACAGCTGTCGCCGGACAACAGAACCGTCGGGGAGGACATGGAGAAGTGAGCCCACACAATAATTATCCTCTAAATACTTGAGAGCTGGCATCAGCTCCTGCGGCAAGTCAATTGCGAGCTCAGCTATCGCGTTGTCGAGGAGAGGGGGAGGTACAAACGCGAGAGCTGCTATCATCCTAGCGCTAAGCGAAAAGTTCCCATCCGTACGATACCGGCCCAGCAAGCCGAGCTCGCCAAGTTTCTTCTTTAGACTTTGAACAGGATGAAACAAGCATTCATCGATCCGCGCATTCGGGAAACTGCAACAAAAGCTTTGATAAGGCCCTCGTAGTCAGTTGAGATGGCGAGAGGAGCGAACGAGGGCCAGGCTTGGAGGATGAGTTCGATCATCCGAGAGTACGATGCCTGGCTTTTATCAGGCAAGAGTAAACGGGTATCACAAAGTCACCGCGTTCTGCGAGAATCGCTACGATTTGGCAGAAACATGGTGGTGGCAAACTAAAAGTACCATCCACATATTTCTTCTTAAATGAACGATCCAATCACCGACTTGAGACCGTTTCGGTACTCGGCAGGACCAACTTCGCAGCTCTGGTTGACCTCTCGATAACTCCTTCGATTAGTGGCAGCGGGGTCTCCTGGCATCCCAGAGTATTCCGCTCCAGAGCAACTCTGTTCCTCGCCACTTCGACCGCTGCAGGGTCGGGCTCATCGCTATGAGGACCCATGACTTCGAGGACTTCTTGAGTCGAAGCTGAGTCGAAGTGTGTAATCGCACTTTGCAGTTTGTGAGATACTGATATCGCCAGCCTTCGCACTCCGCACCAAGAGCGGACTGCTCGCTTTCTTCATGCTTTGCACGAGAATCAGAGCAAACACACGGTCCTTGAATCGTCTGGGAGAACCTATCTGTGTACTTAGCTGTGTACGGCGTTGAGTTGACCGGACCCGACAGGTTCTCGGCGTTGAGTTGACCAGCTCAATCAATTGTCCGGCGCTAGGTTGTCCCGGCGATGAGTTGTCTCGGCGTTGAGCTATCCGGCGTTTAGAAGTCGGCGACGTGATTTCGGCGACGTGATTTCGGCGATGAGTTGGTCGGCGATGAGTTGTCTGTGTCCGCCCGGGAAGATATGCTCAGACGAGATAAGGGGGAATACTCGGCAGGAGTGCGCCTCGCTCCGCATCCCCGGACTGAAGTTCGATGTTTCCAGAATTTGGAGACGTTCGCCGCGCGGTGGGATTGTGGCGCCGGTTTCGATTCATTACGTTAATCAGTCTTTTTTCCGTGATGAACGGCTCGCTCCATGACCCCTGAAGATCATCGAGTCAGCGCATTGAGCACTCCGGAAGTATAAGCATATCAAGTCGATTCGTTTCCCGAGTATATCCATAGGATACTATTCCTCTCGTAGGAACGACGATGTTTCGAAATTTGTGGGGTCGAGAATCTACAGAGAAGACAATAGAGCTGAAATTACCGGACCTCGGTGTGAGCAAAGCGGGCCAGAAGCTGACCGAGGCTGTTTCCGAAAGTTTCGTGCTACCAGGATTCGGATGGCTGCGAAAGACAAAGGTCGAGGCGCCTGACATCAAGGTTGAACTCGGTGAAGGCGTCATCGGATCGGAGTCTCGGAAATCGGAAGAGAAGAGCAGTGGACTCCTAGGGAAGTTGTTCAAGCGATCGGAATCCGCTCCAGAAACAACAAAGAAGAAGGAGACCGCCGACACAGGACTTCTGGATGGCTTCTTCGGAAAGTTGGGCCCGTCGAAAGTGGAGAAAGTGAAAACCGAAATAAGACTGCCTGAACTGCCTGAACCGAGTGAAAAGAGTGAAACAGTCGTCTCGCGACTCACCGAAGAGAAAACAGGTGAGAGAAAGTTGCACAAATGCGTTGACCGGGGTAATCTCCAGGCTCCTGAATTCTCCATCAATGGTCTCAGTCGTGACTCGTGAAGCAGCAAACTCTCGCTGATCCACGGCGTCGCTCCTTGCGCCCGCGTGAAGTTCGGGGAAAGACCTGTCCCTCGTGTCCGACGCTGTGCGCTTCCTCCTTCTTGTCTTGGGTCCTGACCCCTTAGACCCCGAGCGGGTTTCGACTCGGTTAGCAGATTGGGATTCCCTTACCCAGTCGTCTCCGAGAACTCGGAAGCGGAACGACGCGGAAAACGAAGGCTTCCCGCGTTCCTCCCTCGATCCAAAAGCGCTCGGTTCCCGGTTCTAATATCGAGCCGTTCAAGCCCATCATGCCATGAAATACCCTCTAATCTGACTTTCCTTCCCACAGCCATCCAATCTGGCTGTACCATATGGAAGAAGAGAGTGTTGACCGCTCTTGGTGCCTTGGCAACAGTGGCCTTTGCATTCGCTGTAATGGGTAAAGTGTCCAATCCTGCGTTGGTCCCAGAAAAGAAGATGGATCTGGATAAAGCGATGGGCCCAGGTATCTAGGGTCTTGAACTCTTTCAAAAGCTCGATATTCACAACATAATGAGGCGAGGGAGATGGGGCTACCGTCTGCTCGATGGGGCGTTGTAGTTCCCCTTCGATTTCTTGTTCCCAAAGGGGGAGGAGCGCCGGATATCCTAAGGCTCCGGATATCGGGCAGCTCTGGTGTACATCCCCAAGTCATGCTCCCTTTTTCTCCTTCCCCTATCCCTGCACCCGAGCTGTAATGCGGACTTCGTTTGAGCTGCCACAGAGCCCACACAGAGCTGCCCCCATATCTCTTCCGATAATTATTTCAGTACTTCCTGCTCACACGCGTCTCTCTCGATGCAGGTGCTCCTTCCGGCGGCCTGAGCGGCGGGAAGTTGTCCGGGGGCGGAGTAATCGGGAGCCTTGCGAGCGGAGCTCTGACGGGGGCTTTGAGCGGCGGTCTCGGAGGCGGGAAGATTCTCGGGGGCATCGGCGGTCTTGGTGTAGGGGCACTCTCCGGCGGCCTCGCAGGAATCGGTGGCGGAAAACTTACTGGGGGTCTCAGCGGCGGAAAGCTAGCCGGTGCTCTGAGCGGTGGGAGAATCACCGGCGATCTCGGTCTTGAGAAACTCAGCGGTGGCCTCAATAGCGGAACACTCACTGGCGGTAAACTCCCAGATCTGAAACTCCCTGACGTCAATCTGCCGGGCGATAAATTGAATGCCGGGAAACTTGCTGGAGGTCTCGGTGCGCGTAAGCTCAAGGGTGGTTTAAGCGGTGGGAAACTCCCCGATCTGAAAGTGCCTGGAGGACAGCTCCCCGATCTGAAACTTCCGGCAGCGAAGCTCCCCGAACTGAAACTCCAAGGTGGTAAACTGCCCGACGGGAAGCTTCCCGACTTGGAGCTTTCAGGTGGGAATCTTCCTGGTGGAGGACTTCCCGATTTAAAGCTACCAGGTGGGAAACTTCCCGATATGAAACTGTCTGGAGGAAAGCTCCCCAGCGGGAAACTTCCTGATTTGAAACTGCCAGATGGAAAACTTCCCGATTTGAAACTTTCTGGTGGGAAACTCGCCGGCGGGAAACTTCCTGATTTGAAGCTCCCTGGGGGTCGGCTACCTAGCGGGAAACTGCCCAACTTGAAGCTACCTGGTGGTAAGCTCCCCGATATGAAGCTTTCCGGAGGGAAACTCACCGGTGGGAAACTCCCCGATATGAAGCTTCCAGGAGGGAAGCTCCCCGATTTGAAACTTCCGGGGGTTAAACTCCCAAGCGGAAATGTCCCCGATTTGAAGCTACCCGGTGTTAAACTCCCCGATACGAAACTCTCTGGAGGGAAGCTCCCTGGTGGAAAACTTCCGGATTTGAAGCTCCCGGGTGGTAAACTCTCCGACATGAAGCTTTCTGGCGGGAAACTCCCTGATCTGAAGCTGCCAGATGGGAAACTTCCCGATGTGAAACTTTCCGGGGGGAAAGTCGCCGGCGGAAAACTCCCTGATCTTAAGCTACCGAGTGGTAAACTTCCCGGTATGAAACTCCCCGGCGGGAAACTATCTAATTTGAAACTGCCAGATGGAAAGCTTCCCGATGCTAAACTTTCTGGAGGGAAAGTCGCAGGCGGAAAACTTCCCGGCTTGAATCTCCCTGATGGCAAGCTATCTAGCGGGAAGCTCCCCAATTTGAAGCTCCCTAGTGGTAAGCTCCCCGATACGAAACTCTCTGGAGGGAAGCTCCCTGGAGGAAAACTTCCTGATTCGAAACTGCCAGGTGGTAAACTTCCCGATGTGAAACTTTCTGGAGGGAAGTTCGCCGGCGGAGAACTTCCAGATTCGAAGCTCTCTGGTGGGAAACTACCCGGCGGGGGACTCTCCGATTTGAAACTTTCTGGTGGTAAGCTCTCCGGCGGGAAAATTTCGGATCTGAAGCTACCGAGTGGCAAGCTCCCCAATGTGAAACTTCCGCGAGGCGAGCTCCCCGGCGGTAAACTACCCAACATCGAAGTCTCTGGTGGTAAGCTCCCCAGCGGAAAACTTCCCGACTTGAAGCTACCTGGTGGGAAACTTCCCGACTTGAAGCTACCTGGTGGGAAACTTCCCGATATGAAGCTCTCTGGTGGTAAGCTCCCCAGCGGAAAACTCCCCGACTTGAAGTTACCGAAAGGGAAGCTTCCCGAAATGAAGCTCTCTGGTGGTAAGCTTATCAGCGGAAAACTCCCCGACTTGAATTTACCGGGAGGGAAGCTTCCCGATATGAAACTCTCCGGTGATAAGCTCCCCAGCGGAAAACTCCCCGACTTGAAATTACCGAAAGGAAAGCTTCCCGATGTGAAGCTGTCTGGTGGTAAGCTCCCTGGCGGAAAACTCCCCGACTTAAAGTTACCGGAGGGGAAGCTTCCCGATATGAAATTCTCCGGTGGTAAGCTCCCCAGCGGGAAATCACCCGACTTGAAATTAGCAGGTGGGAAACTACCCAGCATGAAGCTCTCTGGTGGTGAGCTCCCTAGCGGAAAACTCCCCGACTTGAAGTTACCGGGAAGGAAGCTTTCCGATATGGAACTCTCTGGCGGCAAGCTCCCCAGCGGGAAACTACCAGGCTTGAAGGTACCGGGCGTGAAGCTTCCCGACGGGAAGCTTGCCAGTGGTCTCGGGGCAGGGAAAGTCACCGGAAGCTTGAGCGGTGGGAAACTCGCTAGCGGAAAACCAAGCGAAGGGAAGCTCTCTAGCGGAGATCTTAGCGGTGGAAAACTGTCGGGCCTTGGAGGCGGAAAATTGAGTGGCGGCTTGAAAGGGGGCAAACTCTCCGATGTGAAAGTTCCGGGTGAGAAGCTTCCCGACGTGAAACTTTCTGGAGGTAAACTTACCAGCGGGGAGCTCTCGGGTGGGAGACTCACCGGCGGGAAACTCCCCGATGTCAAAGTCTCCGAGGGGAAGCTCTCAGGCGGGAAAATCGGCGGTGGGAAATTCACAGGGGGTCTCGGAGGCGGGAAGCTGACTGGCGGCTCAAATTGGGGTGAACTTGGGAAATCGAGCCGCGGAAAACTTGAGGGCGGCTCCGGCGGTGGGAAACTCTCCGACAGTGAGCTCAGCGGGGGCATCGGGAGCCCGAAACTTGGAGGTGGTTCTACCGGTGGGAAAGTTCCGGGTGGGAAACTTAGCGGTGGTCTCGGCCGCCCGAAATCAGACGGTGGAATCGGCGACAAGAAAAAAAGCAGCGGCAAGCTCTCTGATGGGAATGGCTCCGGTGGTAAAATCCCTGACGGCAAACTGAGCGGCGGTCTCGGTGGCGGGAAAGTGCCTGGAAATCTCAGCGGTGGGAAACCTGGTGCTGGAAAAATGCCGGGTAAACCCCCCGGTGGAGATCTCCCGGGCCAGAAACTCCCTGGTGGGGAAGCCACAGGCGGAATCAGCGATGGGAAGCTCCCAGACGGAGGACTGAGCAGTGGAAAACTGACGGGGGGTTTGAGCGGCGGGAAGCTCAGCGGTGCTGCCATGGCTTCGAAAGCTGCTTCTGGTTCTGCGAAAGACCCCAAATTTCCGCCGAACTTCAGTGATAGCAAGGATTCGAAAGCAGGAAAAGGTCCCTCGGGGTCCAGCGACTCCAAGACAATGGAAGACGATCTGCCGAGAAATGGGCCCGAAGGCTCTGAGAATTTCAATCGAGGGGAGAGTTCCCCGGGGCTCGGAAATCCGAAGAGCTCAGGTGCAGGAAACAGTCCCTCCGTCCGCAATCAACGCAAGAATTCCAAAGGGGGAAAGGGTTCTTCAGGATCCACTGATCCCAAGAACTCCGCTGCAGGACACAGTCCCTCGATACTCAATCATCGTAAGAATCCCCAAGGAGGACAGGGTGCTCCGGGATCCGGCGGTCCAAAAAACGCCGGTGCAGGAAACATCCCCCGGTACCCAATGATCGAGAGAATTTCGGAGGAGGGAAAAATCCTTCAGGATCCAGCGTTCCGAATGCGGCAGAAGACTCTAAGCTGAAGGCAGGATCTGGATTTCGCCGGGATCATGGGGCAGAAAATGCTCCCTCGGCGTCGAGTGAGACCAAGAATCCAAGAGGCAGCAGGGGACCCCTGGGACACAAAGACCCGAATTCGGCGAAAGACTCCGGCGGCAGTCCTGGCGACGGTGAGACCCCCGGTGGCGGTAGACCGAGTGGTGGAGGTCTCGGGAAACGTAAGCTCAACAACGGCCTTGGGAGCGGAAAATTCAGCGGAGGCTTCGGCGTCGGGAGCGCCAGCGGCGCACAAGCCGGCGGCGGTGTCGATGGCGGAAAACTGAGCGGCGATTCCGAGGGTGGAGAAGTCAACGGTGGTTCCGGAGGTGGAAAACTATCCGGCGCTTCCGGGGGCGGAAAGCTGCTCGGCGGTGGCGGAGTGAGGAAGATCACCGGCGGCCTGGGTGGAGGAGAACTCAGTGGAGGCTTCAGCGGAGGCAAAGTCGCAGGCAGTGCCGATGGAGGAGAATCAAGTGGTGGTCTCGACGGAGGTGACTCCCTCCAGCAAAGTAAAGAATCCCCAATCGGCGGGGGAGCGCCTGGAGCACCGGGGAACACCGCATTCGCGGATGGTACCATGAAAGGGACGGGTTCCAAGGCCTCGGGCGGCTGGTCGTTGGGAGGCTCCTGGCTAGCGAAGGCTTCTAAGCTGGCGAAGGATGCTCTGGGCGAGATAACTTTCAGAGATCCGAGAGAAATGATAAAGGACCGATTTAAAGCAATGGTGGATCCCACAGCAAGAGATGATTCTGGATAAATAGAAGATTTGATTTTGTAACTTCGGATTTCTATCTGATACAGGCGATCTCTTTCTCTTTGAACACGCCGTCCATATACCCAGATAGCATGCTGCCGGCTCAACCTTGTGGCACAAGCTCAACTCCAAGGTTGTGGCACTGATAAAGCGAAACTGGTGGTGAACGCGTGGCCTCTCAGGTGGGTGAGACAGACGCGATGCTTGCTCGTCAGGGGCATAATATCGACAACACACGAGGCGCGATCTCTGTGTCTGACTGCACACTGAGGACTTCGCCTGCACAACCGGTGTCTCTCGAGCGCGTGGGAGAATTCTTTCCCGATTCCGGAGAGGCGAGGGTCAGAGCTAGTCTTGCCTGAAGGCGCCCTCGGAGGAATGTGGTCGGATGATCCTTTCTTCGAGTCCATCATGGTGTTGATGAATGCTTGGGCGTTGATCCTAAGGAGAACGTCTGCGTCTGCCATCGGGAGCCGGTCGAAGTTATCCCTGGGGATGATGTCAGAGGTTATCTCCCATCTCCGGCGCTCCTGCTTGGATCGAACAGGGGCAGAGCTATCCTGTTGCTCTCGTGAGAATGATTCCATCCCATCCGAGATCGGTCTTGACAACCTCGGGGCAGGAGAAGAGATGAGCCTGAAATCTGTGTGCAGCTCTCCTCATTCCTTACGAACGCTCCTTCCGTATGGATACGGCCAATGGTGCAACAATCTCGCTCAGCCCGTCCGACGATGCCTCGGCTCTTTATATCCATTTACTTCCATAGAATTTCTCCGCAGAGCTGGATCGATTGGGCCGGTCGAGTCTGCTCGCACACGCAACAAGCGTCAGAGGGGGAGGAGCAGGGACTGCGCGCGAAAACTCCGGGGTTTAGACATCATGTCCGCCTGCTAGACGTACAACAAGATCTTTCCAGTCGAACTCAGTCTCGATTCAATGCCATCGGCGCATCAATATAGTTCGCAGAAAAGGGACCGAGCTCCGAAGATGGGGCGGTCCTTAGAGAGTTTCGAGAAGCCGCTTTGACTCGAGGTTACTTTCCCGCCCCGGAATGAAGCGAGCGCTTCGAAAAGCTTCCAGATACCACAGTCAGGAAATTTCGAGTAATCTCAACAGGTGAACAGCTCTAATGCCAAGCTGGTACTGCATTTCTCCTTCATCCGTGAGAAACTCTGATCTGTAGATCCGCATCAGCTGGAGCAGGCATCTCACACTTGAACCTCAGTCCGCATACTTCCATTCGTCTTCGCGCGTTCTCAATCTCATCCTCGAGCTCTGTTTCTCATGAAGGCGAGCGGGTGTACAGCAAAAGGGAATGCGACTCCTTCGCCGTATTCAATAGAGGACTTGCTAGGCATAGAGAGGAACTGGAGTCATTGCTCTGTCAATGTCTTTATTGAGACGACTCATCAGCAATCATCAGTGGTTCAAGCCGAACGGTTCGTGATACAGAAGACTCCATCTCTCACGCTTCTTAACAAGACTCCGCCTTGCCCTCGAACGAAGGCAATGACGTTCGAGAGAACGTTGCCCGTCTGAAAGGTTCCATGATCATTAGATTTGAAAACCATTGTCCATTGGGTTCGAGACTTTATACCGAGGAGCGTCCCCGCGAATCCTCGTCGAGGAAAGGAGTTTATATAGGAACCGCTCCCGAGGATCGAAGGCAAAATTGCTCAAACATGAATGAAATCCGCTCGTCGCGGTCGATCTGGGGGCAAGCAGAGCGGAGAGTCCATTTCGAGAATGGCACAGCCGGTCATTGGATGGAATACCATCAATACGCCAAATGAATGCGATAAATGCACAAGCCCATCCCGAATGTGCCGATGTCCGGATGTTTTTTCTCCGATTATTGTCTCCAGACCAAGAGGCGGACGGAATATCACTCACCGCGAAATCAAGTTGAGCCCTGCTCAAGATCATGATGGTGTTTTTCGTGAGAATCAGCACTGCCCTTGTGTTCCTGTGTAGATACGGAAGGGGAGACCAATTAGAAATAGGAAGAATCCTCCATGGCTCGTACAAATCTTAGAAGAAAAATGGCGAGGAAGCGAATCCATGGACAGCGAGATAGCTCACTTCTGAACGAAGCTCAGCTTGGCCAGCAGTCCGCAACTCCTCTTGAAGACAGCATTCTCGTTATTTTCCTCACACGTAGCTCTGTCGGCGAGGACAATTTCCGTGCTGGAAAACGGGTCGTTCAAATGAATGCAACATGCCGGTTATATGGTTCCCAATGCTCCCAAGATATGTACATATGTGTGCTCGATTTGGACGCATGGTCGCGATGCTTTACTTTTCCTCCACTCTTCTCTGGAGCATTTCGTATTCCGCGGAGATGTTGGCGCGAACCTCGTCGATGTGTCCTTTGGGGGATAGCTTTTGCAGGAAGGCTAGTGTTCTGTTTCTACTGATTCCGATGCTGCTCTGAACAACCCTGCGAATGCAACCTGAAAATTTTGCGGGATAAGACCATCCGACCACAGGAAAGCGAACTTAAAGCAAGCTGGGAGCTGGCCCGATTGCGCGACTCCCCGTCGGGAACTTCCCCAAGACCCGGTCGGTGTCCTCGGATCGAGGCGAAAGGTTGGAGTCGAATATATGTGGAGGCAAGTCATGCTTCTCCATTTTCATGGAGGTTGACCTACTGAGTGCGTTATCTGGTAAGACGGTCGTCGTGTCCTCGTCATCCGGAGTTTCGGTCGTCGACGTCGCGTCATCTTGAGCGTCGGTCGTCGACGTCGCTTGATCCTGAGCGTCGGTCGTCGATGACACTTCATCATCAGCGAAAGTCGTTGTCCGTCCTTGAGCAGCCGCGAGGGCGAAGACGAGGTACAGAACCACCAGAGCACGCATTGTATCCGAGATGAAACACTGCTTTCCGGACACACATTAGATTGAGTCTTTTATAGCAATTCCCCCGCGGCGAGGTATAAGAAAGCCTCCTCAGGATTAGGATAATCCTTTCTCGCCTTATCGGTATTAGGACTTTGAGCATCGATTGAAGGCGACAGCTCCGATAAGAACTCGAGGATTTGCGGGTAGGATCGGCGATTCATTGCTCCCGCGGAGGGCTCTCCGTGACCAGACATTACCCTGAACTAAGTCCAGGGGACCCGAGAAAAACTTGAGCATAGGTAGTGGAATCCCCCTAAACCCTTCATATCACATCCCTTCCTACATAGACGAAAACATTGCGGCTAATCCAAAAAATTCCGACCTCGGCACGCAATCTCTGGCGGACTCATGACGCAGCCCTTTCCTTATAGCTGAGGATTACAGAGAACTAGGCTCACATCTTCCCACTCTAGAATTTTAGCTTGACACTGAGGGAACGAGCCTTATACGCGGAGCTTCCGTCGCGCCGATTGATCTTGAATCCGGTCGGAATGATAAGATCAACAAAATCCGGTTCCTTTGCGATCGTAATTAGAGAAAATTATCGCCCCCTTGAAGCGGGATCGAATTTGAGTGCGCGTGATTTTGCCAGAAGGAGATGGCTCCGGGCATCGCGAGACGGCGATTTCGTCGACAGACGGCTCTGCGGATCCCTCACGATCAATATTCAACTTGTTAGATGTTAGTAAGCTATTCCTTGTAGAGAGCGGGGAAGAGGAGACCATTATCGACACGGCGAGATTCAGACAATCGGTGGGAGTTGAGGACTGTCAATGGCCAGTCATCCAGTGTACGGATGTCAGGTCGAAAGATACCCGGACGACGACAACATGCCTCCAAGAATTCATAGCGAGACCTCTGTTCTACGTCAGAGATGGCGATTCGATTGCTCGCGATTATTCCTGGATCAGAATGGGCTGTAAATGCTTCGTGATCAAGGTGTGATTGGGAGTTCGAGGGCCGCTTGACAAGAGCAGCGTTCTCGTTCTGTCTAAAGAGAGTTTCTAGTCGCGCGAGTGTCTTTCTGTCGGGTTTAACAGCATGACTCGGTATCTCGTCCGATTCTTCCGTTTTAGCTCTTCCCTGTGAGCCAGTTTCCCGCATGAACTCGAGTCAAGCAGCGCAGGTCAAGCGGCGGATGAACAGTTCGCCTCTGCCGCGCCACCGATCCCGAATCGAGTTTTTATGTACGTAGTATAAATCGAAGTTCACGCATCTTCGCGTCACGTGGACAAAACCGTCGCTTCCGGAATCGGAAGCTCAGCTAAATTAGTCTACATCAATGCGGTAACTCGTCGCTTCTCGAGCTCGTGTGCTCCGATCGCAACCGGCTTCTGCTCATCTGAAGTTCAGAGGGAGTCTGGCTGGAGGAAAGGAGAGAGAGGTCAGCGGACCAGCTAATCGGCAGCGAGCCTCTAGTGCGTACGGTCTGACCGTCTCATGCCGAGCGTCTCCCTGTAACTATTAAAGAGTCATTTAACGGGGAATCATGCGAAGTTCCGTAGATGGCTTGCTCTTGCACTAAGTCCACTCTTACAATGATAATATCGACCCCTTCGAAAAGTTCACCGTCCTCGGTGATGCCTTCTCAGGAAACAACCTGCGCTCGAGACGGCTCACCAAAATGCGATCGTTGAGACGTGACTGTGAAGCGAAGAGCTGGCTCGTCATTTCTTCGCTCTCTAGACAGATTGGAGCGAGACTCCCTTCCGACAGAGCGTATGCTTTTCTCTCGATGACGAATCGCTTCGGGATTGCTTTCCGGGGACCAGCCGTGGAAACTCCGAGCCGACGCTCATCAGGAGAGCCCATGGATTGGGGATTGTGCAAACCGGAACTCTATTAACGAATATCCGAACGGTAGGCCGAAATAGAGCATCCAAACTCATTGAATTCCGGAGGCAGTTGGCTTCATTCATCACATCAAAGGATATTCACGTTTCTAGCTCTTCGGACAGGATACTGAGCGATGAACATCTTTCTCGATTCGTTTCTGACGTCTGCGGATCAAGAGATAGATCGAGAATATATTTTGTTGTGCATGATGGACTAACGGCGAACCTCTGACTAAAAGCTATAGGGAGTGACTCCGAAGTGGAATTATTCGAGGATCCGCTTTTATTCCCGCACAATATGCTCGTGAGGTGGTGATTCACGAGTGTCAAGCGGTTCCTCTAATATTGTGGGTCGAAAAATCGTAGACATGCGTTTTCACACCGACGCCTAGCCGCGGGTCCCTCCCTTGTGCTCAGAGAAAGGATTCAAGAGCGAGGAGCCCGTTTCGACGTGAAACGTCTTCAAAATGTTGGCCTAGTTTTTCACCAAAAGTGTGACAAAACTTGTCCATTTTCTACGCCCTGCAGCTCCGTGCCTTCTACACCGATCGACACCCGGTTGGTGTCTTTAGATAGCAAATTTACGGGACATCAATTTCATATACTTCCCATGGAATTCCCACACGCACAGATCAACTCCTGGAGGAGAGAAGGACACCCTATGCGCCCTATTCGCCCGTGAACATGGCTGCTCCTGGGAGAGGGCGATTTCAAATTTCCAGAGCGCGCGTAACGGCCCGATGGCTAGCAACGCAATCCCGCATCCACCTCTTTCAAAACTCAGAAGACGATATTTTCCACTCAGAAGAAGATATTTTTCCAACTTCGGTGAAGAGTTCGACTTCACCAGTGATAATGAGACCTAAAAGTACGAGCTCAGTTTAAAGAGATACTGACGATGCTCGAGTCTTACGAACGGCCATTCCGAAGACGTTTCACGTCCCCTACACGGTAGTGACTCTGTTGCTACCTCTGAATTTTTTTTATAAGATTGGATGCTGATACGTAGAACATTTTCATTATTTGTCTAGGGAATGACCAAAGATCGCTTTCTGACTTTTGAAGAGAGCTGAGCAGACTTCTCCCCAACGATATCATCCACCTATCGGCTTTGGAAGGTTTCGCTCATGGTGCGTAATTGCCTTTTGTCAGAAAGCCTAAAACTTAAATCCTAGCCTAGACTCTTGGAGATGGCCATGTGAACTTGGAAGAAGCATTCCAGGTCCATTCTCGGAGTCCGAGATTTCCAGGTACTGGCGGGATGACTAACATAAAGCGAATCCCTTGAGTACGGGTCGCAAGCTCGCGAGCTTGAGCCACCCAAACAAAACCTTCCGCAGACCTTCGAGCCTGGAACAAACTCCGGGAAGACTGGAGGTGTTTACACCTCTTCATTCGAACCTATGCCTCGCACGATCCCTGCCGCTTGAAGGGCCAAGATAGCTCAGTCAGACACTGCTTACAGCTTCAAGGGAAGACGACACCATGGAAGCCACTCCGACTCACTAATCGTGAGTCAATCCACATGTTCATCGTCTGTTCACATGTGCACGTTGCGTCGCTTCGTGCATTTCTATCGACTTGTGCTAAGCGGGATAGACCCAGGAATCGACTGTTTGGTCCGTTTTCCGGGCTTCCAGGCTGAATCGACTCCAATCAACGGTGCCTAAACGTAGAGAAGTTCCTGGCAGACAATTCCCTCACGGAAACCCCAGACCCAAGGCGCGCGAAACGGGCAGCCCTCAGTTCTCGGCGACCCTCAACCTCAGCCCCGGAATGGCTCGGCTGAAGTCCTACACCATGAGACCGGCTGTCTGGTTGGGATTACCGAGCTCTAGCCGCAGTGCTGATACAATGGTCCGAGTCGAATCTCTAACAGAGCAGTGGGAGTTGCCGACCCTGACCAGGAGCGTCAGTCGAGTTTAGTTCGCTTTTGTGTCTTATCCAGCAAATCGAGTACCCCAAGACCCAGGTAGCATCCTTTAGGAGCTAGAGGGTCTCCGCGAAGCGTCGATTCACATTTCCACTGCCAGCGATCTTCGGCGCAAGTCGGGCCAAACCAATGGAGTTTGAGAACGCAGTTGACGGTCAGTCTGATCCTTCCCTCGACATCTAGCGCAAATGATGTGGGATGAGGTTCATCTCTGAATTTGTTTGTAAAATCGTTGCATCCGGACGCCTATGCGACAAAGCACCACCATCGAGAAAAAGACTGACTTTCGGGCGGCAAGCGAGTCAGTCACAAGGCAGATGACGGCAACGGGTGTCTCGAGGCCCTTTCATCCTTCCGACTCGGTTTCCCGGGAAGGCTCTAGGAAGGGGTCATTGGAGTTTTGTATCGGTCGTCTCCGGATCCTCCGTTCGCGAATCCGTAGCATCCGGCAAAGTTAAGCTGTAGTTTGAGCCCCGAAACTGACGGTCCCAGCAACCACGGACCTGAATCGGGGAAACAGGCTCAAGACCGTAAAGAAAGGTCGCGATCTCCAAGTTGAATCATTCGTGGCTGGTTCTTCGGGTGCTAGAAAAAGGAACAAATACATGAATGCCGACGAGCGAATGCTTGAAGTCGTTCATCGGGACGGGGTTTCTTATCCACGTAGAATACCTCCGAGGTATCGCACATAATTTCCTCATGGATGCATAGTTTCGGTTATGTCGCGGAGATGTACCGACAAGGTCGTCGGTACTATTCCGAGATAAATCCGAATCGCGAGTTTTGAGAAGAATCATAACAAGAAGTCGAAAAGAAAAGAGCGGCGAGAATAGTGCACAGAATAGTGCCTTACGGCTAAGCGACGCTTTCAATTCTATTCCGAGTCTTCAATTTAGGTAGAGACGATTCTTATCGAAAATCGTTGGAAAAGTCGCTGAGGCACTCGAGACTTCGAGCGGAGCTGGGAAGAAGTCTCCGGAACTGGTTCGGTGTATTTTCGATCGACTTTCCTCGTTTTGAAACAGCGGAGTCCTCGAGAAATAGCGCGACTGCGGTGACCAGACTCCGTTACGGCTCCCCAACACCTGCCTCCGAGCAAGGAAACGTTCGGACTGGCATTGTAGTCGCTTTGGTGTATACGCCGTGGTGAATCAATGATTTTTCGAATGAGAATCCCGCGCTCACTTGACCTCAACGTGTCAATTGATTATGTATAGGGTGTCCGGTTTATAATAGAC